GGAAGACAGATTCCACAGAGCACCCTGTAACATGTGGGGGCTCTTCTTCCCCAGGTCCTGGAACTATGAGACCTTCCTCTTGTTGGGGCCTGGTTCAGTATCAGATGGGTCTGGCAGGCCTCTCTGCCCCTTCTCCCTGGAAAAGCAGGGTAGGCCTAGCCAAAAGCCTACCCCCTACCCACCTTGCTGCCAGCACACTCCTTGTGTTTTTCTTTGACTCTCTCTCCTAAACTTGAATTCACTAATTTAAACATCATTTCCGGTCCTGGAAGCCAGCCTTACTTGCCATAAATAGAAAGGAACAAAAAGCAAAGGGAATAAAAACAGTGAGGCTATTGGACTCACTGGCTGCTGGGCTCTGGAAACTAAAGCCCATTAGTGCTGAAATGCACCGTTAGGGAGGCCAGCCTGGGGGCTTTTTCTTCTCCATTCAGGCCAAGGTGCTGGACCCTCCCAGTGGCTTCTTCCCCCTTGGCTCTGAGAGGGGATATTCTGGGGCAGGGTCCTCCTTGCTGGGCTGAGGGGAACCTGCTTCTTCCAGGGAGAGGATGGGACTTGCTGACTGGGACTGGAGTGGGGGCTTCTTTCTGCTGCACTGTCCTGGCCTGCCAGAGGGAGGAGGCAGCTGGCTTGGGTGGAACAGGTTACATAATGTCCATGGGCGGCCCCTCAGAGCTGTTCTCTGGGCCCTGTTTCCAGCACAGCAGCCAGCGCCGGGTGGGGGTTCCGGGCCTGGCATTCGCCCACCTGCTGACCACATGTGTCTGGAATGTACAGATGTTTCCTTGGGGGCTCCAGTTGCCACCCCCCCCATCCTGCCCAGCATCTGGATTGTAGAGCAGAGGACTAGGCCACTCCCTATCTTGGCAGAGAAGGAAACTGAGGCTACTTAGCTGCTGGTCAAGGTCTTGGCTTTTCTGGAGCCTCTGTTGGCTCTATAGAGTAGAGTTGGTCCTCAGAGCTCTCCTGTGCTGAGCAAGCATTTGTGCTGACTCTCCTTGGTGACCGTTGCACTCATCAACATGCTCACCTTCACCTGCCCAATGTCTCATCTCTCCAGAAAGCCTACCCCTGAGACTGTCTGCCTCCCCTTTATACAGCTGCATGGGAAGGGTGGGGGATCCCCCCGCAATTCCTTCTTTCAGCAGGAAAGTTGGGAGTCAGATACAGGGATCCTGTGGGGTACATAAGCCTGTGGACATATTCCAAGGGAAAGCTGAGGTCCTACTTGTCAGGCCAGGTGACCTCACAGGTGGCAGTACAGTGCCTGGCCCCAGGGCTGTAAGGTATCCCCTTCCCAGAATGCTTGATCTAGAAGACAAGGGGAGGAGAAAGAGGGCCCAGATATATTGGGCACAATGTGGGTCTTCATTCACTCCTCCCCAACACATTTTCCTATCTTGGAGTAGGAGGGGACAGCAGAGAGGTCAGGCTAGGCCTGGGAGCTCCCCATCTTTGTCACAGACTGTGTGTGGGTTACTTCCCAGTGCTGCGTGCAGTGGGGGCTGGCCTGCCAGGCTGAGGGATAGGACACATCTCCGGCTGCCATGGCATCTGCCTGTCCTCTGTGTAATTCTCAGCTCAGCTCACTCCTCTGAGCTAGTCTGATTCACTCTAGTGTTGGCTGTGGGATCCTGTAAGTTGTTGGCTTAGGCCTTGGAGGACCTAGAAGGTCCAGCTGGCTCAGAGGATGGACCCCACACTTGGGCCTCTCGGGGTGTTCTTGGCTAGGCTGCTGGCTCTCCTTTAAGTCGGAGGTGGGGAACCCATAGTTGTTGCCTGATCAGTCTTGGTGCCCTTGCTTCTATGTCACTTCTTTGAGGATACCCAGTGCTTGCTGTGCCCCCTCCCTGATCCTTGGAGGCAACCTGAATGTGGGACTGGGCAGGAGACTGCCGTGACATCACTTGGGGAATGTGGAGGAAGCCAGAAGGGCTGGGAGATGGGACTGACCAGGTCTGGACCTTCCCACAGAGCAGTGATGGCAACAGCAGATGGACATGTGGAAAAGCTGCTTTGGTCAGGACTGTGGGCAGTGGGGCTGGGTGAGGACTTCCATGTACTTCTCCTGTGTCCCTCAGGTGCTGGTAACACAGGTGATACCACCCTGTATGTCCAGGTACATACTCCCGTTTGGGATGTGGACCTCTGCGCAGCCCTGGCTCTTGTCCACGCAGTCTTGCTCTGCTGCCCTGGGCTAGAGGAACATAGCCAAGCAGTGTTCCCAAGGCCCTCTTGGCTTTTCTTCCTCACACCCATGGCTCAGGAAAGTTCTAGGGAAAAGCACCCATGGTGGGTGGGCTTGGCCTCAGTAGAGGCCCCGCTTAGGTGAGGGATGGCGGAGGCTATACTGAGACTCTGAGGCTGACCTGCCCTCTGCCCAGCTTCTCAGGCACCTCTAGCAGTTGCCAGTCAGGGTGGAGATTCCCAAGTGGGATATGGAGGGACATTTGAGGCTCTCCTTTCTTCCCTCCTGTCTTGGAGGTTAGGCTGGGAACTTCCTGGCATCCCTCGTCCCCATCTGTACTGGTGGGGCAGGTGCATGCAGGGTACCTATCTGTCCTTATCTTAGTCTCTGCCTCACCCTTCTTCCTAGGACCACTGCTGCTCAGTCTTCAAAGCACAGATTCTCTGCTGTCATCACTGCAGCCACTGGGAGGTCCCTGCTTATTAGAAGTTTCCCCCAGCATAGCTATTGGCTTTCCTTTGGGAGCTCAGATAGGAGGGGCAAGACAAGGCCAGGAGAGACCAGAACAGTGTCCAGGAGAGTGCTAGGGATGGAGTCCAGGGCCAGGATAGGAAAGTGTAGAGACAGAGTCCCAGCAGTTGAATGGTCATTGCTAAAAAGAGCCAGACTGGTGAGAGGCACCAAGCATATTCTCATATGGCAAGCTGTGACATCTGGTAGAATAGAGGCTCTGGCACGGGAGGAACACAGGTCCAATGGGTTAGAGACTGGGGTGTTGTGCAGACATGGAGGGGCCCCATCCCAGGAGCCTTCTTGGAAGTTAGAATGTGTGTGTGCAGAGAGAGTGCTTAAGAAGGGGGTGGCAGAGTGACCATGGCCCTCACCTCCTCTAGTGAATGGTCAGGTACTGGAGGCTAGAGGGGAAGCCAGGTTGTTGGGTAAAGAGTGGACACCGGGCCTTCTGGTGCTGACCGCAAGCTGTGTTCTTACACTGCATAGAAAAAGGAGGCAGAGTAAACTCACCCCATATATACCTCAACCTAGGCTCTGTGCCTGACCTCTTGTGAGTAAGGAGGCATGCAGTGGGGGAGGAAAACAAAAGGGGACACTAGAAAAAAAAAGCGTTGACACTTGCTCCAGAGTACGCAGGAGAGCCCAGCTGTGCAGTGGTTATCAAGAGTCATGGGGTGCAGTACCTAGTGTCTTCCACATCACCTGAGCTGGGGACTGGGTTTCCAACATACTCACAACTTTGGTAGATAAAAAGGGCAGTGACATTGTTTTCATTGGTATTTCTTCAGTTATTACTAAGGTTGAATGTTTCTTCCATGTCTGTGACCTTTTATACTTTTGTTAATTGCCTGTTTTTGCATTTAGCCCCTACTCCCCCCTTTTTTAAACTTTGTTGGGGATCAAACCCAGGGCCTTGTGCAGGCCTAGGTGAGTGCTCTACCACTGAGCTGCATCCTGAGTCTTGCTTATTTTTTGAATTGGAGCAGTCGCTTCAGTTTGTTCAGTGTTCGTAGAAGGAGTGTTGTTTACCTTTAACCAGCCACCTGAATTGCTAGCTCTTTTCCCAGCCTGTATTTTATTTTATGTTTTGAGACAGGATACAGGGTTTTGCTGTGTTGCCAAGGCTGGCTTCAAAGTCCTGGGCTCACTGGGTTCTCAGGTTCCTGAACAACTGCACCTGGCTGATCTGTATGGGGTTTGAACTTAGGGCCTCACACTTACTAGGTAGGTGCTCTACCATTTGAGCCACTCCGCCAGCCCTGTTTTGTGTTGTGTGTTTTTGAGATAAGAGTCTTCCACACTATCTGACCAGGCTGGCATTGAACCTCAATCCTCACAATCTGTGCCTCCTGAGTAGCTAGGCTACTCCTGGCTACACCTGGCTGGGTGTGTTGGTCTTGATGCTTTATTTCTGCTCATAGGTTCAACAAACCTATGCTTTACAAACATGTGACCATCCACAGTATTCATGGCTTGTGTGTACTGGCTCTGGCACACTTTTCCATGTGACTTAAGTTCTGAGGCAGGCTCTGCCTGAGCTGTGCTTGCTCACGTCCTGCTTTCCTTCTAAGATTCTCGAAGGCCAGGGACTCTCTGAGGTTCCTTTGCCTCGGGTGGTCAGTCTGTCCATTCCAAAGCATGGCACAGTGGAAAGTTGCACAAACTCATGTTTTCACATTTCTTGATGATTCTTTTCATGGATGTCCCCAGATGAACCTTTGTAGTATCTTTGGTGCAGTCAGGGTTTTTAGTTGTGTTGAGCCATCATGATGTGGGGTCACCCACCAGGACCCCAGCCCCATTTATTGCATCTTTGTGTCCCCACTGCATCTTGTGGATGTTTTGAGGACTTTCCTCCACTGGCATCTGGGCCCTGCCAACCCTGATGCATCCTGAACCCCATGTGAAGAGTGGTAGAAGTCAGCCCTCTGTGGTGTTGACCACCTTGCTGGACTGGGAGCAGCCCAAGATTCCCTTGGCTCTGTGGGGAAGGGGTTGGGTCCAGGAGCCATTGGAAGGGGCCATGCCTGCCTGGCTGCCCAGGGTCAGTGGTTCTGTGTGGCATTCACCATAAGGTGTAGGTGGATTCAGAATGCTGAGGGCCTCGGCTCAGCTTCCATGGTATCCCCAGATGAGTGTTTATTCTGCTCCTTCATCAGAAAAGCCTTCTGGCTCCTAGGAACAGGGAGTTTGGAGGACGAGAGGTTGCACCTTGGTGCTACCTCTAGGTGTGGGACCAGGGATTGATTTATAGCCAGCCTAATGCTCCTATCCTGACCATGGCCACTTTGCTCCTCAGAGATGTCTCCCACAACCTGATCCAGGCGCTGGACATCGGGCTCCTGGCGAACCTCTCTGCACTGGTGGAACTGTGAGTGTCCCCTCCCCTGCTTTGTGTTCTGCCTATGCCCCAGCAGCACACTGGGGATTACTCAGGGTAGGCAGGGGCAATTGCCTGTTATTGTACAGTTAATGGGGCTCTGGTCAAAACTGCCTAATCCTACCTTTCTTCTAGGGACATAAGCAACAACAGAATTTCTACCTTAGAAGAAGGAGTATTTGATAATTTATTTAATTTAAGTGAAATGTAAGTTGCTTTGCTTTTGGTGGGTATCAGTAGCCCCCATTCTCCACCATCCCCCTGCTCTCCTGCCTGGCCCTTGGCTCCTCCCTAGTTTGAGAGAAGAACCTAGGGGCATTTGCTTGCCTGGTGCGGGCAGTAAGAGCTGTTCTGTCAGGATGGCCCATCCTGGTCTGGTTCCTCATAGCTGCCTCTCCCCTGCAGAAACCTGAGTGGGAACCCGTTTGAGTGTGACTGTGGTCTGGCTTGGCTGCTACGCTGGGTAGAGGAGCAGCAGGTTCGTGTGGTACAGTCTAATGCAGCCACCTGTGCTGGGCCCAGCCTCCTGGCTGGCCAATCTCTCTTCAATGTCCCCTTGTTGGATAGTAGCTGTGGTAAGTGCCGGCCTGGGGAGTGGCATGTTACTGTCCTTCCCTGCTGAGCAGGACCCAGCCTGGTAAGGGAGGCAGATGGGGCCCAGGGAAAGGTGCATATTGGAGAGACAGCAGCCAGGTGGGGGTCACAAAGGCCTCTCTGGGGAGGGTTGGGGCTTTGGTCGGGGGGGCGGTTCTCATCTGGGGTCTAGAGAGAGTTGTTGGGACCACAGAGTGGAGCCAGGAGAAGGTGGGCCCCTCAGACCAGGGTATCTGCCCATTCCAGCTGAGGAGTATGTCGCCTGCCTCCCCGATGACAGCTTGGCCACTGTGGTAATGGTGTCTTTCTCTGCCCACGCGGGCCTGCTGGAGCCTGAGATGTGCAGTGCCTTCTGCTTCTCGTCTGGTGAGGGTCTTGCAGCCCTCTCAGAGCAGGGCCAGTGCCTGTGTGGGACAGTCCAGCCCCACAATGTCTCTGCAGCCTGCCTGTCCCTATGCTCTAATACCCCGCTGCTCCCAACCACCATCTGCAGGGGTCCCACCCTTCTCCAGCACATCTTTCCTGCTTCCCCAGGGGCTTCCCTGGTGGGACCCCATGGACCCCTGGCCTCTGGCCAGTCAGCAGCCTTCCATGTCATTGCTCCACTACCTGTAAGCTCCATACGCTGGGACTTTGGAGATGGCTCCCCTGAGGTGGATGTGGCTGGCGCGGCTGCCACTCATAGATATGTGCTGCCTGGGCGCTATCATGTGACAGCTGTGCTGGTCTTGGGGGCTGGATCAGCCCTGCTGGGGACAGAGGTGCACATAGAGGTGCCACCTGCTGCCCTGGAGCTTGTGTGCCCAACCTCCGTGCGCAGTGATGAGAGCCTCAAACTTGGAATCCGGAACCGTGGAGGCTCAGCCCTTGAGGCCACCTATAGCATCCTGGCCCTGGGCGAGGAGCCAGCCCAAGGTGGGTACCTCCCCAGCCAGATCTTGGGTTGCCCCTTCCCCTCAAGACTGGGGGTGGAGCAGAGCCTGGCACTCTAGACTCAGACTCACGTTGCTACCCTGTTCTCTGCCCACCACCCCCAGTGGTGCACCCACTCTGCCCCTCAGACACGGAGATCTTCCCTGGCAATGGACACTGCTACCGGCTGGTGGCTGAAAAGGCACCCTGGTTGCAGGCACAGGAGCGATGCCGGACCTGGGCTGGGGCCGCACTGGCCATGGTAGACAGTCCTGCTGTCCAGCACTTCCTGGTTTCCCAGGTTACCAGGTGCCTATCTCACCATCCACAAAGGCCATAGGCAGGTGGGGGGTTGGCTGGGATGTTGGGGTACCAGAAGAGCCCGAAGCTTGGGGAGGCTAAGGAGGATAGAGATGGGGGGTGGCTGGAAGGGCTGTGTCCTGCCCTGTAGATGCTGTTCCTGGCACTCTGTATGTGGAGAGGTGGACATGGGTGGGGAAGTGGCTTCCATAAACATTGTGGAATGTGTCACGGTGGGACCTGGGCCCAGGCATCCAGTCTGTCTTTTTCCTGCAGGGGAGGACCCTGGGCCCTGATGATAGGGTTGGTTCTGGGGTGATCACGGAGGAGGCTGTATTTCCTGCTTCTAACACTGCCATGCTCACTCTCCTCCCATACCTTCCCCAGCCTTATGGGGACATGTGCTATGGGCCAGGCCCTCATTCTGTGTCTTGAGTCTGCTGTGTCTGGGGTGGGGAGTGACCCACCTCTCTTGGGGTCTATGTGCTGTGCAGAGATGGATATTCTTCATTGTGTCTGTGGCCAAGCACATGATGTGCATTCCCATATCCAGAAGGGGAGATCAAGGCCCAGAACAGTTAAAAACCTTCCCCAGAGGTTATCCAGTGAATGAGTGATGGTGTTATATGTGGAGCTGGGGCCAGAGTGTTACTCCCTCCCACTCTGTGTATCCTCCATATGCCTGGACCCATGTCCATGCCTGAGCCTAGCTGTGGATCTATAAGCTCTACCTGCAAGAGGGGCTTCCTGCCTTGGCAGAGCTGTCAGGTGGCTGTCATTGGAGTGAGGCTGGCTTGGTCCCCAGAGGCTGCAGGAGGATCCTCCCTACAGGTGAAGGCCTAGATGGCCTGTGGCCTTCTTTCAGACCTGAGGCAGTGCCCTTGGCTGTGCCCACTGGTCCTGTGGGCATGAGCTGCCAGGTAGATGCTGCTGTGAGCCTGGGTTTGTGGGCCTTGCTTGCCAGGTCATGTCTCTGAGCCTCAGTTTCTCCAACTGGAGAATGAGAATGGTGATAGGGCCTATCTGCCAGGGTGTTGTGAGGAGGGAGGACAGAGACCCCAATAAATCCCTGCCCTCCCCATTTGCTCACAGGAGCCTGGATGTGTGGATCGGCTTCTCATCCATGGAGGGGGTGGAGGCAGGCCCAGCACCCCAGGGCGAAGCCTTCAGCCTGGAGAGCTGTCAGAACTGGCTGCCGGGGGAGCCACACCCAGCCACAGCCAAGCACTGCGTGCGACTAGGGCCCGCTGGGCAGTGCAACACAGACCTGTGTTCGGCACCTCACAGCTATGTCTGTGAGCTGCGGCCTGGAGGTATGTGGACCACGGGAGCTGCTCCTCTCCTGTTTGTCTTCTGATCCTGAGTGCTGGCTATTTTCTGAAAACCTACTTTTAATGCCTTGGCTAATACTATGTCAGAATAAGCAACGATGGAAGGAACTGAGGGTGGGGCAGCTACTGACTGGCCCCACCCTCGATGTTCTCCTACTGTTCCCTCATCCTGGCACTGGCACCTTATTGCACACTCCCCTCCCCTAGGCCCTGTGTGGGACGCTGAGAATTTCCTTGTGGGAGTACCTGGCAGGGGCCTGCAGGGACCACTGAATTCCCTGGTGCAGCAGGAGGCTCTCCTGGCTCCCCAGCAGCCTGTGGAGGTAGAACAGCTTCTGTCACTGGAGGCCTCGCCTTACCCTGCTGCTTTGTCTCTTTAAAAGTCAAGCTGGGGGTCGGGGTAGTGTGTGGCTTAGTGATAGAGCACTTGCCTAGCAGGTTCAGTTCCCAGCACTACAAGAAAAAAATCAAGTTGGTTTGGTGGGGAGGGTGTTCTTAAAGTTATTTGTGCCCAGCATAGTCAGTCTGGAAAATCCTTGGATTGCAGAGATGAAAAGCATCTAATCCCCCTTGTATAGGAAAACTCTGTTCCTCCTGGGTCCTTGCTCCAGGTGAATTTCTTTATCTCATCATAGGGATCCCACTGCTCATAGTTGGTTTTGATTTGATTTTTCCTCTCAAGTAACATGAAACAGGGCTTGGGAGGAGGGACATCTGATGTCTTCCTGGCGGTGTTGGGCCTGGTGAGTGCAGGCCCTGGGGTGGGGTCTTTGGAGCTGAGGTTCCCCTCTCCCTGCCAGGTCATGGTGTTTCCTGGCCTGAGCATGAGCCATGAAGCCTTTCTCACTGCAGCAGAATTTGAGACCCAGCAGCTTGAGGGGCCCACCCAGCTGCGGCTGCAGGTGTTTCGGTCCTCAGGAGGGGCAGGTGGGTCTCTGCGATGGTGGTAGGAGTGGGCTCTGAGCTTTCGATGCCTTTGGTCCCCATCCTTAGGTGGACAGAAAGTGGGATCTCCAGAGATGGCCAACTCTTGCCCTGTGTCTCAAGGATGGTGTGGGTGGGGTAGTCTAATAGCAGGGGGATGGTGATGGGGGCTTGAGGGGCTGTCTAGTCAGGTCTGGTCTTATAGCAGGGGTGCAAAGTGGGGCATTCCTAACTGGCCTAATAGTGAATCAGGTCCCCAGTACCCTTCCTGTCTTTGCAGTGGCCCCAGAAAGTAACAGTGAGCCTGACAACAGGACTGAGTTGGCCTCCAACTATATGCCGGAGGGGCGCTGGTGTCCCAGAGCCAATGTCTGCGTGCCACTGGATGCTTCCTGCCACCCTCAGGCCTGTGCCAATGGGTCCATGTCAGCACCCAGGCTCCCCAGGGCCACCTATGCACTATGGAGGGAGTTCCTCTTCTCTGTGCCCGCAGGGCCCCCCACGCAGTACTCGGTGTGTGTCTCTGGTCTGGTCCCGTCTACTTCTGACCAGCTCCCTAGGCTACCTTTCCTTAACTGCCCAAACTCCTGGGCTTCCACTAAACATAGACAATGCAGATTCCTCTGCACAGCACAGCAGGTACCATCTGCATATCCCTGCCCACCTATAGCCTGAGTGCCCTCACTCCTCTTCCCACATGAGAAGTGGCTGGCTTCTTTTCCTCTCCCCATGTGAGGAGTGGCTGGCTTCCTGTGACGTGAGGGCCTTCCCATCAGGGCAGTCCTGTGCATGTCCCCTGAGTCTGTGCTGCCCTGTTTGTCTCTACTATGAGCACCTGGTGCTGAGAAGCCAGGCTGGGATCCCAGTGATCCCTGAAGCTTCTTACCTGCCTCCCTCTTCCACAGGTCACCCTCCATGGCCAGGACGTCCCTATGCTCCCTGGTGACCTCATTGGCCTGCAGCATGATGCTGGCCCAGGTGCCCTGCTCCATTGTTCCCTGGAGTTCAGCCATCCAGGCCTTGAAGCCCTGTACCTCTCCATCAATGCCTCAGATTGGCTGACCCACCTGCCTGCCCAGCTGGAGGGGATTCGGGCTGGCCCTGCCTGTGCCCTGCAGCTGTTCTCAGCCACAGAGCGGCTCACACCACTGCTGGGCCTGAGGCCCAACCCAGGGCTGCAGCATCCCGGGCGCTATGAGGTCCAGGCCATGGTGGGCAACAGCGTGTCAAGTCACAACCTGTCCTGCGGCTTCATTGTGTTCTCCCCAGTGGCTGGACTGCAGGTCATTCACCCTGTCCCCCTTGATGGTCACCTCTACGTGCCAACCAACGGCTCAGTCTTGGTGCTTCAGGTGGACTCTGGTGCCAATGCCACAGCCACAGCTCAGTGGCTTGGGGGCAGCATTAGCGCACCCTTCGAGGCTGTCTGTCCCACTGTGGTGGACACTCACAAGCCTCCTTGCACTGACAAGACTAATGGCACTCTGTTCTCAGTGCTGGCACTGCCCAGGCTCAGTGAAGGGGAACACACAGTGGAGATTGTGGCACAGAATGGTGCCAGCTGGGCCAACCTCAGCCTGAGGGTGATAGCCGAGGAGCCTATCTGCGGCCTCCGAGCCATGCCTAGTCCTGAGGCCCGTGTGCTGCAGGGTGTCTTGGTGGTGAGTGCGGCCTGAGATAATCACTACCCCCAGATGGTGTGCACAGGGAATTTCTTTCACAGTGAAGAAGCCACTCAGCTGTTCCCTGGGAGGGTGTTCCACAGGCTTCTTAGCAATTTCTCCTCCCTTCCCCATCCTCCCCTCTTTTCCTTTAGTGTTAGAGTTTAAATGCAGGGTCTTGTGTATGTCAGGCAAGCACTCTACTGCTTGAGTCAGATCCCCAGCCCTACTTAGCAGTTCCTTAATTACTACAGGTCACTGCTAGAGCAACTTCTACATAAGCCTCTGTGACTGCACGTACCTGTTGAGGTGGTTTCAGACCCCCATGGGAAGCTATGCTGACCCCCTCTGGTAACCCAGGGGGATGGGGCTGCCCCAGTCCTGGGCATGCCCACCTCTGCATGAGGGGTCATTAGAAGAGCCTTTTTTTTTTTTCCCAGTAGTACTCAAGGTCGAACTCAAGGCCTCACATTTGCTAGGTAGGCACTCTACCACTTGAGCCACTCCACCAGCCCAGAACTATTTCTGACAATGCCCCATGACTTGTGCAGCCCTGTCAGAAAGCTGTATTGTCTGGTTTCCCTGTACATACCAGCTCTCATCGCTGACATGGGTTTACATCTAGCAGCATAGACGCGTTGAAATTCATGCACTGAACTTCCCACCTGAGGTGCTCCAGCAGAACCCTGGAGAGGAGTTAGTGAGGATTCAGAGACAGTTGACTCTTTGTAGCAGAGGCTAGGTCTACTTTACAGATGCAGAAACTGAGGCACAGGTCAAGGTGTAAACAAGGCCATGTGGAAAGCTGGACTTGACCAGGGCCTTCAGTACCAAAGCCTGTACTTTGGCCCCTGTACCACGTGGTGTCCTGAGCCTGGGAACCTCCTTGCCCTTCCCCACATGGGGTACCTTGCAGTCACGGCTTAGCCAGTGGGCCCTCTTTTCTACTCCAACAGTCCTGAGGGAGGCATGTCCAGACAGGCAGGTGGGGGCTAAGGGCAGAGTCAGCCTCGGGCTAGGACAGGATCACAGCTTTGGCCAATGCCATGTCATTCCCATAGCGGTACAGCCCCATGGTGGAGGCTGGCTCAGATGTGGTCTTCCGGTGGACTATTGATGACAAGCAGTCCCTGACTTTCCACAATGTTGTCTTCAATGTAATCTACCAGAGCGCTGCCATCTTCAAACTCTCGGTAGGTGAAGGGAGAGTGAATGGGGACTCCAGGTCCTTGGATATCTGGGTGCTCACTTTTGCCTTCTGTTCTGCTTTGCCTTGCCCCCAAGGACCCTGCTCCGGCTGTGGGTGAGTGTGGAGAGGTTGCTGAGTCTGGGCTCAGGGCCTTTCACCTGTCTTTATTGGTGTCTCCGTGGGCCCCACGCCCACTGATGCCTATCTCTCCAGCTGACAGCCTCCAACCACGTGAGCAATGTCACTGTGAACTACAACGTCACTGTGGAGCGAATGAACAGGATGCGGGGTCTGCGGGTATCTGCAGTGCCGACTGTGCTGCCCCCCAATGCCACACTGGTGTTGATGGCCAGCGTGCGGGTGGACTCTGCTGTGGAGGTGGCCTTCCTGTGAGTGCTTTTGGTCATAGTAGGGGGAGTAGCCAACTGGGTAGGGCTTTAGCAGGGGCTGGTGTTCTCATCCCAGCCTTAGCTTTGTCAGTGGGGCCCTGGTCCAGAGAGCTGCTTCTCTTAGCCTCTGCCAGGGGCTGCAAGGGGCCATGGGAGGTTGCATGGGAGGGCAGGAGACCCTGATGTACCAAGCTGGGTAGTACCTTGAGTGAAGGTGCCAGGAAGGAGTGATTGCAGAGGAAGTTGGGGCTGGCAGGCACCCACAATGTGAATGGCCAGCCTTGTCCACCTGTCTTCCATGGCCTGCTCACTACCTGCCCATTGCCTGGCAGGTGGATCTTTGGGGATGGGGAACAGGTGCTGAGCCAGTTCAAGCCTCCGTACGACGAGTCCTTCCAGGTCCCGGACCCTACAGTGGCCCAGGTGCTGGTGGAGCACAATACCACGCACATCTATGCTGCCCCAGGTGAGGGGCAGGGCCACTGCTTTGATGGCCCTGAGCTTGGGCAGCCTCTCCTGGGGATGGTACCCCACTGGAGACAGCCCCCATCACCCCTACCCTGACCCAGCCTGGGTTGATAGCTTGTGGCCTTTACTCGGGTGAAGGAGGGGCACCCAGGTGGTGGGTGAGGGGGTGGATAGGATCTCAGGCCTCAATTTGAATTTGCTGGAAATCGACCTTTTTATCACCAGGCATTTTTTGAGAGCAGGAAGGGGGGGGGCATCATTTAATTTTTGTAATTCCATAACCCCCCCCAAGGGCTGTTCTCTCCAGTGCATGTGGTATGGACTGTGTGCTTGTCCCTGTCCCATGCTTACCATCTTGCTCACCTCCATTCAGTCACACTTGGAGATGATCCTGTCTTTATCTCTCATTTCTTCCTCTCAGCCCTCTGCCCTGCACATGTCCTAGCTATGAGGCCCTCTCGGCCAGGTCCAAGGGCTGTTTATGCTTTGAAGAAGGCCATTCTCATGCAGTACCAGGTGCTGGGTGGGAATTGTGGGAACAGAAAGTCCCACTTGGGCCTGTCCCCACAGGTGAGTACAACCTGACCATCCTCGTATCCAACACCTACGAGAACCTGACGCAGCAGGTGTCTGTGAGCGTGCGCACCCCGCTGCCCAGTGTGTCTGTGGGCATGAGCAGCAGCTTCCTGGTGGCTAATCAGCCCGTCACCTTCTCTCCACATCCGCTGCCCTCACCTGGTGGCATCTTATACACATGGGACTTTGGGGATGGCTCCCCTGTCCTGACACAGAGCCAGCCAGCTGTCAACCATACCTACACCATGACTGGTGTCTACCACATTTGCCTAGAAGTCAACAACACTGTGAGCAGTGTGGTGGCACATGCTGATGTCCATGTCTTCCAGGAGCTACGAGGCCTGAGTGTGCACCTGAGCCCCACTGTGGAGCAGGGAGCCCCTGTGGTGATCAGTGCAGCTGTGGAGATGGGTGATAACGTCACTTGGACGTTTGACATGGGGGATGGCACAGTGCTCACAGGCCCTGAGCCCGTGGTGCACCATGTGTACCTACGGGCACAGAACTGGACAGTGACAGTGGACGCAGCCAGTCCTGTGGGCCACCTGACCCAGCGCCTGCACGTGCAGGTCTTTGTCCTGGAGGTGCTGCACATCGAGCCCACTGCCTGCATCCCCACGCAGCCTGATGCTCAGCTGACAGCCTATGTCACTGGGGACCCTGCCCACTACCTTTTCGACTGGACCTTTGGGGATGGTTCCTCTAATATGACTGTCCAGGGGTGCCCCACGGTTACTCACAACTTCACACAGAGTGGCACGTTCCCCCTGGCATTGGTCCTGTCAAGCAGTGTGAACAAGGCACATTACTTCACCAGTGTCTGCGTGGAGCCTGAGGTAGGCAATGTTACCCTCGAGCCTGAGAGGCAGTTTGTACAGCTTGGGGGTGAAGTCCGGCTGGTGGCCTGCGCCTGGCCCCAATTCCCCTACCGCTACACCTGGGATTTTGGTATTGAAGACACCATACTCACTCGTGCTGGGGACCCTGAGATGACATTCACCTACCGAGACCCAGGCTCCTACTTGGTGACAGTCACTGTATGTAACAATGTCTCTGTTGCCAATGACTCAGCTGTTGTGGAGGTACAGGAGCCTGTGGTGGTCACTGGCGTCAGGGTCAATGGCTCTCATGTGCTGGAGCTGCACCAGCTTTACCTGTTCTCTGCCATGGGCTATGGGCACCCTGCCACCTACCTGTGGGACCTGGGGGATGGCAAGCAGCTTGAGGGCCCTGAGGTCACCCATTTCTACAACAGTACAGGTGACTTCACCATCAGGGTGGCTGGCTGGAATGAAGTGAGCCAAAGTGAGGCCCACCTTGACGTCACAGTGAAGCGGCGCGTGCAGGGGCTCAGCGTCAGTGCCAGCCGCACAGTGGTGCCCCTGAATGGCAGCGTGAGCTTTAGCACCTCACTGGAGGCAGGCAGTGACGTGCGCTACTCCTGGGTGCTCTGTGACCGCTGCACGCCCATCCTTGGGGGCCCCACCATCTCCTATACCTTCCGCTCCGTGGGTACCTTCAACATCATTGTCACTGCTGAGAACGAGGTGGGCGCTGCTCAGGACAGCATCTTCATCTATGTCCTACAGCTCATTGAGGGTCTGCAGGTGGCAGGGGGCATTGCTGGATGCTGTTTCCCCACCAACCACACGCTGCAGCTGCAGGCCATGGTCAGGGATGGCACCAACATCTCTTACAGCTGGACTGCCCAGCGGGATGGTGACCCAGTCCTGACTGGCAGTGGCAAGGTCTTCTTGCTCACTGTGTTTGAGGCCAGCACCTACCACATCCAGTTGCGGGCCACCAACATGCTGGGCAGTGCCTTAGCTAACCGCACTGTGGACTTTGTGGAGCCTGTGCAGTGGCTGACTCTGACTGCCTCCCCTAACCCAGCTGCTGTCAACGTGAACATCACCCTCCATGCTGAGCTGGCTGGTGGCAGCGGTGTCATTTTCACTTGGTCCCTGGAGGAAGGGCTGAGCTGGGAGACATCCAAGCCATCCACCACCCATGCCTTTCTCTTAGCTGGACTGTACCTTATCAGGGTCATGGCTTTTAACCAGTTGGGCTCAGCCAATGCCACCATTGAGGTAGCTGTGCAGGTGCCTGTGAGTGGTCTCAGCATCAGGACTGGCAAGCCAGATAGCAACTTTGTGGCAGCTGGTTCCTCTGTGCCCTTCTGGGGTCAGTTGGCCATGGGTACCAACGTGAGTTGGTGCTGGGCTGTTCCGGGTGGCAACAAGCACAGCCAGCACATTGCTGTGGGTTTCCCAGATGCTGGCACCTTTTCTGTGCAGCTCAATGCCTCCAATGCAGTCAGCTGGGTGGCAGCCATGCATAATGTTACAGTGGAGGAACCCATTGTGGATCTAGTGCTGTGGGCCAGCAGCAAGGTGGTAGCACCTGGACAGGTGGTCCATTTTCAGATTCTGCTGACTGCTGGCTCGGCCATCACCTTCCGCCTGCAGGTTGGCGGGGCTGTTTCTGAGGTACTCCCAAGCCCCCATTTCTCCCACAGCTTCTCTAGGGTTGGAGACCATGTGGTGAGTGTACAGGCTGAGAACCATGTGAGCCGGGCTCAGGCACAGATTCGCATCTTGGTGCTGGAGGCTGTTGGTGGGCTGCAGGTACCCAACTGCTGCGAGCCAGGCATGGCCACAGGCACGGAGAAGAACTTCACAGCCCGGGTGCAGCGGGGCTCGCGTGTTGCCTATGCCTGGTACTTCTCTTTGCAGAAAGTCCAGGGTGACTCACTGGTCATTCTATCAGGCCGCGATGTCACCTACACCCCCGTGGCTGCAGGGCTGCTGGAGATCCACGTGCGTGCCTTCAATGAGTTGGGTGGTGAGAATCTCACGCTTGTGGTGGAGGTCCAGGATGTCATCCAGTACGTAGCACTCCAGAGTGGCCGCTGTTTCACCAACCGCTCAGCCCGGTTTGAGGCCGCCACAAACCCAAGTCCCCGGCGTGTGGCCTACCGCTGGGACTTTGGGGATGGAGCACCAGTACAGGACACAGAGGAGCCCTGGGCCGACCACTCCTATTTGCAGCCTGGAGACTACCATGTAGAGGTGAACGCCACCAACCTGGTGAGCTTCTTTGTGGCACAGATCACAGTGACTGTCCAGGAGCTGGCCTGTAGGGAGCCCGAGGTGGACGTGGCCCTGCCCCTGCAGGTGCTGATGCGACGCTCCCAGCGCAACTACCTGGAGGCCCATGTCAACCTGCGTGACTGTGTCACCTACCGGACTGAGTATCGCTGGGAGGTGTACCGAACTGCTAGCTGCCAGCGGCCGGGGCGTGTGGCTCGAGTGGCCCTGCCTGGTGTGGACGTGAGCCGGCCCCAGCTGGTGGTGCCACGACTGGCGCTGCCTGTGGGCCACTATTGCTTTGTGTTCGTGGTGTCATTTGGGGACACACCACTGGCACGGAGCATCCAGGCCAATGTGACAGTAGCTGCTGAGCGTCTGGTACCCATCATCAAAGGTGGTTCATACCGCGTGTGGTCTGACACACAGGACCTGGTGCTGGATGGGAGCAAGTCCTATGACCCTAACCTGGAGGATGGTGACCAGACACCACTCAGCTTCCACTGGGCCTGTGTGGCCTCAACTCAGGTCAGCCACAGGGGGTTGTCCTTCCTGCCCCTTAGTCTTACACACTCATCCTGTGAGTGCTCAGCACTTGGCATAGCCCTGAGGTGGGCCTTGGTGTCAGCATGGGAAGGGAGTCTCCCGGGCAGTCCCCTAGCCCAGTCTGTTTCGAGACTGGTCATGGGTCTCACACCAGCCTGTCTCCTTTGTTTGGGGGCTGTAGAGCAAAGCTGGTGGGTGTGTGCTGAACTTCGGTCCTCGTGGGAGCAGTGTGGTCACCATCCCCCGGGAGCGCCTGGAAGCTGGCGTGGAGTACACTTTCAACCTCACTGTGTGGAAGGCAGGCCGGAAGGAGGAGGCTGCCAACCAGACGGTGAGTGCTGCTTCTGCCCTAGTGGCTGCACACTCAGACGGCCCCCATCCCACCCCTGCTTCTGTCAGAGGCTTTCTGAGCTGAGGAGTTCTTCTAACTCGATGCCGATTTTGATAGCAAATGTTCTACTTCGGCATTGCATCAGTTGAAAAACCATGATACAGTTCCTCACAAAATCTGAGAGGGGAGCTGGGCGAGGTGGCACAGGGCTGTAATCCAGCACTTGGAAGGTGGAGGCAGGAGGATCATGAGTTGCAGGCCAGCCTGTGCTCTGCATAGTGAGATCCTGTGTCAAAAAAAAAAAACAACCAAAAACCAAAAAACAAACAAAAAACTTAGAGAGGTCATACCATACAAGCACTGTGATTTATAAAAAGTAAACTTTATGCCAATAGGGCAAAAGGCAGATGGTGAGAAACCAAGCTCCCTTCCTGCCTCAGAGACAGCCACTGTCTCCAGAGCATATGTCCTCATTTCTGGATGGAGCAAGACAGTTCTTGCCCTCACATTCCCCTGCCCTGGACTATTGTAAGGTGTGAGGACCACTGTGCAGTAAACAGCCACTCCTGTTGTGGGGTGGGTCCTGCCAACAGGGTGTGCCGGGTGTTATGGCATCCTGCAGTGGGGGAAGTCTCCCCAACACCAGGTCTTTCTCAGCTGGTCTACTTGGAAGAGGGTCCTGTCCAAAGAGGTCATCTGGGAAAGAGGACACTCTTAGCTGGCTCTGGCCAGCTGACCTGTCCCACCCAGGCCCCGCCCAGGGCAACAGAAACCTTTTGGTCAGGTTGTGTAAAGGACTTCTATTCTCACCCTTGATGGGCACCTTTATTCATATACCCAATCATGGATCCTGCGTTAGTGGGTTCCCATACCTTCCACTGTCTACCCCATTGGACCCTGGACTGCAGACTATAGGCCCTCCTGGTGTCTGGCGGTTTTACAGGACTCCACATTGGGATTGGAAAGCATGGAGTTTGGGCTGAACAGGAGTTGCCTAGACAGAGCTCAGCATGAGAGTGCAGAGTTCCTGCCCTCAGAGGGTGAGGCTAGGCCTAGCCTCTGTGTGACTTCTTCCCTTCCTCAGGTGCTGATCCGGAGTGGCCGAGTACCTATCGTGTCCCTGGAGTGCGTGTCTTGCAAGGCCCAGGCTGTGTATGAAGTGAGCCGAAGCTCCTATGTGTACCTCAAGGGACACTGCCACAACTGCAGCAGTGGTTCCAAGCAAGGGGTGAGCAGTGGGTAGTTGAGGGTGCCCTGGGCTAGTAGCCTGGGCTGTGGCATTGCCCTACCATGTTCTGTATGCACTCATCCTACAGCGCTGGGCTGCACGCACCTTCAGCAACAAGACACTGGTGCTGGATGAGACAACCACATCCACGGGCAGCTCAGGCATGCGGCTGGTGTTGCGGCGTGGCGTGCTGCGTGATGGTGAGGGCTACACCTTCACACTCACGGTGCTGGGCCACTCAGGGGAGGAGGAGGGCTGTGCCTCCATCCGTCTCTCGCCCAACCGCCCTCCGCTTGGGGGCGCTTGCCACCTCTTTCCGCTGGACGCTGTGCATGCCCTCACCACCAAGGTGCACTTTGAATGCTCAGGTGAGTGTGGGCCCCCTGGGGGAGGCTGGTGCGGGCGCAGTGCCACCCTGACGCTGTGCCTTCACAGGCTGGCGAGATGCAGAGGACTCTGGGGCCCCGCTGGTGTATGCCCTGTTCTTACGGCGTTGTCGCCGAGGCTACTGTGAGGATTTCTGCGTCTACAAGGGCAGCCTTTCCAGCTATGGGGCTGTCCTACCGCCTGGCTTCAGGCCACACTTTGAGGTGGGCCTGACTGTGGTTGTGCAAGACCAGCTTGGTGCTGCTGTGGTTGCACTCAACAGGTGAGCTGGGCCCCAGGAGTGGGGATGTGGTGACCACTGCCTGCTTACAGCCTACCTCTGTCCTGTAGGTCTCTAGCCATTGTCCTGCCAGAGCCTAATGGTACCTCTGTGGGCCTCATGCCCTGGCTACACAGCCTGACTGCCAGCGTGCTGCCCGGGCTGCTAAGGCAGGCCGACCCCCAGCATGTCATCGAGTACTCCTTGGCCCTCATCACCGTGCTTAATGAGGTCAGTGCAGGTGGAAGGAGAGGGCTCCCCCATCGTCTGCTCTGTGATGGGGTTGGAAACCAGTGCTCCTGACAGCCTCAAAAAGGCTGTGTGTCCAGGCATCTAACAGACAAAATACCTTGAAATGAGGACTCCTGCCTTCAGCAGCCACCATGTGCTGACCCCTCCCCAATGCCAGCTTTCCCACAGCACCCTTCTGATTTCCCTGGCCAGTAGGGCATCCTGTGTGTGTCCTGTTTTCCCTTGAGGAAACAACTTAGGACTTTGATTTCCTGCCCAGGGCAGCCAGCATGAAGGCACATGTACCTGCATTCTGGGCACCCTTCCCAACATTGCTGGAGGGCTGCCTATGCTGCCCTGCTGACAGCTCCCTTGTGCTCACCACAGTATGAACAGGCCCCAGATATGGTGGCAGAGTCTGACCATGAGCGACAGCTGCGAGCCCAGGTGCGCAAGAACATCACAGAGACCCTGGTCTCCCTGCGGGTCAACACCGTGGATGACATCCAGCAGATCACTGCTGTGCTGGCCCAGTGCATGGTAGGACAGCCAGGCATAGCAAGCCCTGCAAGCCCCAGGCCCTGCACAGCACTGGCTGTCCTGGCATGTGCTGATGCTGGCAGCCCCACTGTTTCTCTGTGGCTGCTGCCTAGCTTGAGCCCACAGTGCTCCTTAGCAAGCCTGCAGGTTGGCCCAGGGCAGAAGGAGCAGCCCAAGAGGATGTGGGGGGCAACATGAAGGTCCTTTTTAGTGCCCTCCCTCAGGTCTGTGGTCACACCTCACTTAACTGACACACCTGATTGGGCCTTGTCAACCTATGAGGTGTCTAGACTTGAGAACAGAGAAAGGCACATCTGGTGGGAAAGTGCTGTGCCCAGATGTGGAGGGGATCACTACAGAGGCCAAGTCTTAGGAGAAAGGAGCACAGAGCTTTCCAGGCGAAGTCACTGTCAACCATATGGCTTCTGTGGTCTTGTGTGTGGCTGGCTTTGGACTCCAGCCAGGGCCTTAGTCCTGCTCTTAGTTACTGCTCTTAGTTGTGTGAAAAGATGTCACACAGTAGGCCCCAGGAAGAGCATAGCTGTTCCCCCGCAGGGTTAGGAAGAGCCACAGAAGACGTCTCAGTAGCAAGGGCCTGGATGGTATTGCATCTGGGTAGGTGCCCCAGCACAGGGTACTATGTTGGAGGTATGAGGGCTGCCTGGCGTCCTGGGGATGTGAGCAGGCAGAACTGGCCAAGAGTTGGAGAAGGGAAAGAGCAAACACTTCAAGGCTACTTGGCAGGATGGATCTGGATGTTGTGTGGACTCCATGCAGGTGTCCAGCAGGGAGCTCGTGTGCCGCTCATGCCTAAAGAAGCTGCTGCACAAGCTGGAGGGTATGATGCGCATCCTTCAGGCCGAGACCACTGAGGGCACGGTGACACCCACCACAATCGCCGACAGTATCCTCAACATCACAGGTGGGTGCTTGCCCCCAGTCCACTCCCCCCTTGGCCTCTCCTCTAGCCTCCTGCTGCCTCCTCCCTCAATATTCTGCATTTCCTGTGCCCATCTGCAGGGGACCTCATCCACCTGGCCAGTTCAGACGTGCAGGGCCTGCAGCCCTCAGAGCTGGGGGCTGAGCCACCTTCGCCGAATGGTGGCGTCCAAGGCCTACAACCTCTCCTCGGCCCTCATGTGCATCCTCATGCGCTCCCGTGTGCTTAATGAGGAGCCTCTGACCCTGGTGGGTGAAGAGATTTTGGCCCAGGGCAAGCGCTCAGACCCACTGAGCCTGTTGTGCTACGGCAACACCTCAGGGCCTGGCTGCCATTTCTCCATCCCTGAGGCCTTCAGCGGGGCCCTGTCCAATCTCAGTGATGTGGTGCAGCTCATCTTCCTTGTGGACTCCAACCCCTTCCCCTTTGGCTACATTAGCAACTACACCGTGTCCACCAAGGTGGCGTCCATGGCCTTCCAGACACAGGCTGGCACCCAGATCCCCATTGAGCGCCTGGCTGCAGAGCGTGCCATCACAGTGAAGGTGCCCAACAACTTAGACCAGGCTGCCCAGGGCTCATACACCCCTGCAGGCTCCGCCATCATCCAGCCCCGGGCCTCAGTCAGTGCCGTGGTCACCCCGGACAACAGCAATCCTGAGGCTGGGCTGCACCTGCAGCTCACGTACACAATGCTCAATGGTGGGTATCACGGGTGGGCACCTGTACCACCTGGCTCCCTCCAGCCTTATCCCTGTGGAGGAGGCATTTATGCAAACACCATCATATTTGTGGCCACTGGCACTGTCTGCCTCCTACCATATAGGGGTTTGACTGGAGGGCATTGGAGCCATGGAAGAGCACATGCTGCCCCTGATGTAGAAGGTCCCCAGTCCTCTGCTCATGTAGCCCCAAACCTCCAGGCAGAGGGCTCTTGGGGGTGTCCCTAGGGTGGTGAGCTTCCTAGGTAAGCATCTGACACTATGCATACTGCTCCCAGAGCTCTACCTGTCTGAGGAGCCCGAGCCCTACCTGGCTGTCTACCTGCACTCGGCACCCCGCCCCAATGAGTATAACTGTTCTGCCAGAAGGAGGATCAGCCTAGAAGTGCTCAAGGGTGCTGATCACAGGCCCTATACCTTCTTCATTGCCCCAGGGTGAGCACCTCCTGCCAGAGGCCACAAAAACTGGGACCTGGGAGTGGGCCAGGGCAGGTGGCATGGTTTGGTGTATATTGGCCGTGGGCATAGGGGCTCTGTGGAGCCAGTGGTGGCAGGAAGGCTGGGGAGTTGCCAGGTTTGGCAGCCGAGACCAGAACACCCCCGTGACCCCCATGGAGTCTGGCTGTGACATTGCTCCTTGTTTCTGGTAGGACTGGGGACTCAGGTGGGAGTTACTACCTGAACCTGACTAGCCATTTCCACTGGTCGGCCCTGGAGGTGTCCGTGAGCCTGTATACATCCCTGTGCCAGTATTTTAGTGAGGAGGAGATGATGTGGCGGACTGACGGACTCGTGCCTCTGGAGGAGACCTCACCCAGCCAGGCTGTCTGCCTCACCCGCCACCTCACGGCCTTTGGCGCCAGCCTCTTTGTGCCTCCCAGCCATGTCCACTTCATCTTTCCTGTGAGTGGCACCCCTATTCCTGGATCTCTTCACCAGGTTGCAGGCCTCAGTGGGCTTTAGTTTTGTCCTTAGAAAGTGAAGTGTGTAATTGACCTCCTGGGCTGATGACTGTCTTCCCAGGAGCCATCTGCGGGTGTGAACTACATTGTCCTGCTGACATGTGCTGTGTGTCTGGTGACCTATATGGTCATGGCTGTGATCCTGCGCAAGCTGGACCAGCTGGATGTCCGCAGGGTCCGCATCATCCCATTCTGTGGAAAGCGGGGGCGCTTCAAGTATGAGATCCTGGTCAAGACTGGCTGGGGTCGAGGCTCAGGTGAGTGGGTGGTAGCTGTTGGCAGGGACCCAGGGTCCACCTTGGTCTGGTCCCCAGCTGCAGTCCTAGGCTCTGACTGGTCAGCTCCCCTAATGGTGATTATGGAAATAGGTGTCCAAAAGCAAGGGCTCAGTTTTCCAAGTGCTGTGCGAAGGGTCATCTCATGAAAACAAAAAACAGCAACAAAAAACAAACATGGAAATGTGGTGTGGCTCAGTGGTGTAGTGCTTGCTTAGCACATGTGAGCCCGTGGGTTCCATCCCCAGCATTGCAAAACAAAACAAAACAAAACAAAAAGGTAGGGGGGAAATAAAAACCAAAAAACATAAAGGGTTAGCTCATGAATCCTCAAAAAGATCTTATTGCAGATCCTGGTTGCTCCTGCAAAAGAGAATAGCTCCTGGCACCGCATCGGTGCTCAGTTCACACAAGTGACCCGCACTCTGCACGGTAGCCTGGTCCTCCTAGTGTGTGCATACACAAACCACGCACAGATTGGTCAGCAGTGGGGGAACCTTTGAAATTCTGTAACCTTTGAAATTTATTCCTGAACATTGAAAACTCTTACTGTTGGCTACAAACAGAAAACTAGTGTTTTCGTAGTATTCTGTAACTGAAAATGTCAAAAGCTGGGAGTTAAAGTGTGACTAGCACTTGCCTTCTTGTGAGCATCGTTTTGCTTTGGTGAGTGTCATGTTCCCAGCAAGGAGCATTGCTGTTTTTGCATTCAGTATTGTGAAACACTCCCCAGAGTTGTTTAAATGGGAGCTTTTAACAAGCGTCCATTCTGATGTGACAGTGACTTGTTGTGACGTCACTTCCTTCGCTTACATGAATAAGTCCGTCCTTGAGGATGAGTCTCGATGCCTGTGCCATGGTCTCAGGTGGAGGCAGTGCAGGATCCCCGTGGCTGTCACTTCAGCAACTCTGTTTACCTTTAATTTGAATTTCATTTCCAGTGTTAGCATTTTTTTATTTTTTTATTATTGTTTTTAAGTTTCTGGGAACTGGGGGAAGAACCCAGGGCCTCACGTGGGCTGCGCACGTGCTCTAGCCTGAGCCGTACCCCAGTCCATCGCTTTTCATTTCTTTGTTGTGTTTTCATTATTACTGGTCAGTTCTCTTTTTTGATCATCCATTTTCAAAATCCGTGTGTGGGGTTATTGCTGGGAGAGAAGGAGGCCACTCAGCTACATGGCTGGTGGTCTCTTGTGACTGAGGGGTGGACAGGGGTGCCTTGGCACTGGCCATGAGGCACATTTTATCTCATGGTGATAGGCAGACTAAGGAGCTGCCACCAGGCTTGCACTCTGCATTGCTGGGGTCTAACATACCTGCATGGCAACTGAAAGCTAATTCGTATCCTTCAGGGGTTGGTGTTCATTTAACAAATTAAAGAAACCAGAATGCGTGTCTGTCAGAAGTATCCAAAGCACAGGAGTGCTTGTTGAATGAATGTTGAATGAAGGTTGGCAGACAGAATAACTTGCCTGGGTCACCTGCAGTGGACAGAGTTCTTCACCCTTGCTTTCTCCAGGTACCACGGCCCATGTGGGCATCATGCTGTATGGAGTGGACAGCCAGAGTGGCCACCGGCACCTAGATGGAGACAGAGCCTTCCACCGGAACAGCCTGGACATCTTCCAGATTGCCACCCCACATAGTCTGGGCAGGGTGTGGAAGATCCGTGTGTGGCATGACAACAAAGGTCAGGGTGGGTGCCACTGTTGCCCCTGTGCCCTGCCAGCTTACTGCAGCCCTCACCAGGGTTCCTCCTCTCTGCAGGGCTCAGCCCCGCCTGGTTCCTGCAGCATGTCATCGTCAGGGACCTGCAGAGTACCCACAGCACCTGCTTTCTGGTCAACGACTGGCTTTCTGTGGAGACTGAGGCCAATGGGGGACTGGTAGAGAAGGAGGTGCTGGCAGCAAGTAAGGCCGCTTCCCAACCGGGGTGGGAGGGGATGTGGGGGTGGAACCTGCTCCCCGCTCTCTCCCTGTAACCCCTCTGGTCCCTTCTCCCAGGTGACGCAGCCCTGTGGCGGTTCCGGCGCCTCCTAGTGGCTGAACTGCAGCGTGGCTTCTTTGACAAGCACATCTGGCTGTCCTTATGGGACCGGCCACCTCGAAGCCGCTTCACCCGTGTCCAGAGGGCCACATGTTGTGTCCTCCTCCTCTGCCTCTTCCTGGGTGCCAATGCTGTGTGGTACGGGGTTGTGGGACATGTCACCTACAGGTGGGTGCCTGTGAGATCAAGGTGGCCTCCTTGTTGACTCTTTCTGTCCTTCAGTGTAACCCAGCCTGGGTTTTTCTTTCCTGCTACAGCACAGGACCTGTGTCCAGTCTGATCCCACCGAGTGTTGACACAGTTGCCATTGGCCTGGTGTCCAGCATGGTGGTCTATCCTGTCTACTTGGCCATCCTGTTCCTCTTCCGGATGTCTCGGAGCAAGGTAGGCTGGGCTGGGCTGGGCTGGGGCTTTGAACCCCTGGTGGAGCATGGGCCTGTCACTCAGCCAAGGGTGGTAGTTCTGATACAGCAGCTAGAGGGGAATAAAAACAAGAAACCAAAATCTGATCCTTTGAAAAGGTCAACAAAATTGTAAAGTGACTAAAGTTAAAAAAAAACAAACAAAAAAACCCTCAAATTGCCAAAACCATGACTGAAATATTCATGGCTCAGCTTATAGAAATTGATAGGACTCTGAAGGGCATGTTGCAACACCTTAGGTAACTGAGAAGAAACGGACTCATGTCTTGGAAGACAAATCACCAAGACTGCCTCAGGAAGAAGCAGACAATCTGAAGAGGCATGTCATGAGAAAAGAGGCTGAATTAGTAATTTGGAAACTTCCCACAAAAAAGAGCCAGGCCCACCTGGCTACATAACTGATGTTAAGATTAACATCAGTCCTTCACCAGCTCTTCCCAACAGTACTCTTCCATGAGGCCAGCACTGTTCTCACACCAAAGTCACACAAGGACATCACAAGAAAAGGAAACCACAGACTAATGTCCCTTACAAACAGTCATGGTCAGACCCTCCAAGTGCACTAGCAAGTTGGGTCCGAAAGTACCTAAGAAAGAATTGTGCACCAAGACCAAGAGAAATGTCACCAGGGGTCCAGGGCAGTACTGTTCAGCCACATGTGGCCGTTCACGTGTGTGCTTAATTGAGATTTAGCGAAGGCAAAGGTTTGGTTTTGTTAGGGATTGTACCTAGGGCCTTGCACACTCTAGGCGGTAGGTACCTGACCAGTGAGCTATACCCCTAGCCCCCACAGATTGTGTCTGAATGCTGCCACCCCCGTCTCTGGTGTCGGCGAGTGGTGCGTGGCCAGGGCCCACCGTAACAGTGCACATCTGGAACATTCTTTAGAAGATGCTGTTCTACACTGGCTAGTCTGCTCGGTTTTTTTAAATAAAGACATGGTTTCACTACAGCCCAGGCTGGCCTTGAACTAGCCATCCTCCTGCCTCAGTTTCCTGAGTGCTAGGACTAAGGTGTGTTCTACACACCCAAGGTAGGAGGTAGCTTCTTAACCCTTCTCTAAGTAGAGGTCAGAGCTGCCTCCTGCTGACGACCTGACCTCTCCCTACAGGTGGCTGGGGGTCTGAACTCCATCACCACAGAGCAGCAGACAGTGGACTTTGACAGCTACCTGGACTCATCTGTGCTGGAAAGCTCCTTCCTCACACTTTCAGGTCTCCGTGCTGAGGTGAGGGTTCCACCAGAGGCCCTGCCTGGGCTGGGCTCGGCTGGGCTGGGCCGGGCCTGTGGCCTCAGCAGCCCAGACTGAGCTGTCTGCCCTTCTCAGCAGGCCTTCGCTGCACAAATCACAGGTGACTTATTTCTGGATGATTCTAAAAGGTGAGGCACCTACAGAAATCATGAGCCTTGGGTTAGTTCAGTTGTGCCTGGCGGGCTGTGTTGGGGGGCGTGGGGCTGTATGTGTCCTTGTCTCAGTGTTGTCACACACTGGCTTGGAAGCCTCATATGTCCTGTGCATGACACGTACTGTGTGTGAGTGGATTTGGCTCGGGTATATGTAAAGACACTTCTCTTGGTGCCCTTGCTGACCTGTGAGTTGCCCACAGCCTGGTGTGCTGGCCATCCAGTGAAGGCACACTCAGTTGGCCAGACCTGCTCAGTGATCCATCCATTGTGGGCAGCACCCTGCAACAGCTGGCACGGGGCCAGATGGGCCACACGTTGGGCCCAGAGGAAGATGGTGTCTCTCTGGTCAGTCCCGCCTCACCTGCCAAATACTTCTCTACATCAGGTAAGCCAGGGACAGGACAAGGGGAGGCTTCCAGGCCCAGGCAAGAAGAGTTCCAGAGCCCTGAGTGCTGGCTGCCCCAATGTGTTCTACTCCCCTAGATGGAGACCTGACGCGGCAAGTCCTGGCAGAAGAGGCCGGCACCCTGGCTCCCACCCACGGCACCTATGTAGAAACGGACCTGCTTACCAGCTTGTGAGTACCCAGATCCTGGGGGCGGGGACTGGCGTGGGCAGCAGAGGCCAGGCTGAGGAGCCTCACTAAGGGTGGGTGAGGGTTTCCGAGCTTTGCCTAGTGCTGGGTTGTGGCCATGTTGCTTGACTGCTGTAAGCCTCTGGATCCACAGTGGTGGAAAGGAGCTTGCGGGAGCCCCCCAGGACTCCTCTTTGGGGTATTTGAGGAGTGAAAAGGCAACAAGTGTAGACCTGATGGCCGTGGCCTGGGAAGGAGCTTTGATTTTGGTCTCAGAATGGTGAGAAATCATGGGCAAGTTTTTAAATATTCCATTATTTTCATTTTGAAACATTTTTATTATTTGAATTTTTAAGCGTTTCCCCTTTTTCTAATTCAGTGACATTCACATAGAATCACGCACTTTGAGCTGGTAGAGAGTTGAAAACCTCAGTCCCACCAACACTTTTTTTTTTTTTTTTTTTTGTGGGACTCGGGTTCTGAACTCAGGCATTCACACTTGGAAAGTAGGCACTCAATGATACTTGAGCCACGCCTCCAGTCTATTTTTGGTCTGGTTATTTTAGACATGGGGCCTCTCAAACTATTTGCCCAGGCTGGCCTGGAACCTCAATCCTCCTGATCCTAGTGCAGGTACACCAGCCTGAGATGTTCCCAGAAGTCCTCAGTTCTTACCCTTGTCCCCGCACTCCAGGGCTGATGGACCGGCTGCCCCATCTGGTGGCCAGTGGTCCCCATGAGCGAGTGATCTTCAGTAAGAAGCAGAATCCACAGTGCCTCTTATGAGCAGCCTCTTAGTTGCACGCCGTCGTTTCCACAGAACCCTTTCCATTACTCTGGGAGACTACGTGGGTCTGATGCCAGGGGAAGCACTGTCGGGGGGCCATCCTGGCTGTGGCCTTCCACACTAGAGCAATCGCCACACCTCCCAGAGCCAAGCTGAGGTCCTGCTGCTGCTCCACCCAGCCCTCAAATCTGTCCTCACTGCCTCCCTGAGCGCCTCCTGCCACCCCTTGTCACACTGCTCCCCTCACCTTCCCTCCATCTCATATATCTACTTGCTCCCTCTGCCCAGAGTTCTTCCCTGAGGTGACAGCTCATGTGTCCTTTTCTTCAGGTCTGTGCTCAAATGTTGTCTGAACAGAGCCTGCTTTCGGCCTGGCACAGACTCAGCGAGGTCTAGCAATGTGTACCCATGCATGTGCACACGCTGTAGCTTTAAGTCACTTGGCCAGCCCACGTACCACCTTCTTTCCTGTGCTTCATGTACTGTCATGTTCTTGCTACTGGTGAACCATGTGCACCAGGAGTACAGGGACTTTGTTCTTTTCACTGTTGTGTCCCCAGGGCCTCTGGGAGTATGTGGCATCTAATGGAATGGGTAAATGCTTGGGAAAGTAAAGGAGCCAGCATTATGTAGCGACAGGCACAGTGCTTGCCCTCTTACAGCTGAGGGGCTGATGTAAAACGCTGGCTGTTCCATGCTGCCTGTAACACGTGATCCTGACTATGTGTCCACACGTGTACCACAGACAAGTCTGCATGCAGGAGGACTGTGGAGACCTGGTGGTGCTCCTATTCTGTGGCAGGAACACTAGTATCACGTCCTTCCTGTTGTTACTCTTTTTAAATGCTGTACCTGACTTACACTCGGAAAAGCCAACTTTAAGAAAATCTGTCATCTCCACTCATTTGCTATTCTGTGTGCTCCCACCCTGATAGATGATGTGCGTTTTAGTGGGCAGTACAGAGCTGGAAATACTTGGTGTGGATGAGTGGCAAGTAAACGCCTGGTATGGGGCATACAGTCAGGGCCCAGGGGTGAAGCAAGCACCAGTAATGGGAACTTTCTCCTCAGGCATCACAGCAGTCCTGCTTCCTCTTCCTGCCTCATCATCCATACTTTCCTTGCTTCTGTAGCCCCACTTCTCCTGTGGCAGATCTGAAACCAGGAAGGTCAGGATGAACTCTGCATGGTGCTCTGTCCAGGAGGCTCCAGACAGGAGGTCCCTTAGGAAAAAGTGGGTCTCTGGGTCCACTGATCCCTGTAATGGGATTTGAAAGATGTTTGTGCCTTTCTTGTCCAAGGCTGTTTTTTTTTTTCTATGTGGTACTGGGGTTTGAACACCACCGCTCGAACCACTCCATAGTCCTCCAAGGCTAATTTTAGACCACACAACCATACAGGAACTTGCTGGGTCTACAGTGTCTGTTCCTGCAGCCAGGCTTCACTGGGAGGTTTGAAACTCAGTCCTCCTTGGCTGGTATGAAGAACTTGTGGGAGGCTGTTGTGCTTCAAGAGGCAACAGGGCTGCTGGGGCAGTAGGACAGATTTAGGGCAAGGACTCACTGGTCAGTCTGTGGGCAGTGGGTGTGGAAGCAGGAAGTGGATGAGAGAGACTATGGTGCCCTGAGTAGCCAGCACCATACTCACCTGCTCTGAGCATGAGCCGTTCAAGGGCCTGCCCCTAGATGAGGTTGAGCTGAGCACCACTGCCTCTTCTTGGAGGGTGCATGAAACTCACAACCGTGCCCTGTACTCAGGTCCAGCGCCCCTGGAGAGAAGACTGAGACGCTGCTGCTGCAGAGACTGAGGGAAAAGGGGCCTCCCAGTCCGGGCCTGACCTGGGAACAGCCTGCGTTGACAAGGCTCTCCAGGACAGGTGCACTCTTGGACCACATTCCCCCCAGCCCCTCCCTCTGGGCTGCCCAACAATGCAGCTGCCTCTTGTCCCCAGGACTGGTGGAAGGGCTTCGGAAGCGACTGCTGCCCACCTGGTGTGCCCCCCTGGCCCACGGGCTCAGCCTGCTTCTGGTGGCTGTGGCCATGGGAGTCTCAGGGTGGGTTGGTGCCAGCTTCCCCCCAGTGTAAGTGTCACTTGGCTGCTCTCGAGCACCTCCAGCTTCCTGGCCTCATTCCTTGGCTGGGAGCCACTGAAGGTAAGTGGGCTCACGATGGGGGACGGGGTTGCCTGACAGTCTTGCACTTGCCAGCTGATGCCACCCCAATCTCAGGTCCTGCTGGAAGCCCTCTACTTCTCACTGGTGGCCAAACGGCTGCACCCAGATGAAGATGACACCCTGGTGGAGAGCCCAGCTGTGACACCTGTGAGTGAGCGTGTGCCCCGTGTGCGGCCCCCTCATGGTTTCGCACTCTTCCTGGCGAAGGAGGAAGCCCGCAAGGTCAAGAGGCTACACAGCATGCTGAGGGTGAGCTTGGGCTGCAGAGGACACTGTCCACTCCATCCTCCACTTCCTTGCCATCGTCTGGCTACAGAAGGCCCTTTGGTGGGCATTCAAGGTTCCGTACTCCTGCTCTGTCCTCCCCACCACGCCCTCCACACTTGCTGCCCATCTAGGCTACTGTGCATCTCACATCCCCGCCCAGCCTTGTGGGGCCCTGGGCACAGCTGTCTTGGCCCTCAGTGGCCAACAGGGGTGCTGGCTGGATGTCTGTGCTGCCATTCCTTAGTGCCAGATACCCTGACAGGAAGGCAGTTTGCTCCCTGTCAAACCTGAAGCCCTGTCCTGATCCTGTGAGCTGGGACCAGCTGACCACAGGGCTGTCCCTGTCCCCCAGAGCCTCTTGGTGTACATGCTCTTCCTGCTGGTGACACTGCTGGCGAACTATGGGGACGCCTCGTTCCATGGCCACGCCTATCGTCTGCAAAGTGCCATCAAGCAGGAGCTGGACAGCCAGGCCTTCCTGGCCATCACCCGGTAGGGACACTCTAGGACATACATACCCATCTGTTGGGCCAGGGTGGCACTGACATCTGCCAGGGCCCACTTTGATGTTAGTCCAGCCCAGGCTCTCGGTCATTTGGTTGTCAGGAGCAGCGCACATACTAAGACATCTGGCAGGAATACTGTTAAGCATTGCACAGTACACTGGACAGTCTCAGGACAGACTTGTCCCCAAACATTAGCAGGCCAAGGGCAAGGAACCTGGGTCTAGCCTCAGCCTCTTGGGCTGCAGCTGCTATGCTTCCTGGGCCCTAACAGCCTTGACCCAGTGGGGCAGGACACTCACTGGCTGGTGCGACCTTGTATCTGCTGCCTGCAGGTCCGATGAATTCTGGCCATGGATGTCCCATGTGCTGCTGCCCTACATCCATGGGAACCAGTCCAGTCCTGATCTGGGGCCCCCACGGCTGCGGCAGGTGCGGCTGAAGGAAGGTGAGCCATGCTGTGGAGGCAGCCGAGCCTCGTGTCAGTTCTGCTACCTAGGCGTGCAGCCTTTACTCTTTCCTGCCTCGGTTTGCGTCGGGTAGCGTAGGTAACCATGATGTCTCCTTTGTGGGCTGGGAGAGTTCGGGAAGTCATTCAGTACAGAGGTGCTTCCCAGTTACCGAATAGTGACTGGGCCCGTCTGGATTGCGATCGTGCCCCGGCCCTGGCCTTCTGCCTTCCAGCATTCTGCCCTGACCCTCCCCGCTCAGAGGTGCACAGGTGCTCAGCCGTGGGAGGCTTCAGCACCGGGGACTATGGCATTGGGTGGCAGAATGCAGCTCACAATGACTCCGAGACATGGGCGTACTCTGCACCTGACCTGCTGGGGTGAGCAGAACAGGGCCCTGGGCGTTGGGATGGGGGGCCCTCGCCCCATGCCTACAGGGCTGGGACAGATGCAGCACCTCCCCATCTCTGCAGTGCCTGGTACTGGGGCTACTGCGCGGTGTATGACAGTGGTGGCTACGTGCAGGAGCTGGGCCTGAGCCTGGAGGAAAGCCGCGCACGGCTAGGCTTCCTGCAGCTGCACAACTGGCTTGACAGCAGGTGGGTGCTGGCCAGGGTCAGCTGTTGCCGCCACAGGACTCTGGGTCTCCCACCCTCCCAGCTTTGTCCCTGCCCAAGCCCACCCCCCAGACCCCTCCAATCTCCTCCCTGCTGCCCTTGTGCAGGCCGCCTTTGTGCTTCACTGGCCAAATGCAGTGGTCACTCTATCTCCCAAATCCCTCCCCTTGCACAGGAGCCGCGCAGTGTTCGTGGAGCTCACGCGTTACAGCCCTGCCGTGGGACTGCATGCTGCTGTCACGCTGCGCCTCGAGTTCCCTGCTGCTGGCCATGTGCTGACCGCCTTCAGCGTCCGGCCATTTGCTCTGCGGCGCCTCAGTACTGGCCTGTCATTGCCTCTGCTCACCTCGGTATGCCCTGCCCGCTAAGGTCCCGGACTCACCTGAGGGACCTGGCCTCTCCCCTCCACAGGACACCACCCATCCCCTGGCATGTCCCACGGGACCGCCCCTTGGGCCCTGCCCAGCCCTAACCCTGCCTCCTGCAGGTGTGCCTGCTGCTGTTTGCGCTGTACTTCTCCATGGCTGAGGTGCGCACCTGGCGCAGGGAGGGCTGCGTGCGAGCAGTGCGGCCTGGGGCCTGGGCACGGTGGCTGCTGGTGGCACTGACCGTGTCCACAGCGCTGGTGCACCTGGCTCAGCTGGGTACTGCTGACCGCCAGTGGACCCGCTTCCTGCGCAGCCGCCCGCACCACTTCACCAGCTTCGACCTGGTGGCTCAGCTGAGTGCTGTGGCCCGTGGCCTGGCGGCCTCACTGCTCTTCTTGCTCTGGGTCAAGGTGAGGCACAGGCTGGTATGTGTCGGGCTGGGCACAGCCTTACGCCCTGGCACAGACTGGCCCCTCCTGGTCTCTCTAGGCTGCCCAGCAGCTGCGGTTTGTGCGTCAGTGGTCTGTTTTCAGCAAGACATTGTGCAGGGCCCTGCCAGAGCTTGTGGGGGCCACCCTGGGCCTGGTTGTGCTTGGTGTGGCCTATGCCCAGCTGGTTGTTCTGGTAGGTGACAGCTGTCGGGATCTGCGGGGGGAGGGATTTTGTTCAAGCACACTCTTACTCCTGCTACTTCCCAGCAGCTCGTCTCCTCCTGCGTTGACTCTCTCCAGAACATGGCCGCCTTCTTAGTGCTATGCCCTGGGACCAGGGTCCCCAGTCTGTGCTCCACTGAGTCCTGGTACCTGACCCCCCTGCTGTGTGGAGGGCTCTGGGCTCTGCGAGTCTGGGGTGCCCTGAGGCTGGGGTCTGTCATCCTGCGTTGGCGGTACCATGCCCTGCGTGGAGAGTTATACCGTCCGGCCTGGGAGCCCCAGGACTATGAGATGGTGGAGCTTTTCTTGCGCAGGCTGCGCCTCTGGATGGGCTTCAGCAAAGTTAAGGAGGTGGGTACGGCCCAGTGGGGGGGAGAGGGATGCACCCTGGGCCCAGTGAGCCCAGGGTGCAGCCGGACTGACCGAGCCCCTGTGCCGCCCCCAGTTCCGCCACAAAGTCCGCTTTGAAGGGATGGAGCCGTTGCCCTCCCGCTCGTCCAGGGGCTCCAAGTCCCCTCCTGTTGCGCCCCCACCTAGTGCCGGCTCGGATGCCTCCCATCCCTCCACCTCCTCCAGCCAGCTGGATGGGCTGAGCTCGGGTTTAGGCCGTCTGGGGCTGAGGGGGGAGCCGGAGCCCTCCCGCCTCCACGCAGTGTTTGAGGCCCTGCTCACTCAGTTTGACCGACTCAACCAGGCCACAGAGGATGTCTACCAGCTGGAGCAGCAGCTACAGAGCCTTCAAGGCCAGAGGAGCAGCAGGCCTCCCACCTCACCTCCCCCAGGCTGCTCCTCGTGCCCTCAGCCAGCCCTGACCAGCTGTCTTGCCCGGGCCAGTCAGGTCATGGACCAGGCTACAGGCCCCAGCAGGGCATCCCTATGGGCCAAGAACAAGATCCACCCACGCAATACTTAGCCCCAGGGAACCTGGGTTATGCCCTTCCCTGGGGCTTTGTTCTGGCCCTTTGGAGCCAGGATGGACACCACTCAGTATTACCTTCTGCCACCCTCAAGGTTGGGCAAGGCAGAACAGCTGCACGAAAGGTCCCCAGAGAGCAGGCAGTGTTGGCCTGCCTGTGGGCTTCAGCACTTTAAAGAGGCCATATGGCCAGCCAGGACCCAGGGTCCCCTCCCCACGGGAGGACACAGCAGTATTGGACCGAGCTAATACCCAGCCTCCAAGATGCTAATTTATTTCCCGAGTCCTCAGGTACAGCGGGCTGTGCCCGGCTATCTCCCCTTGCTAAGGATCCAGCTCCGGGGAGGGGTAAGCTGCACCTCCCACTGCCCATCCCCTAAGTTATTACCTCTTCTGTTGTCCCTGCAGCGCACTTGCGTCCAGCTGCCACCCCTGTGTGTCTACCGTAATTTATATGGGGTTAAAATGTATGTATTTTTGTATGTCAGTATTTTTCACTAGGGCCCTGTTCCCCATTGTTGGGAAGGAGGGCTGGGGAAGCTGCAGTCACTCCCTGGATCCGAGTCTGGCCTTGGGCAGGTGCTGAACAGTGTTGGGGGCACAGCTGCCTCCAGGCACATGGGGCCACTGTGGCCTTAACTTTTTTTTTTTTTTTTTTTACCCTGCCTGGGACACTCAGGAGACAAGACCCCTTCTGGGGGCTGGCTCCCAGGACTGGGGAGGATAGTGTGAGGTCATGAGACCTGGCAACACCAGGTCACCCAGTGGTGCAGGACCTGATGTGGGAGGGTGCCTGCCCCAGGAGCAAGGTGTGGCTGCAGCTTCATCCCCACCCAACAGACAAAGTCAAATAAAGCTGTCTGACTGCTACTCTGTGTTTCTGAGTGCCAGGTGAAGAGTTTATTTTACTTAGACAGTGCAGACTCACGGAGGGGTCAGTTGTACAACCAACCCCAAAGAGCCCTGGGTACCTGCTCTCATCAGCAGCCCCAGCAGCCTCACACAAACTCTGTGAAGTCATCCACAGAGGAGATGAGGCGCTTTCGTTGGCCTGTTTCATAGGTGGTTGTGGGCTCAGTTGGTGCTGGGGCTTTGGCGTGGGCTGAGGGGTGCATCAGAGGCAGGCTGGGGCTGGAGTAGTGCGCCTCCTCCCGGATCTGTGGGGAGAGAAGGCCCACATGCTGCTCCCGCCCGGGCCAGCCACCAGAGCCCCAGGCGCCCCCAGCTCCTACCCGCTGGCGGAGCCGCTTGATATGGCGGAGCCGTGCGATCCACTTGGAGGGGTAGATGTCAGTGGGGTTGGAACGGCTATGGTGCACCTGTGAGGCCATCTGGGGACCACAAGGGTAGGACGGTAAGCCCTAACCCAGGGCACCGGCCGACCCATTCTGCCCTCCAGATGTGGTCTCCACTCACATTTGCATGTAGGGCCATCTGGCGGGCCACAAACGGCAGGTTGCGGTCAGACACGATCTTGGCCACACTGGTATCCACAAGGCCCTCCATATCTGGGGAGACACAGGCTCACTCTGGGCTCCGGCCCCACCCACTGCCCACCCACCCACCTGGCCCAGGCTTCACCTTTCCTGCACTGCAAAGTCAGCAGGTTGCACTCGTAGTCCAGGGGTGTGATGATCACATGGACAAAGTTGAACTGGCCCTGCCCAGACAAGAGGAGGGTCATTCACTGCCTCTCTGGTGTCAGGTGCTTGTCACTCCAATGGGCAGTGTTCAGACTCCTGCCTTTGTGGCCGTGAGGATTCATCCTCGTCAGGGTAGAATCTCAGGCACACACTCTGCTCTCCACGCTGCCCAGGGCTCTGACAGTGCCTACTGGCACCCACCCAACCTCTACCCCCGGGATGCACAGCTGACAAACCTGGCCTACTACTCCCAAGTGGGTCTCCCCAGCACCCATACCCAAGGCCCAGCTCTTTCAGCCAGGTCAGTGCCCTCGGCAGGCCATGCACCCAATCGCAGTGAGCTGCCCTGCCTCTTTCTCTCACTCCTCACTTGTCACTTGTCATGACAAAGTCAGCTCCTGAGACTCTGCTCAGTGGCCTCAAGCTTCCCGGGCATTCGAAGCCAATCCTATCACTCTCGAGTGCCACACCTGAGCCCACAGGTCTGGGCTGTGCCTGACTGTCCCTGCCATCCTGACGCTCATAGGTCACAAGCACTATCAGCCCTTCCTTGCCATGTGACCTTGTTCCTGGCACAACACTGGTGCCAACCCAGCGGTGCTGTATGAGGGATCCAGCAGAGGCTCTGAGGGCCACGAACCACAGGAGCTGCTCTAAACAGACACTAAGAGGCAGAGCATGTTTGGCACATGTTCAGTTATCCTGACAAAGGGAACCACCTTCCCACTAATGCTTAAGGCTGCCACTTGGGACACGCCAGTGGACACTGCACATGGCCCCGACCACTGGCCAGTTTCAGAGGCAAGATGGAAGTAACAGAGTTCAGGTTTAGTCAGAGTCCAGCATGCAACAGCCTCACTCACCTTGATGGTGCCCAGCGTGAAGTCCTCACCAGAGTCATTATAGACAATGGAGACAAAGTCATTGCCCAGGTGTCGCTTCTTATCACAACGGTGCTTGTCCACATCCTTGGTGGGCATCAAGGTGGCGATGTGAAAGACGGCTGCAAGACATGTGAGGCCAGGCTGGGTGCTAGGCGGATTCCCAGGCAAGGCACAAAAAAGCAGGATGTCTGCTGCTGGGGCTTGGGGGGTTGGTCCAGGTCAAACCCGCTTTGCCTTCCACCCTTTGGTTTTCTCCTGCAGCTCTGAGAGCCCTGGCTAATGGTTCTGACTCCTCCCAGAGGCCACAGCTTCTGGAGCAGAGCCATCACCTAACCACCACCTCCATACCCAGACCACCACCTTGGGGCCTCAGGATACCTCAGTCATCTCAGGTGGAGGTGCTGCTACACACCTTGCATGATGTCATCATGCCAGCAATAGGTGAACTGGCCATCCTCGCCGCACACATCTAGGCCGCCCAGGTATACCTTGTCAGGCTGACAGTCCTTGAGCTCAATGAGCCTGCCCAGGCCCGTCAGGAACTCCGTGTACCTGTAGGAGCCATGCTCATTGGACAGGATGGCCAGCTCACTGCCGCTCTGTGGAGAGAGTGAAGAAGCAAAGTGGCACAAGCCCAGCTGCTAAAGGTCTGATGGGCTGTTAGAGGGCTGGGCTGGCTCTTGTCACTGTCCCCCACTTGGTACAGAGAAAACTCATGCTGACGGCTGTAAGTTCAGACACCTTGGTGTCATCCTGGGCTCCCGTTTATTCCTACATTTAGTCAGTGGCACATTTGGCTGTGTTTCACCTTCAAAATACAACCGCACTGCTCAGCAACCCTGCACCCTATCCCAGCCTGCTCCCCTCACCTGGGCCGTCAACACCCAGCTCCATCAAGGCTCTCTATGGCAGCCAGAGGGATGTTTTCAAAACACAGAGTACATCATGGAGAACTCTTGGCTCAGAACTGTCCAGCACCCCACTTGGAATAATAGTGTGATCCTACACTGGGCTGAGGCTGCCCACAATGGCCCCCCATCTCCTGCCACCTCCCCATGTTTGCTCAGGGCAGGCCTACCCCAGCACCTTCACACCCACTGCTCTTGTACACACTTGCCTCACCATCCTCATGGCTCTCTCTGGCCCACATCAGCCCGGATGCTGCAGAGCACTAGAGAGGCTGAGCTCTGAGGAGGGAAAGAGTCAGACCCTACTGCCTTGGGAAGGAGCCACAGCCTCGGCGGGGCTGGCCCCAGTGGGTCAACAGCTCAGCAACCTCACCTGGCCTTCTCCCACATACAGGACGGCAATCTTGTGTGTGTCATATGACGGGATCTGGTCAAGGAGTTGCACTGACCGCTCGAAGGACTGTAGCCAGACAGAGCCTGTGTGAACCCAGGGCAGAGGCCTGGCCAACCCACCCAGATGCCCATCCTAGGGAGGGCTCTCCACACCCAGTAAGAGCATGGCACGCTGCTATGGGGGCTATGCCCTCTGCAACCCTGGGTTCTGGTCCCATGGCTCGTACCTACAAGGTGGTGGGGGAAGGAAAACCTACCTCATTGGGCAGCAGGATTGGCTTGTTGGACTCATCACCAAAAAAAGGTGAATGGTAGAGCTGCAGGAACACAAAGCTGCAGAGGGAACAATGATGAGGGCAGGGGCAGGGTGACAGGTCCTAGCCCACAGGGAGAGGAACAGGATCTGAGCCTCATGGTTGAGGACACAAGGCCCTGCACCCCAGGTTGCTCTGCCCAGGGCAGGTTAAATGTCCCCAGGCAGTGTTGAGGCAGTGCCCACCAAGAGGGAGGGGGCCCACCTGGGGTTGATGCCTGGCACTTTCTCAGCACTGGAAGCTGCCGCCCTGCTCTTGAAGGTATCTCTCTCCACCCTCTGGCCTCTGCGCGATGGGGCTGAATCAGAGATGGTATAGCCTCGGGGCCGCAGGCCACTGGGCGAGCGAGGGGAACTGGATGGCAAGGAACCCTCAGGTGGGGCTGGGCCCTGGTTCTCTTCACCTGGGACTGACCAAGCAGCCCCTTCCCCATCCAAGATCCCTGACTGGGACCGGGCCTTGGCCTCAGGACTCAGCCGGCCCACATCAGCCTTGTCCCCAGGGTCCCCAAGGATGTCCTGAAGAGTCTGCAGCTCAGGTGAGGAGCTGGACTTGCTTAGGGGCTGCGAAGGCTGAAAGGAGAGGTCCACGGAGGGCCGGCCACCCTCGGAAGAGATGGCCCGCTCGATGGGGATGCCCCCGGCAGCCAGCTCCTCTGTGTGGGATGACTTCTCTTCCTGACTGGAGGCTGAGGACGACTGCAAAGACCAGCCCAAAAAGAACTTCATCAGCAGGTGCCAGAGCCCCAACTTGTCCCTCTGTTGCGGTCACTCTCCCTGAGCCTATGCTAAACAGAAGAGCCACAGACAGAAAGAGCCCTGCAACAAAGGCCACCCAACTGGACACTGGGAGACCCAGTCTTTTTGAGCAGGAGGGACACAGAAGAGCTGGCCATTTTTCAATCAAGGAAGAGGGAGTGAAGCTTGCAAAGTTCACAATGAAGTTATTACAGAGCCAAGAGGCTTAAAGTGAAGCCACACCCTCTCCGCCCTGTGACCAGAGCTCCCTGCAGAACTCACCCTGCTGTAAGTAACAGGATACGGGCAGGACCTGTCAGCACCTAGCACTGCCTCGAAGTCCTCCAACTCAGGGGGTCCCGTGGGCATGTGAGCACGGCCTTGATTTCCCTCTTCCAGAACCACAGCAGAGTCTGGGGGACACAGACAGGCTGTTGGGAGCTGGGCCAGACCATTCTCATGTGCTCTCAGAGCCAGTGCTTCCCTGCCACAGGGGACCATGCCCCGTGGAGCCACCCTCAGCTCTGCCTGTGGCATCACATGGAGTAGCTGGGGAAGGTCCAGCAACAGCCCTCACACTGGGGCCTCCTGCAGTCTGGGGATCACTGGGCACAAGCTCTGTCCACCTCTGAACCTCCAGTAAAGCATGGAGACAAGGACAGGGCAAGGAAGAAACTCCACTGGAGAAAGACTTCAGCTTGGGAAAGGCACCGGCCTGAAGCCAACCCTGAGACTGCAGAAAGAGGCTGAGTTCCTCCAGGACTTTGGACCTGAGGAAGTAGCAAACAAGGAAGATGCTACATCTGCAAACAGCCTTAAGAGCCCACTCTGAGGGCGAAACCATGTCTTCAAGTCCAACCCAGGCCTGCACCCAGGCATGCTAGGGAGAGGGGGCTGAGGTGCCCCAGCAACATTTCCCAAGCCAGCATCAGGCAGGGCAGAGGTAAGAAGCAACGGAGGGTCAGCACAGCAGACAATGCTAGACCTGACACGCACACCAAAACCTGTCTGCACACTGTCCTTCTGAATGGCTCCTGCCCACAGAAAAACCTGCAGGGCAGACCTGCCAGAGCCCCAGGCAACCAGACAAGGGCCAGTATGCAGGGCCCTTGGCTGGCCTGTGGTGAAAGGCAGATGCGGTTCAATTTGTGGGTTCATACCAATCAGATCACCAGAAGTCAGGGCAAGGTCTGAGGCCTAGGGTTAGGCTTGACCCCCCAAAAGCTTCTACCCACAGGCATCAAGGAGTCTTGGGACCATCCCACCCTGAGGCCTAAGGCCACATACAGCTGGAGTATAGTTCAGCCCAAAGGGCCCAAGTCAAAGGGTTCCCACTGGCAAAGCAAAGGCATTCTGTACAGATGTCCTCATGCGAGTCAGAACCCTGCTCCCTGAGGGCGATGAGAGGCTCAGACGGGGTCATGGAGGGATGACCAGATGAGGGACGATGAGGACAGCGTCTATGAGGCAAAATGGCGCTCTGCAGCACACGCAGCTTCCTTACAGGGACGCGCGAATACCTGCCCAGGAAACGCTCCTGTGCAGCTGTCCTTGGCAGCTGGACTGGTACAGGGAGGACAGAGAGGCCACTGCAAGGCAACCACGCGAGCGGCCGCGTCAGCAGCAGAGACTGCACAGGCCGAGCAGAGGACAGGCACAGACCCGAGCCTGGAGAGGAGAGAGGGGCGGGCCAGCGGCGGCCAGGGCCGGCGCACAGGGCTCTCGGCTCTCCAAGTGGCAGGGGAGGGCAGTGCTTGCCAACTTCCCACACGCAAACATCCTCAGCTGCCAAGCGCCATCTGTACCCACACAGAAGGGCCAAGGTGTGGCCTGGAAGGACAGTGCCTAGATGGTGGGGATGGATGGAGCCTGGGAGCATAGGCAGGCAGGCTCAGGCATCACACCCCAGGTCCAGGCAGGACATGCGACCACCTGTGGTGGCTCCTGCACCTGGCACTGGGCCCCAGCAGAAGTGCTGGGAAAAGCTCCAAAGGGTTCTGCCCATTCCCAGCACTGCCCCAACAGGACCCAAGGAACATCCAGTAGGTCTGTTTTCAAGGAAGAGGGTCCCTTCAGGAGTGAGCCTGCTGCAAATGTCAGGACCCAGAACACTGGCATCTCCCCAGAGGACAATGTGTGGGAGGCCTCAGTGGAGGAAGCCACACTGCCCATGCCCCAGCACCGTGGCTTCCATGCCCACCTGTGTTAGAGCGTGGGAGAGGAGGAGGCTTGGACGTGCCAGCTGCTGGCACCGACAGCGACTTGTACAGAGCCGTGTCGCGGTGCTCCTTAAAGCGCTCGGCAGCCATGAGGGCATTGGACAGCTCCTGCAGGGGCATGTTATTGATGTCCGAGGAGAAGGGGCTGAGTGGGTTCTCCAGGCTCATCAGCCAGCTGGTGTTCCCTGGGAATGGTAGGCAGCACCCTCAGGCTTTCCACCAACAGCCATCCTCTCAGGGCCTTCCAGGGCAGCCTCCATGTGCACTGCCTCAATAGCACATGCCCAGGACCCCTCAGGCCACGGTCCTTAGTGCGAGGTGCCTGGCGCTCTGCTGACCCAGGCCAGAGCCACTGAAGCTAAGCAGGCCGGGCTTGGGAGACACACCTCAGGGCATAGGTTCCTGCAACAGCCTCGCAGCATAATGTCCTATGTCCTCCTCCCACCATTTAGCTCTGACAGCATCCAGGGGCCCTCCTGGGCTCTCAGACTCTATTAAGTCCTTCCTTTTAGCTGAGATACCCACTAGTCTCCCCCAAAATTCATGTTAAGCTTTAACCCCCAGGACTGTGGTAATCAAGGTAAAATGAGGTTCCCTAGTCCAATCTAACTGGTATCCTCCTAGGAAGAGCTCAGAAAATAGATACACAGAGAGACAACTGTGTGAGGACATAGAAAGAAGGCAGCTATGTGCAGGAAAGGCCTCAGAAGGAATGAGCTCTGCCCACAGCCTGGTCTCGGCTTCCAATCTCCGGACGGGAGAATGAATCTCCACAGGCAGGGCCCCTTCTAGTGCTTTGCTGTGGCAGACTCTGCGTCCAATGCCAGCCTCCCCTTAGCTACCGCCCGCTTCTGGAGACCAGCCTCAGTCACCTCTCCACTTCCTTGTGCTTGTTGCTCTGTGCCCACAGCCTGTGGTTCAGTGTCCCACACTGGGTATGTGGGGACTGGGCTCTGAGTGAGGGGAAAGTCACCTGCCTTCTTAGTACCTGTAGGCCTCCGCACCAAGATCTCGGCCCAGCCCTGGGTCAGCAGGGGCACGTAGGCTGCTAGGTTTGTCTTCTCTGGAGCTGGAACCTGGGTACCTGCAGAGGCCTTCTCAGGCTTTGTGGCGGGTATAGTCTGTTGTGGTCCTGGAGAAGTGGGGCCACCTGTGATGTGAGGGGTTTGTATGTCCAGGGCACCAACTCGAAGGCCATGGCCACCTGAGGAGGAGATAGGAGGGCCGATAACCACCACCTGTGTAGTGCAAAGCCACACATACATAGCCAGATGCTCCACCCAGGGCCTGGTCAGCCAGGAACCACCAAGACCCATGCTCTAGAAGTAGCCAGTTCAGCCCCTTGGGCCTGGCCTTCTAAGTGTGGTGGCTTCAGAGAACCCAGGGCAGAAGAGGCCTCAAGCCTGACCACTGGCCACAACTCATTCAAGAATAGCAAAGAAAGCTCTGGTGAGCTGGGCTGAGGCCAGAGTGCTCAGGGCCCAGGGAAACACCAGTAAAGGGAACAGCCCTCAGCCACTGCAGGGCTCTTGCTCCCTCACCACATACAGCCTGAGACAAGCTCACCAGGGGCCACACCCAGGGTCACCAGGAAGTACGACAGGCCTGAAGCCAACCACCTGTTCTTCAGCTCCAAGGGGCCTTTCTAGACACTGGGCCAGCCCAGAAGCATCTGAAAGGCATGGGGCAGCTGCCAGGGAAGCAGTTTGTGCTGAGGCTCACCTGACATGGAGCGGACCCGGTCTCGGGCCCCACGGGATACCTGCTGCCCAGCCTGGGACTCCAGCTTAGCTGGCGCCTCCTTTGTCCGTCTCACATGCACACCAGGCTCAGAGCTGACGATGGAAATGCCACACATAGTCAACAAGGGCTCCCAGAGTCTCTAGGCCAGCAGAACGCACAGCGGGGGAGGAACATTCACCTTGACTCTGGGCTGCCCTGCAGCTCCCCCGAGTCCAAGCCCAGCAATGATCGGGTCCCAGTCCCCACACTTGTAGTCACGGTAACAAGCTTGTTCCCAACCAGCCAGGTTTTGGTCCTGCCACCTGCCAGGAGGAACTCTCCCACAGGAGACCTAAAAGCATAACAGCATCAACTTGCAGCTTGTCCAGAGTTGGGGGGGGGTGAGGGGGGGAGGGGACAATGACATGCCGGGTCTCCTAGACAGGGTGTCTCAGCTCCTGAAGGCCAGTGTAACTTCAGGAGCCCAGAGTAGCTGTGGCCCTGGCTGCCCACAGGAAGGAGGCCTGCATGGCTGCACTTGCCACCACCATCAAGTATGGCCACAGAGGAACAGCTAGATGGCTGCACCTCTCACTCCTGGAGCCCTGGTGTACAGCTCGCACCTCTTGGGTACTGCAGTAAAGTTGGAAAACACATATCGAGCCATCATGTCCAGACATGTTTCTGTGAGCTCTAGGTGGAGATTTTTCAAGTTGTCATCAGCCTGGGCCATGGAGTTCTCATCTGCAGACCCTAGACTGGCACTGGTGAGCGATGTCTGTATCCTGCTGGAGGGAAAGGCCACACCAGGGTCAGGGCTCCAGGCAGGGCCAAGCCCAGTCACCTACTACCAGGGCCAAAGCTCAATGCATGCATGGCCAAGAAGGCCTCACTTGTAAAGACCCCATCAGACCAGGGCACAGCGGCCACATAAGCCGCAGCTTCACAAAATGTGTGGACTATATTATCCCAGAGAGGAGGGGAGATGCCTCATGGGAAAAACCAAGACCCTCTGGTTGGAGCAGAGATCTGAGAGACTGGCAAGACAGGATGTCCAAAGCACACAGGAATTAGGCTATGGCTGTGGCAGACAGCTTAGTCATGCAGAGACTTTGGAAACCATGGGGACAGAGCAAGATTGCATTCTGCCCACAGAGCCACCTCCCATCAAAGGCACAGAGGGGCTGGACTTTGTGTGTAGTTTTACACTCATACCACCCAAATTCCACTTGTACCCCAGGGACCAGGGGAGGGCCTTATGTAGGTTTAATCTGGTACCAATTTCACAGCCCCTTAACTGTATTTTTCTCATGATAAAGAATCTGCTAGAAAAGAGCTGAGAGGAGAGCCTAGTTGAATACCCCACCCTGGCCAGATCCCACCTGATAGAGGCCAGTCTGAGACTAGAGCCCAAGGCAGGAATTAGTGAAGAGCTGGTACTGAAGAGTGGTGGGATGCCAAGGCTGGGAAGGGACTTCCAGGTGAGGAGACAGGTGTCCTCTCTCCTAGTGCAGCCTGGGTTGGCAGGGGCGACCCACAAAGAGATGCTGGTGCCCAAGATCCAGTGCCTGCACTTGGATGCACCTGGGAGAACTGACTGTGGTGTGCCTGGGGCCCAGTCCACTCCTAAGCTGGCCCAATACCCAGAGCCTGACAATAAAAGCCCCTTGGTTCCCTTCAACAACAGAGAGCAGACCTCTTCTATAAGGAAGCCCAAGAAAAAAAGTCTACTCTACACAATGTGAGAAGGCTGAACTCAGGAGAGTGTGCCCAACCTGATTTGCAAGGGCACGGCTTGGATTTGCCAAGCCCTTGCCCTCTAAGAACAAGTGTGTGGGGCTGCCACTGGCATTCCAGCTTTCTCAGAGTAGCTGCCCTGACCAGGGCTCCCAGGCTGACCTCTGAGGATGCTGTAGAGCCAGCTCTGCTCATACAGGGCTCAGGGACAGAATGCAACCTTTCTACCCCTTGTCACTGGGCTCGCCTGGGCTGAGGGCCAGGGTCTCCACCAGCTCCTGCCAAGGAGGGCACCAGCAGACGATGAGGTCATGCAAGCACCCCATGCACCGCCACCCGGGCGCACGTGGGGCCAAGCTCCAGGGTCTGTGCCCCCCTCCCAACGCAGCCCCGCTACCTGCGGACCACATGTTCAGACACACTGATGCTGCGGCACCGGAAGGCCTCGGCGGCACAGCTCTCCTTGAACTCCTTCACAGGTGGAGAGTTACTCAGGCCTTGTTTGGGGGCTCTGGCTATCCTCAAACTACCAGACGAGGAAGGAAGCCCCAAGCCCCAGAGAGCCCAGCTCCCGGGAAGGGGAGGACAAGCCATTAGAGGGGTGAGGAGGAGAGGTCCCAGGTCACAGGGTCAAGATGGAGAAATCCCGCGGGTGAGATGAACAAAAGAACCATGCCAAAGGATAGTTAGCAGGGGAAGAGACAGAAAACAAAAATGCATAAAAATACATCTTATAAATGCGACTGAGAAAAAGTAAGGTTTCACGCATGATACCAAAACAAAGAACATTAGTGCAAATTAAACGTGTGTGGATCACCCCGCACGGCAGATTCCAGGCTGTGCTGACCAGGCATGTCACCCACCCCACACGAAGGCTGGCCCTGCCCAGCCCAGCCCCAGGAGGTGCTGTGGTCTCAATGGCCACGCCCTGGGGTTCATTGTGAAAAGAGACAGTTCTCAGCTCAAGGTCCAAGAGCCTAGAAAGGGGGCTCCAACCTGTGATGGCTGAGCTTATGCCCCCAGCTCCAGCCCCAGGGGTTTGAACATGCAGTTTCTGAGCGTAGGCCACACTGGAAAGTGCCGTATCCCACCTAAGGAGAGCCAAGACAGCCTGGCAGGAAGTGGGACAGGTGGGGAGCCGGTCAACGAGCGCAAACAAGAACACAGAGGCCTAGCACAGCTGGTTTCTGATTCGGCACAAGCAGCTGTGATGGTGAAGACGAGTATGTCCCCTGAGGAGCAGCTCTGCAGAGAGGGGTGGCCCTGGCTGACCAGGGCCTACAGGGCTACGGAGGGGTGTCCATGGACTTCCAGCTGCCCTGATGTGTCCCCGGGCTCCTTCAGTGCAGTGAGACCCAAACCCAGATGCTCACAGCCAGCATCTCGATACCCACTCAGCAAATCTGTACTTGTGGCCTAGGCGGGAGAAGGATGCCAGCTCGTGGGCTCCACAATGCCGCAGGCCACAACAGGCCAGCTTGGAGAGTGTGCAGCACCAATGGCCTTTGCAGACTCTCCCCTGCTTCACAAACCCCAGAGCCTCTCAGCCCCAGTGTACCCTGCATGGTGGCATACCTCCAACCTCAGGCCCTGTGTCCACTCATTAGCCTAGATGCAACCAGTCAGCCCCAGGCCCTACAAAAACCACGGGGATTGCCTGACATCCCACCCCACTTGACATCAGATGTGGCCCCAGTAGGCCCCAAACCTTTTGGGCCTCTCATTGAGACTGGTGCTCCGTGCTCTGAAGCTGTCCTTCTCAGGGGTGTCATCAAAAGACAGGAGGACGTTGGAACGCAGGCCCTGGAGTGGGGCAGACCCAAGTCATGAGGGAGGCCTAGGAAAAGCTGCAGGCCCAGGACAAGGAAGCAGCTCCTACTCCTGTGCCCACCTCAAGTCAAGGTCAGCAAGATTCCACAAGCTTGGCCCCAAACAGTCCCTGCTTCCCACTCCCTGCCCGCCCCTACTCTACCCACAGATAAGCAGGACCTGGTCCTAACAAACACAGACCTCCTGGCCCTGAGCTAACCTTAGTGATGTAAGGGACAAAATCCTTCCGGAAGGGCAGGCGGCACCTGATGAACCACATGGCTATGACGTGATGGGCCAGGCACACGATGTACTGATTGAACCTGAGACAAGGAGAAAAGGGAAGTCATAGTCTCCCTCCTGACACCTGTGGGAACCATCCAGGGACTGGAAGCACAGAACAGAGATGCTAGGGCTTTGGGTGATTCTAGGGCTCAGATGCTAGCATGGATTTCTGTTTTGAGAGGCAAGGGCTAGGCTGTGGCTAGGAAGAGCAGATCTGGGACTGCCAGACTTACTTGGAGGGATTGGTGTACGGCAGGGATATGGCAAACACACTTGCATACTGCTCTGCGGCGAAGTTTCTGTAGAGGTGGGGCAACCTGGCCAAAGCTGTGAGCAAAGACACCCTGTAAGGGAAGCCCAGGCCAGCCTGTGGACAGGCCATGGATGCTGATACTGTCACAGTGTCCTCTGCTTTATTAACAAAAGCCAGGGCAGCTGTTCTAGACCAACACAGGAGTGGCCATAACCACCACAATGTGGCCTTTTTGACCTTGGCCTCAGCTCTAAATGCCATGGTTCCTAGGCCATGGTTCCTAGGCATGGTGACACGCATTTTCATGACCGAGGAGCTTCGAACAGTGTTTACGTTTTTACAGGGTAGTAAGCAAAATAAAAAGAATATGTGACAGAGTTCATGTGGCTCACAAGGCGTCGAATGTCCTTTCTCTGCCCCAACCCACCCTCTCTGCCTCTTCCCACCAAGTGCTGACCTAGCTGTCTGGTGTCTCAACATCTAAAGTCACTGCTGGCCAGACACACACGAGGTACAAGAGATGGCATGAAGAAGGGGTAAACAGGGCATCCTGAACTCCTGAAGGTTACCACCTAACAGGAGAGGGGAAAATTGGGTGTGCTGGCAAAGCACAAGTGGTGGCATGTGCCTTAAGGGACAGAGAGGAAGACTCAGGACCTAGACTCCCATTGGAAGCTCCTATGGGAGGTGCATTTCAACCCATGCTAGGAAACAAAAGGAGCAGTCTGTTCTAGGCTAGGCAAGAAAGTGCTCAGGCAGCTGGCAGATGGTGCCAAGGGCCTGGGGCAGCAGAGGCACCAAGACCCAGGTAGTTCCCCAGGGAGGCCAGCCTGTTTGTGCCCAGGAGGGCAGGAATTCAGCACAGGGTGTTGCAGGCAGGTACAGCCACAACCGCAATGATCCACCTCATGCACTGGCCCACATATGCACTTGTGAACATGTGCACCAGGTAGAGCTATACACACTCACTGGACAGGAACTCCAGGAGCGGGATGGCCATGCTGGCCGTGGCAGAGATGTGCGTGAGCTTCACCACCAGTACGGGCAGTGCCTTGATGATGATGTCCGGCATCTCCACGCTGCAGATGGCCAGGGCCACCACACACTGGCTGGCACAGCGGTAGATGAGGCCTTGTTCCAGGCAGTAAACCATCTCACGCTGTGGGAAGCAAAATGCATCAGGTCTACCTGCTGCCTGCTGGCCCCTGCCCACAGGGATGGCTGAGCTGTCCTGGTGCTCCAGGTGCTTCCCCAGGCCTTGTCTCTCTCATTCTCACCCTGGGATGCTCCACACAAGAGGGAAGGGGCAGGGCTTAGGAAGTTTCCCCAAAAATCTAAGTGGCAAAGCCAGCCTCCAGTTGAGTTCACTCAGGCAGACAGCACAGTGGGAGGCTCTGGTTAGGTGCTTCCTGACCCCTCCCACCAGCCAACAGTGCTGGGCTCCTTAGTCCACCACAAACCAGAACATGCTGGGTCCATGACCCTTGGGTTCTGGGCCCCCTCTGGGGCTGGCTTTGTTGTAAGGGGAGACACCACCTGATGCAGCAAAGCCACTGTGTGCCACACCCACCCTAGCAGTGTCCTCCATGAAGACAGAAACAAAATAATAGTTCAGGCCAGACTGAGACAGTTGTTTTCCTAAAGCCACCCCTGCAGAAGCACTTTGGCCTCAGCAGGCCTCAGGGAGCCTTTGGTCCAGTATGGCCAGCTGCCCCAGACAGAACCACCACATAGGAGGGGCTAGTCCCATCCTAATGGGTGGGGGCTTCTATTTCAGCTGGGCCTGTGTATGGAAAGTTTAGCCTAAATTCTTGACAGTGTTACCAACAGGAACCAACAGGGAAAAACAGGCATGAGCCCCACTCCTGGCTGCCAGTACCTTGAGGGAGGTGTTTGACCATTTCTTGCTTCACTGATACATGCAGGGACTCTAAGTGACACATCAAGGGTTGTGGTAGCAGTGCAGGGTGACAGGAGAGCTGCAGAGCTGCTGTCACCTGACCACAGGTACAGGGGAGATGAAAGCCAGGGGGCCCTGGTTTAAGTGCCCTAGTTCTCAAAACTAGAACCTGTGCTACTAGTCCTACAACCAAGCAAGACAGGATGGGGACTGCTCCTTAAAGAGGTGCTGCTGGGGAGGGGAGAACAGAGGAGCACATTCAAGGGCCGCATTAAAGCCTAGTATCCAGAGAGAACCTGGAAGTACCAGGAATTCAGTCACTTGCAGCCCCAAGAGGGCTGGAAGGTAGGGGCCTGTGGCCAGACAGCAAAACCAGTTCACTTCACCCTGGTCAAGTAGCCAGCTCACAAAGAAGACAGTGTGCCCCTTGGTTCAAGGGCTGAGCACCAGAGAGCAACCATGTCCTTCTCCCGTATCTCACCTGTTTGGTTTTGTCTAGATAGTTGTGGTAAGAGATTAACGCCGTTAGCACTGGAACCACAGCTAAATGCAGGTCAGTTCTGGAAAAGCCTTCTGGGGTACCTCGGAGCCGCTCAAGGGTCTTTGGGCCTGAAAGCTAATGACCCAAGATATAGCTGTGAAGCCTCTGCCCAGTGGCCACATCCCTAGGGTGGGCAGATGTTGTCAGGGAGGCCCAGAAGAGCATTCAAAGACACACCCTAGCCAGGGACCGCCAATGCCCCTAAGCTGGGAATAGGATGGGGTACCACTCTGCAGCCTCCACCAGTCCTAGGGCTCAGTCTGTGCTCCAGATGAAAGCCAGACTGACTCTAAAGGAGATGGAGCCTAGTAGGCTGTAGGTCTCATGCACTTCTGCCAGGGCCTGTCTTTTGGAGAAGGCCTGGTCCATGGCCTCACCCCTACCACACAGGCCACTATGAATGACAGGGGAGGGTCAGCACAGGGCTTGGAGGGTGGACATTACCATGGCACAGAGGGCAGAAGACAGCTGGTCGACACTGCAACGGGAGGTGAAGATGAGGACCTTGTAGCGCAGTGACTCAGGCAGCTTGCTCAGGACCAGTTTCAGCACCTTCCAGTCGGTCTCCTGGAAGAAGAGAAGAGAGTCAGGGGAAGGCAGGACTTTCTATAACCTAAGACAGAAGACAGAAAGTCAGTACTTGAGGCTGTGTACAGCTGGATAGTGCTAAGGCCTCTGGATGGCTGCTCACAGTACATAGGGGACTTGCCAACCCTTGCCCTCAGTCCCTACAACTAAAAGAGCAGCTGCTGTTCAAAGCAAGCTCTGGACAGTGGAAGCTGCCCTCCAGGGACCAGGCTGAGCCCAACTCAGGACTTCCACCTGCCTGGCTCTCTTTCATTGATCCATTGGTGGCCCAGTGACTGCCTGCCTCTGACATTATACCCAGGGTCTCCCACAGATGACCATCCCAAGCACCAGCTGAACTTCTGTCACAATGAAGATGAGGCAGAAGAGAAGTTATTACCATATCTGATGGGGAAAAGCAGCAAATGAACAATCCACAGGCCAAAATCACTGCCACAGAACCCAAGGGATCTAATGCCCACAGGACGGACATTAGTTGTGGCCCTCCAACTAGAGTTTCACCTGGATGATTCTCCATTAGAGAGAGACCCACTGCCTAGAGCCAAGTCACAGGCAGAATCCTGAAAGCCCTCCATGCACACCCCTATGACAGGAGCCCTGGAGACTCCTGGGAAACCTCCCACCAGCCTTTCAGTAGTGGAGCCCAGTACTCTGGGTCCCCTGGGCCCAACCTTCCCTCCAGCCTGCCCTGCTTCTTGCCCACTCCTCTCACCAACTTTGACCTCCCACCTTGGCCCAGCATAGCCCATAGCACAGAACTGCATCACCTACTTCCAGGCTTAACTGAGTCCCACTTTTCAAGCCTAGCCCCAGCTGGCCTGGCAGGTGCCCCCCAAGACATGACTACATGACCTTTGGTCCCATATAGCCCATGAGTCTGTAAGGTCATGCTGATCCACAGTTCCCATTATCTAGCTACATATCTGAATCCTTCAGCAAACCCTGAAAGCAAGCAAAGCTCCCAAGATCACTTAATGGGAGAGGGAAGAGGAACTATATTTGTTCAAGAATCTGATTGCCCTGGGGTAGCTCAGTTTGATCTAAGAGAGCTCAAGGGACAGAACAGTCTATCTCACCTGCTTCAGACATTGCAGTAGGACACGGAAGAGCAGGGAGTATGGCAGGTGGCCAAGACGCACAGCAGGGCCCACAGGTACAGGGCTAGTAGGCCCAGTGGGAGGTGAAAGGGGGCCACTGGCCTTCTTATCAGAGCCCCTCTCTGGCTCCCTATGGAAGCAAGTAGGACATGCAGATAAGGCCACACCCCTCTGCACAGGTTATAACAGACATGGCCCCTCCCAGCCCAGGGCTGCCATTAAGGATCCCTTCTGGGACAGTCCTTCACACAGCCACCCTATGTGAAGCAGGCAGCACACAGCTCCACCAGCAGCCCTGATGAATCAAACACCTCAAGCCACACAGACCAGGAAAAGCGCCGTCACACGTACACGCAGTCACAAAGGCAGTAGGGGCTGAACCTCACGACCCCATCTTTGTTGGGCAGACCCAGGCGGTGCAGTGAATCAGCTCGCAGCAGCAGCAGGAAGTCGAAGGCCTGCCAGGAAGCAAAACCACACCATCCAACTGAGCCAGGAGCCTGCCAAAGCAGACAGCAAATTCCTACCCGCTCAGACTAGACCATACCAGCAACAGCTGAGGCCTGAACTCCCAGGCCAGCATCCTGTGGAGCCCATAGAGCTAAGACATCCCCACAACGGCTGGACCCATTCTGAGGTGGCAACACACAGCCCCCAATATCAAAAAGTAAGCTCTGTTCAGGGCTATCACCTCCTCCACTGACAGACTGAGATGGCAATAGGCAGCCACCATTAAGCAGATGCTCTGGGAGAGGTCAGGGCTTCCTTCCCAGTGACCTCCATTCAGACTGGTGCCCAAATCTACAGAGAAGCTCAGAGCCACTCATCAAACCCCACTTCACCCAGCCTTCCCCTGTTCAACCAACCTCTGCCCTCTGTTGCAGATCACTGACAGGAGCATCCAGGCCACATGTCATCTTAGCTGGAGATTTTTTTTTTTGTGTCAGTACTGGCCACATCCATCTTACAAATATCTTAACTCAAAGTGTCAAGCCACAGAGAGAGGCCCATAGACTTCAGGCAAATGACAGGCAGTGGGTCCTGGGGAGACTGTGGCCACAGTGGGTACCAAAGAGGGAAGAGCCTGAAGATGACCCCTCCTTGGGTCACCTGCTACCTCTCTAGCCTGCGGGAACCACATTCACTGAGCTATGAGGCAGCTTGCTAGGTTCCCAAGGAATTGACCACCCAACAGAGCCCATCATACCTGCAGTCGGATGCTGCTAGCAATGGGCAGGGAGTAGCTGTGCTTGTAGTGAAGCTGGATATGACTGATGAGTGTCTCGTACACACGTGTGGCATGGCTGGCAGGCAGAGTGTACAGCTTGGTCTATGGAAAGAGGGCAGCAGTCCCCATGAAGGCAGATGACCACAATGCAGCCAGAGAGATGACACTCAAGTGCCCCAGGAGGAAAGGAACCAGAACCACCTCTCGGGAGGGTACCCAAAGGCACCTGCCATGTTTCCCAGGCACATCCTTTAGCCAACAATGGAACCCCCAAAGAGGTCAATGGCACCCTAAAGGGCCATCTTTCCACACGTCTATCTAATCAGCAGGGATCGGGTAGTGAATTAGGAAACCCACCCAATGGACACTGCACAGGAACGGTCTCACCCATACACCTGCAAGGGAGGCCATCAATGCTTCAAGGCAGAGTGAGGTCAATGAAGCGAGATGGGGGCGGAAGGGGAACACATGTGGACTGCCAGTGGTTATCCAGGTGCTAGCATTGTTATCCTACGGGGAGCCCAGGGAGCCCCACCCCACCCCACCCCACCCCATTACAGCAAGTAAGGCAACATGCAAGGCCAGGGAGGTCGGGGGAGGGCCCTCAGTGCTGCCAACACCTTGGGGTGGCAGGGCTGAAATGGTGAGTGCAGAGGGGAACATGAGAGCCTTGTACGTCTCAGGCCCCTTAGCCTTGGGGGAACAGGTGCTTGTAAACTTATTACTATTATTCTTTTCCTCCATGGCTCTAGGGTTTGAAGGCCTTGCACTGGCTAGGCAGACACTCTTACCACTCTACCAGTGCTTCAGTTATTTTTAGATAGGGTCTCATGCTTTTTTCCCAGGGCCAGGCTTGGATGGCCATCCTCCTATGCCTGACACATAGCTGGGATTTCACACATGAACCACCACACCCAGCTTGTTTGTTGAGATGGGATCTTGCCAACTTTTTGCCAGTGCTGGCCTCAAAACACAATTCTCCAGATTGATCCCTGCCTCCCTCTACTATTCTTTTACAGAAAAAACTAACAGCTAACGCATTAGTACATGCCTGTAATCCCAGCTACACAGAAGGCAGAGGCTCCAGGAGGACTGAGAGCTCCAAGTCAGCCCAGGCAAAGTTAGTGAGACCATGACTTGGAGATGTGGCTCATACAGCTGAGCACCTGCCTCAAGCGGTAGGGTACATGTCTAGCATGTGTAAGGCCCTAGGTTCAATCTATAGTACTGCCAAAAAAAAGGGCAAAGGATCTGAGTAGACATTTCTCCAAGGAAAATATACAACTGGCCAATAACTACATGAAAAAGATGATTGAATGTCCTTAGCTTTCATGGAAAACACAAAAAAGCATAGTGAAACGTAGTTCACAACCACTAACATGGTCACAGCGAAAGAAGGAGACGTGAGTCGGGCATGCTGATATGTGTCTGCAATCCCCACTACTTGAGAAGATAACGCAGGAAGATCATGAGTTGACGATCAGCCTGGAGCCGGACCCCAGCGGCTCATGCCTGTAATCCTAGCTACTCAGGAGGCAGAGATCAGGAAGATCACGGTTCTAATCCAGCCCAGGCAAACAGTTCAAGAGACCCTACCTCAAAAAAATGCACCACAAAAAATGACTGGTAGAGTGGCTCAAGGTGTAGGCCCTAAATTCAAACTCCAGTATTGCCATTAAAAAAAAAAAAAAAATCAGCTTGGACTACATAATGAGACCTCATCTAAAAAAATACAAAAACAAGCAAACAACAAAAACAAAAACAGAAGTAGGTAGGTTGTAGAAGACAACACTTTCTCTTTGGTGGAGAATTCTTAACTTCCTATGTGGCTGGTGGAGATGTGACATGGTCTAGCCCAGGTCAAAACAGTCTGGCAGCAACACAAATGTTAAGCACAAACTTTTCCTAGTTGTACACCCTGGAAAAAAGAAAACACACATACAAACACTTGCACGAGATTAGTAGCATTGTTTTCAAGTGTCAAAAGGTGGAAACAACCTAAGTGCTCATCAACAAACCAAAGTGTAAACAAAATGAGGACCATCCATGCAATGGACATTATAGGAAGGAAATCAAGTTCTGACACACGCTACAGCACGAATGCTCGGTGAAAACCAGGCACAAAGGCCACATGTTGTATGACTCCATTTATGTGAAAAGTGCAGAACAGGCAAATCCACAGACACAGAAAGCAGATCAGGGGCTACAGGGGCTGGAGAGAGGGAAATAGAGAACATTGGCTGGTGGGCATAGGGTTTCCTTTGGGGTGATGAGACTATTCTAAAATTGATTGTGGCTGGGTTGGCAGAGTGGCTCAAGTGGGAGAGCACCTGCCTAGCAAGCATGAGGCCCTGAGTTCAAACCCCATTGTCACAAAAAATAAATAAAAATAAAATAAAATTGATTGTGGCAATGTCTGCACAGTTCTGTGAATGTACTGAAAACCACTATAAACGGTGAGTTATATGGGGAAGTACATCTCAGTAAAGCAGTCCAAAAATTAAATGAGCTGTGGGGCTGGAATGGGCTTTTCCTTCCTCAGCTGCTGTAGTGGGAGCAAGGGCAAGCACTGTGATGAGGACAGGACTACAATGACAGTTCATGGTTCTACCAGGACTCAGGGTGGCTCCACAAACAGGAGCACAAATAGCAGGGGGCTTACCCACTGTACCCTACAGGGCTCTCACTGCTTAGGACCTCACTCTCGTGCCTGTCATAACCACTCTGATCCTGTGAACATGGGAGAACCCAGGTCTCCCAGGAGAGGAATCCCTGGAAAGCAGCCTCCAATGAGAGTGGGTAAGAGCTGGTCATCACACTCTTCCAGAAGAGGCCACTGGCAAAGCACCCACCTGAAGGATAACCAGGAGCCCCAGAACTGCAGTCCTCACATCCTCCAGAGAGGCTGAGTAAGCAGACACATCCCTTTCCTCCAGTTCAGGGGGTGGAGACAGGGTGCGAGCCATCACCTTTAAAGAGACCAGCACATAAGTCTTTGCTCGTGGCTCCCTGCAGCAGCCACCATCAGATCTAAAACGTTCTACCACAAACACCCTTTCACTTCTCAGAAGGAAAGCTGCACTTTAAATACTGAGTGGCCAGTCAGATATCCCAATGCATTTCAAAACTAGAAGAAAAAGGTGCTGGCAAGACAGGGAGGACATGGGCTATAACCCTGTCCACAGCTCTTTGGCTCTGTGTAAATCTCCAAGTGCCCAGATGGGACACTGTGGGACACTGGCCAAGCAGCAGGCAGCCTGGCACAGTCTCCTATCACCACCCATCTCTGCTAGGATACAGCTAGCCTTCCCCTATGCCTGGCTTATGAAAACAGCCACCAGTCACAATGCTGAACACGGGCAGTGGGTCCAAAGGACACTTCTGCCCACAGGGTTTCGCCACCCTCCAGCCACCCTGATCCCTAAATGGCTCTCACTTTTTCAATAATGTCCAGGAGACTGTTGAAGTGATGGGTGTGGCAGCCTTCTGCCAGGTCCACCAACAACTGAGTGGCTAGCTTTCGGACTTGGTGGTCTTTATCCTCAGGGATGTGGGAGAGCTGTGAGATGACCACCGAGTTAATCAGCTCCTCCTGCATTGAGCACAAGTGGGAAAAGGTGAGCCTCCAGCCCAACATGGGGAGAGGAGGTTCATTTCAGTGACACTGAATTCAAGGCACCAACCAAAAGGAGCTAAGGTGTTACTCAAGACTGCAGAAAGGCTAAGCAAGGAAGTCATCAGAGCTGCTGCACCCTGACTCAGAGTCCCTGGGACCCACCCCAGGACTGGGTATCTGCCTAGTTCCTTGGTTCAGAATGGGTACTGCTGTAGAACAGCCTGGCACAGGCACAGAACTGGGACCAGGGGCCCCTAGGTGATCTTGCCAAGACAAGATTGTAGCTTGCCACTTCACATCACAATTGAGAATACCTTTTTTGATGCCAGGTGCCAGTGGCTCACATCTGTAATTCTAGCTACTGGGGAAACTGAGATAGGAAAGACTGAGGTTTGAGGCCAGCCCAGGCAAACAGTTCACAAGACCCCCATCTCCAAAATAACCAGAGCAAAATGGACTACAGTGTGGCTCAAGTGGTGAGTGCCTGCTTTGCAAGCATAAAGCCATGAGTCTCATCCTAAGATGAACCCTGATAAGAAGGACCAGAGAACATGGAGGGGCTTTCTGGAAGAGGGTGCACCGAGATCTGCCTTCAGGGAAGGTGGGATTGTGATGCATAGACAGGTAGAGAAAGTCTAGGGCAAGGAAAGGATGTGAGGGGAGAGCAGATCAGGGGAGGTGGGCAGAGGAGAGAGACCTCAGAGGCTGCAGTACATCTTCTGCAGGAAAGGGCATGTGGTAAATTGGAACACTGACACTCCTCCAGGAAGCAAGGTCACCACCCACAAACCTCAGGAAGGGTAAAGCAGAGAGGAAGGCTCAGGCAGGAAAGACCAAGCAGGGCCAGGATGGCCCAGCAGGTGGTGATCAAGTTGAGGGGAAGATGGTGAGAGTAATTATAAAACAAAAAGAAAACACCCCACAAAAGACTGTCCTGAAGGCTAGGATACAGCTAGCCTTCCCCTATGCTAGCATTGCCTAGCATGCTCAAAGCCTTGGTTCTTTCCCAGCACTAACCAACAACAACAAAACACTGTTCTGAAATCAGATCAGAATTCTGCAGCGCTTCTCTGTTCTAAAAGTGAGCTCCCTGAGGGCCTATGCCACTCTTTGCTGCTCAGCAGGCCAGGCCCAGTACGGGCCTGGCTAAGGCACCTGGAATGAATACATGAATGAACAAGGGAGGAACAAGGCCCCCTGAAAGCCTACAACAGAGGGATGCTGGCAGGACCAGGAAGTCCAGGCAGACCCCAGGTTTTGTCGAGCATGTGTGGAGACCCAGGCGGGCGCAGAGCCTAAGGCATCCTCCCAAGGATGCAGCCTAGACACATACCTCATAGAACTGCCTGTTGATGAGCAGCACGAAGGACAGCACATCCAGTACCTTGATGCGCACAGCACTGCGGGACTCGCTCCTGTGGGACAGGAACAGGCCTGCTGGGTGGCCCAGGAACGCCTGAGCACCCCCAGCACCCATGCACCAGAACCATCTTGCACGGTGTGCAGGCAGGCCCAACTTCGACTCTCCTATGGACCCAGGCTCATCAACATTCAGACAAGCGCTCTCTGCCTTCCAAGAGGACATCTTCTAGCCCATCACATGAGGGCCTGGCCGGAGAACCCTGTCTCACTGAGTACAAAGACCAACCTTTCCTCAACAAAAATCATTACTTTCAAGAATCAGGAAGGACTGCCCTGACTCACTGGGATCTGAGACCCAGGCCGGGTAGAGCAGCAACACCAGGTCAGGCCCCCCCATGCCAGTGGGCCATGGAAGCTCCACTACCTGAAGAACCTCTCCATCAGCAGCTGCAAGTTCTGGATCCAGCCGTCCTTGGCCGGATGAATGGACTGAGCTCTGTAGGATATTAGATTTAAGAGGGAAGACTCCTGTCAAAGGAAGACAAAGCTGGTGTCAGTGAGCTGCTTGTCCTTTGGAAGTACTGTCAACCCATCGCCAGGCTGCTGACCCAGGAGAACTGAGTGTGTTCAAGGAGACCAGTCACTTCACAGCACAGGTGGGGAGTCCACAGGAACAAAGGACTCTTGGCAGCAGGAAACTCATGTCAAACCCATAGAATAGCATAGCAGCAAGTAGAATGTTCCTGGCAAAATGACTGCTGCTGCCTAGGAGACCCAGCATCTGTGGAGTCAGCCCAGAACCTTCCTCCACAAGGTGGGAGGAAATTGATGGTTAGGCTGGCACTCAGCTCTTTAACAGACCCACACACACCCACTGGCTGACGCCTGGCAGGCTTCCTGATGGAGCACAGATCTAGGAGAGCAAGAGCCAGCCTGGCCTTTTACTTCAAATTCACTAACTGCAGCTTCACACCTGCAGGTAAAACTCCCATAGGGTCCCTCCCCTCAGTCCTTGGGTCCTGACCCCGAGGCCCTGACAAGATGGGGGTCCTTACAGGCCTCTGGTCTGCATAGCTCTCCACTAGTTCAAAGTATCTCTCCTGTGAGCCATGGAACTCGTTCTGGTCACATAGCTCCTCCACCGTTGTCAGTAGGTCATGGACGATGGTCCTGAGCTCCGGGCTGTCCAGGCTCTGGAGAACAAGGTGCGTCACACAGACTGACTTCTACTGCCCTCAGAACATGGCCCTGGAATCCTCAGCTCAAGAGGAGCTGTACACAGTCACCCCCTCAGGTCCTCGGCTGGGCTGCACTGGGACACATGGGCAGCTACTGCTCCTGCCTGTTCCCCACCTCAGGAAATTGCGGCTAAGTCCACACAGCCCAGCCTGAAAGGGAGAGTGGGCAGGAGGCAAGAGCACTACAACTTCAAAACTTTGCACACCTCTCCCAGGCCCCAGCACCTTCTGGAGCCCCACAGGTGTGCCCTTCTGCCTCTGCTACCTAAGGCCAAAATCCCTCCTTGTCAGCCCACCTGACCGGCCATATTGAGGACTCAACTCAGGCTCTGTCATATCTTCTTTTGCTGGCCTGTTCCAATTATACCACCAGCCCCAGAACAAGCCCATGCCAGATGCTGGTCTCATCTCCCACAGCACTGCATCCATGGCATGTGTAGGTAGCCCTGGTGTCCTCCTCAGCACTGGTCAATAGACTTATCAATGCTACCCTACAAAGTGACATCAAAGCCAAGCCGACATTCCAGATGCCCTGGGAGCTGCCTTCAAGGCCCACTCAGGCAATGGAAGTGGCGTGCTTTGTCACTCTGCTGGCTTTGAGGAGCACTCAAAGCAAAAGTGAGGAACTGTTCATCTACTGAATGTTCCTGTCGGGGCCAGGCACGTTTGGACAAATACCATGTCTTCAGTGGGACACTGGTTGGTGCCACCAAGAACTATCAGCAGGCTCTTAGACCCCAGAGATAGGGCAAACGTTCACAGAGGGGAAAAGCCCATCTGGCTGGGTACTGGTCCTCCCTGGCCCATGGTTTTCCCTGCAGCCCTCACCTGGAGCTGCTGAAGCAGCCGTTCAATGATGCTCAGCAGAATGTCCCATGTCACAGCTTGGAGCTCCTTCCTATACTTCTTAATGAGTCTGGTTATGGACAGCACGATCTCATAGGACACCACCTCATTGGGACAGGTCATGGCCTGGAACAAGACCCAAGGAACAAACAAAGTCAGCCATTTCTCATTTGTACACAGGAAGCCCACTTCCATGTAATCTTGGAGCTGAATGTAAAATGCCTGGGCCACAGCACTCACCATGCATGGGTCATGACCCACAGAGCATGTGAGAAGCCCAGATGGGTGTTTGCTACACTACTCTAGTAGGGTCAGGACCCAGACAGAGCCCTAAAGCCCCCATCTCTAAAGGGCCTGGCTTAGGTGAACCAGTAACTCCGAATTCTACATTCTGGTGTTAGCAATGCACAAAGACTACATCCTGTACAGGTGCTCTGCTGAAAGACCTCAGTAGAATCCCTGCAAATTGGAAGACCCTGTGTAACCAGACAGGCTTGTCTGAGCCAGTCTGTGCTATGAAGTAGAGACCATGGTGGGATTGCCCTGGCTGTTTAGGCAACCAGGAAAACTAAATGCAAACACACACAGGAAGTGCTTTGAACTCCACAGGGCATCACAGAAATAGAAGCTATGTCATCAGCATCATCCAGAGAGGGGCAAGATTACCACTTGAAAAGCAGAACAGGCACCAGCAAAAAGATCACTATCCCATGGACAATACTGAGAGGTTTCAGTGCTAACTGGCAGCAGATGAAATTCATCAGATAGAATATCTGCTTGAAAATAAAATCTTCCAATGGCACTAAATTTCATCCCCAGATGAAAAGTAACTGACTAGAAATGTTCCGAGTCTAAGCCCCAGCCAGGCAGGTGGGTGAACCCAAGGTGAACACTCCCACTTTGCTGCTCATCATGATACGAAAACCCCATTACCTCATAAAAAGATGGCAACACAGATGTTGGGGAATTCTTGAGAGAACTGAGTCGGTGGGCTCCCCAGAGAGCCATGCCCACAAAGAACACGGCTCCTCTCAGCAGCGGGGCATCTTCCATGTAGGATCTGAAAGTGTTCCCCAGAAAGACGGCTGAGAGTAGGGCCCCAGCCCGGTGTGGGATTAGAGGGCAGTCCGGGGACTGGTCGAGTCCCCTGTGGTCCCAATGCTTATGGGGCAGAAGCACAGCTGAGAAAGGGAAAGGAACACAGAGGGCCAGCAGCAACTATGATTCCTTCATGACTCATTCAACAACCATCACTGCTGACCAGGTCATGCATCAAAGGTCATGCTAGATGCAGGGACACCAATGTGTGAGAGAGAGAAGGCTCCAAGCCTTGGTGCTCGCAGCCTAGTAGAAAATGGGCAGCCCAAGAATCACACAAGTAAAGTCTCTATCTGGAATCACCGCTAATAAGCTGTGGACACAAGAGAGAAAGATACTCAGGAGGCCAGGGCACTGATGACCACACCCAGACTTCTTGGAACACTCAGAGGAACTCAGCAAAGGTGGGAAGACATTCTAGCAGGAGGAATCAGTGTATGCAAAGGCCCTCAGCAAGAGAGGGAATGGCAAGAGGGTGGGAAGGAAAAGCCTATAGAGCTGAGGTCTATAAGACCCCCAGCTGTGGTCTTAGACAAAGGATGACATGGTCAGATCTGTCAGAGAAAGGTCATTCAACTGCTGGGAGGACAGTGTACTTCAATGGATGCCAGGAAGCAGCGAGGAAGTGGGCCCTACTGGATACAGGGTGTAGGTATCTACCGGCAGCATACAGACTTGAGCACCTTTCAGGTAAAAGCATTGGGACTTGTAATAGTTTGGCTGTAGGGTGAGAAAGATGTCAGATTAACACCCCAAATCTAGCCTAGTAACATGGTGCTAAGTCCACACTGAATACATCCAGATAGGGGAGGAGGCTCTGAGTCCAGCTTTGGACATTCTGATTTGACTGGCAGAAGAGGATAGATTACAAATACCATGTACCTAGCTTTAGTAAACAGTCATCCAGAAGGAATGGGAAAGTCTCAATTTGCCAAGTACCAACACAAGCAAGCCTCTTCCTTGGGACTTCACAGTGGCTGACCCCAGACAACCTATCACCCATCACCCAGGCCTGTCCACACTCACCTGTCTTCCATTAGGCGGCACATGTTGTAGATTGCACTGTGACCCAAGTGGGTGCCCAGGAGGTTACGCATGAGCTGGCAGACAGAATACACATCAGAGGGATTGACAGACACAAGCCTGGGCCCCCATAGGGGTGCCCCAGTCCCTGGCCTGCCTTATACAGCCACTTCTCTGCAGTCCTACAGTACAGCCAGTTCAGCATGGTCTCTTCCCAAATGCAGAGGCTGAAGAGCTTTCTACACAACTCCTAATCCCTGGTCTCAGCTCAACCGCCTAGGGAAAGGCCACTGGACCAACTGCCCTCAACAAGCCAACCTGGTCACCCCCAAGATCAGATACAATTTGCTGAAGACAGCCCTTGTCCCACCATGTGCTGGGTTTATGCCTAGCCCCAGGAAAGGGGCTCCCAGGATCACAGTCTGAGAGACCCCCACCTTCCAGCAGGGCTCGCAGAGCTCCTTGACATTGATGGTGCGGCAGAGGGTGACAATGAACAAAGGGAGGCTCTCGGCAGGCAGACAGTTGTAGCAGACCACGGCATCCAGCACCTGCAAGGAGACCTACGGGAGAGCAAAGTGTCACCTGTGGGAGGGCAAAGTGTCACGCCAGTGTTCCCCAATGCCCACCCTCTCCCTCCTGTTCAAGTAACCTCCCTAGGAACCAGTGTGAGGGAGCATGCTCCTGGGAGATGGTCCTGTGCGCCATCACTGTGGGTCATCTGCACTACCATGTGGAGGGCACCCAACTGTTCTAACAGGGCACTACTACAACTCAGAGAGGCTGAACGGCTACTGTAGCCACACAGCCAGAGTGTGGCATGTTCTTGATTCCAGAACCCCAGTCTCCTGCAAACAAGGGTGCAATGAACTGTCCCCTGGGGAGGGGAGTCACTGACCTCTATGTCCACAGAGGACACGGTTCGGATGCACAGCAGACAGATCATGCTAGGGAGAAAATACCAAAGTCAGCTCAAGAGTGCAATTCCCAGAATGCTGTGCAACTGCACTTCATTTTTTGCTGTGACATAGGTGACGTGAGTGGCTCATTACAGCACCAGCTCTATGCCAACCATGTCCCCAGTGCTGAGTGCTTGGCATGAATGAGGCAAAGACCCTGCCCTCATGCATATTACATGCTATCTTGAAAGAATTACAAAAATACAGTAACTAAAACACCAAGTAATAAGTAAAGGCAAGCCAAGTGTCAGTGGCTAACACCTGTAATCCTGGCTACTTGGGAGGCTGAGATCCGGAGGATCAAAGTTCAAGGCTAGCCCAGGCAAATAGTTCACAAGACCCTATTGCCAAAATAACCAGAGTAAAATGGACTGGGGTGGGACTCAAGTAGTAGGGCACCCACTGTTTTGCAAGCGCAAAGCCCAGAGTTCAAACCCCAGTCCCACTAAAAAAAAAAAAAAAAAAAGTCAAAGGAGGTTACTTCCACTTCCAACCTCATTTATCTGGTGGTTTAATCTACTTTGTTTGCCCTGCAGAGCTGAACTTAAGACCCAAATTAGTGGGACTATTATCAGAATAATACCATTAAATTCTTTTTTATTCTGGTACTAGGAGTTGAACCTTGGGCCTCCTACACTCTAGACAAGGGCTCTATCACTCAGCTGTAGCTCCAGACCTTTACTTAAACTATTTTCTTACTGCACCATTGATGCGATGTATTCATCAAGATAACAGCTGTTGAATTTGACCAAGTTCACAAGCACCAGAAGGAATTCCGAGGACAAGCCGACATCCATCCATTGCAAGACAAACTCCGCTAGGGGAGAAGAAAGCAGTTTGACGAGAAGTCGAGACTATACTTCCTCCATACCTCCTTCCTCAAAAAAATGCATCTGCATCCTATTATGGCTGGGAAGCACGCCACCAATCCTCTCAGCGACAAGCGGGCCACACACAGGGCCCAAGATCTACCAGCTCCTGGGCTGCCTGAGGGTTGGAGCTGGGCCTGCAGTAAGAGCAGGCATTTCACGCTCAGCACTTGACCCTATCGTATGCATAAACATCATGGGGCCCATGTTCCAAAGATGGTTCCTGGATGTCCCCCATCGTCCCCCAAGAATCTCTAGAAGGAGACAGGCATGGCTGCAGGCCACATAATCTGTGAAAACTTGCTGGTAAGCTCCCTGTCAGCCCCTGTCCTGGAGGCAAACCAGCTGCCAAGGCCCACTTCTGAGTATCAGAACAACAAAACTAGTCAGATTTATTCCCTCCTCCTGCCTCTCCACCCCATGACAGACTGACTGTTAGGATAGCAAGAGGAAGATCAGCAAGGGGGTGGGAGGTCAGTCAACAGCAGTGAGGATTCAGGCTGGGTTTGGAGAAAGATAGGTCCTGGGTGTGCTGGGTGAGACCAGGACAGCAGCAACCTTTCCAACCACAGATGAACCCCCCCACTTCAAAGGTACTTTCTGGGCCCTGTTCCCCAGAGACTCTGAATAGCAGGTCTGAAAGTCTGCATTTGTAAGTAGCTCCCCAGAAAACAGGAATACAGGTGAGCAAAGCTGCACAGCACTGAGCCCCCTGCAAGTCCCCTTGTGAACTGCAGCACCCTTTCAGGTCCAGGACCTTTCTTATCCCAAGTTAAACCTGATCCCAAAGCCAGAGAAACCTCACACCCAGCATGGCACCCACCCAGTTCTTCTTCCAAGTAGGTGATATGTCTCCCATTATCAGTAAGGGCCTTGAAAACTTCCAGCCTTTCATGGAGGTCTTCATTGGAGGGGTAATCCTTGATGACCTTAAAGAAGAGAGCTCTGAGGACCCCTAAGCGGTCACCCTAAAGACAAAACCACAGGGTTAGCCAAGTGCCAGTAGCTCACACGCCTGTAATCCTAGCTTCTCAGAAGACTGAGATCGAGAGAACTGAGGCTCAACGTCAGCCTGAGGAAATAGTTTGTGAGTGAGACCTCATCTCCAAAATAACATGAACAAAATAGACTGGAGGTGTAGTTCAACCGTAGAATGCCTGCTTTGCAAGTGTGAAGTCCTCAGTTCAAACCCCAGTTCCACCAAAAATACAACAACAAAACCCACAGGGTCAACAGAGCTCTACTAGGGTCTCCCACGAAGCTGCCAGGAAGTACAGTGGGCACCAAGACTTGGAGCCTGGTCCATTCTTTCCTCAAGAACATCTCATGAGGGATGGATCAGGCATGTCTGTGGGTCAGGGGAGCAGACATACTGACCGGCAGCTGACTGGTGTGAGTGGAGCACCTACTGCATCAGGTTTTGGGCATGGTGGGGGCCTACAGCAGGGGATGAAGCAGTTCCTGACCCAGCTCACTGCCCAGGGTAGACACAGGTACCATGGTCACATGGCTTCAGCCCCAGGAGAGGTGCAGCAAGAGTGGACAGGCCTTTCTAAGCAGCCAGGCCACAAAGGAAGAGAGTGACCACTGGAGGAGGAGTCTTGTAGAGGAACAGAGGGAGACCTGGATATTTAAGGGTCAGCAAAGACATGTGCAGTTGTGTCTTTGACCAAGGGAAGTGGTCCCAGCTGGGGGATTTTGCAGCAAAAAAGCCACCATCATTCCCACTGGTAGGTGAAGAAAAGGTAGCTCAGATGGCTCCAGACTGGTCAGGGTCCCACAGATACTGGTAGTGGCACCAGAATGCCCACACAGGAAGTTAGGCTATAGAGCTTGTTAACCACCAGACTCTACATCTAGCACCCCACAAAATACAAGAGTCCAAACAGTAGGATACCTGATATCCCACAAACCCATCAGGCTCCACTCCTCACCTGCCCTTGCACGATGGCTTTCAGCAGGGCCAGTACTGCATGTCGGGCCTCTGGTGGCCGCTCGGGCTGCAGCAGGTCTGAGACGGCCTTCCAGAGTGCTTCCACTGCATGCTGCCACCAGCAAAAAAGGGTATAGCAATTAGGGTGTAGTCTCCAAGAATCCTGGCCACTCAATGCAAGGACAGGACAAAGGACAAAGCAGAACAGGGTCTTCTGACTTAAAACCAGCTCCTCAATAGCCCTGTATGGAGATACAAGCTTTCAGGACACAGAGACCACAGGCCTCAGAGCTATGAAAACCCAATCAGGTCCATTTAATGGGCCCCAGGCCCCAGGCTGCGGGAGGAAGGACATCAGTAAGCCAGGGAAGTAGCCCTGACTTCCTCAAGATTGGCAGGGAGTCCCCTGTAGAGCTGCTCAGACTCTGAAGGGGAATCATGGGAACAGTCTCAGAACCAGAAGTCCTGAGTGACCCTGGACCTGTGCCTGACACGGAAACCCTGCCCCAACATTTTCTTGTGTGAACCAGCCCCAACCAAAGACTTGAGTCCAAGTCTGAGAGACTCATCGTGGGGATCTCAGAGACATCATGCATATCTCAGATGGACTGCTGAAGATGTGTTCTCACATCCTTTAGCAGATCTAAGTCTCCTCTCAAGTCACCCACACAAATGCTGGGCTGGGCAGAGCTCTAAGGTGCTCCACAGCATCCCTGACCCCCAGAATAACAACTACTCACTGTCCATAGTACGTCAGGGGAGTCTGGAAATACCTGCTTAAAATAAACTCAGCTATATCTGTTATGTGAGGCTGACTAATGCCACCAACCAGTCACTTCTCATGCCAAGCATGGGGGCTCTTGACAAGTTCCCTGTGAAACTACACCCTTTCCTGGGGTCTCTCTACCTTGTCCATTCCTGACTGTGTTATAAGAAAGAACGAGCTCATCTGTAACCTTTTCAGGGATCTGCAAGAAGCGCCTGCTCCCTTTTTCCCCTACCAGGCCTGGTCTCTCAGAGTTGTATTGAGGGCATTTACAGAAGCTTCCCCATCACTAAATTTCCTTAAAATGGGAAACATCCAATCTTTACAAAGTTAGCTGTCAATCACACTCCTAGAAAAAGCAAATTCAAGGCTTCTGACAGCCGATATGCAACTCTCCAGTAGCATAACAGAGGCAAACCTACCTCTTCAAATTTCTTAGTTTTTGCCACTTCACAGATCTGCCCTATCACCCGGATGCGATTGTTGAGACCACATTCAACACTCAGTTCCTAGAGAGAGAAGAAAGGAAAGGGGCTGGTGTTCAGACAACAGGTCTCCCTAACGGCCAACCACAAAACACCCTATGAGCTGTTCTAGACATTTTCCAAACTGAAAATACACACCAGATCTTTACATTATCAGGGTTCCCCAGAGAGCTTACTGCTCCACCTCCACGGATTGACAATGGGCAACTTTGTTTTTCATAACTGCAAAATTTTTATTGAGGTAAAATTCACATAACACAAATATACCATTACAATAATTTTAAACTACACAATTTAGATTTTAGTACATCCACAATGTACTAAAGTACATCCTCAACTATCTCCACTACATTATAAACATTTTCATCACCACAATAGAAATAACACCAATTCCTTCCTCCCTTCCAGCCCTAGCAACCACTGATCAGATTTCTGTCTTTATGGATTTGCCTATTCTGAACACTTCACAGAAATGGGCTCATGTAGTATGTGGATCTCTATAATTATTTTCTTTCACTTAGTGTTTTTTCAATGTTTATTCATGTTGTAGCATGTTGTTAGTACTTCACACTTTCTATCCATTGTAAGATGCACATTTTACTTATACCTCTCATCAATTAATGAGTATTTGGGTTGTTTCTGAGTGGGAAATGTTGTAAGTGTAAAAACCCAAAATTTACTTTTTTATGGGCAAAACATGGTTCCAGGCATGTATTAAAGGATTCAAACAGGCATAAAAAATAAGGATGGCCAAGCATGGTAGTACATGCCTATAATCTCAGCACTCTGGAGGCTGAGGCAGGAAGATCTCAAGGTTGAGGCTAGCCTGGGCTACATGGCAAGACGTTATCTCAAAAAAACCAAAATAGGGCTTGAGGCATGGCCTAAATAGCAGAGTGTCTGTCTAGCAAGGGCAGGGCCCTGGAGTTCAAAGCCAAGTACTGATAGATAGATGAATAAATAGACAGGACTGGGGTGGGTGTTCTGGTAGAGTATTCTTCCAGGAATTCCCAAGTTATTCATTAAAACCTGACCATATTCCTAACAACCAGTGAAGATGAAGGTGTTCAGGCCACACTAGTAAAATGCTTGGGACATCAACACCTGAAGTGTGCTAGAGCAGATCACCAAGATCCTGACCTTAAGGATCCTGAAGGGCGACATATACATATGCCTCCTTGGTACTGGGGTCAGCGGCCCCGTGTAGACAGTCACCAGTAAGTAACCCATCTCCCACTGAACCAGGTGACAGACCAAATCCAGCCTTCCTTGCACTTCCCACTAGCCTAGCAAAGACAAGACAGCTCACTCACTCTCAAGATTTCCGCTGTGATGATAAACTCTGTCTGCTTGCCTTCTGCAGACCTGGGATTTGGCCTTGGTGTTCCCAGTCCCAGCAGAATCTTGAACTTCTCTTTCAAGCCTGAATCTTTGCTTGCTGGCTTGGCCATGGTGGGCAGGGCGCCACAGGACCACAGGAGGCCTCCTCTGTGGAAACAGGCATTGGAGACACCTGTCCCGCTGCTGACCTCCAGCTGCCCAGACCCTAGGTTTCTGGCAGGCACAACCTTCCCCCCACCCCCAAGGCCCCTCGGAAACAGCTCAGCCACCGCCTAGCTGACCTTGCCATAAATAAGCCCGGGAGATGAAGGCCTGATTTGGCGAGCAGCCCGCTCAGACACAGCAGCCCACCGCCTCATTGCAGTGGATGGGGCGGCGGCCTCGGATCCAGGGAGCCCTGACGTTTACCACCTCTCTTCTCCGTTTGTGGAGGAGGAGCTGTCGCGGGGCCACCTGGAGCAGAGACCTGCTCGCACCCGCCATGACTTAAAGCCACTGGTGCCGAGTGGCTGAGGCCTGGACGCTGCAAGGCACGCTCCCTGTGGTCCTACAGCGGCGGGGCCATACAATGGCCCGGACCCCGAGCCAGAGGTCAGGGAGTCGCAAGCCACTCACCCCGCGCGCTCCCGCCGCTCACCCAGCCACCAGCCGCGGAGAAAGGCGCACACCCCTCGGCCCCCAGCGAGCCTCCGCCGGAAGCGCAACCAGCACTTCCGGGGGCGGACCAGCGCGGACATTTCCGCGCAGGGCTTGCCGGGAATCGTAGTTCCGAATGTACGCTGGCCATGTGACGAGACCGCGGGGACCGCCGGGAGGTGTAATCCTCAGAGCTCAGCATGAACGTGGCGATGGGGATGGTGACTCGCAGTCGGAGCCGCGGTCTTGTGGCCGCGTCGCAGGGGGGTGGGGAGGAGCCCGCGCCTCCCAGAAGCCGAGAGGTGGCTGCAGGTAGCGCCGCGCCCGGTTGGGCTGCGGGAGGAGAGGTGGGGAAGGGAACTGGAGCTGCAGGCTGGGGTCCCGGGCCGCGAGGTCGGACCCGGAACCCAGGACGCGGGAAAGTGGAAAAGCGCGAAGTGAATCCTGGGACCCACGTTTGGCCCCACTCTGGCCTTTCCCCGAGACCAGGGCTAGGTTTGGGGCACGCCTGCACACCTACCCTTGTCTAGAGCAAAAAGGTTCCTGTCCCACCAGTCTGCCCCGGGGCACTTCACTTCTGGCAGGCCTATCTTTAAGGCACAGCTGTTAGGAGCTGCCTCCTTCACAGCCAGGCTGGATGCCAAGAACACACCCAGCCAGAACTCTCCCCGAACTGGAAAGTGGCTCTAAGAGAAAACAGGAAAGGGCATGGCATTCATTGTATTTGTAGCCATTAAGGACCTACTGTGCGCCAAGCAGGGGTAGGTACTCAAGAAAGCTAGATGACTGGGGCTCCTGCACTTTTCCCGCTGGGGCTTCTGCGGAACTGACCAGAGCAGGATTCTAGTTGACACCAAGGGCCCCAGGAGTAATGTAGACCCACTGAAAGGGGGCCTGGCCTGGGGAAGTTTGTGCAGTGGGGAGCAGGCAAGGAGATGGTGCCTGCCAGAGCAACAGCTCTGATGCTAGGAGAGTTTGGACTTAATGAGGTGCAGGGCTGGTAGAGTGGCTTAAATGGTAAAAGCTCCTGCCTAACAAGAGTGAGGCCCTGAGTTCAAACCCCAGTGCGCCTTTAAGAAAAAAAAAAAAAAAGATGGAGTTCATGAGGTGTAAAGAAGGGATGCCAATGAGGAGTTCTGAAAGAGGACTAACATAGTCCAATTTGTATATTAGAAAGTTCTTTTAGATGCAGCTTAGAAGTCGGGTTGGGGGCATCATGGAGGAGGTTTTTACTAGAGTCCTGGTGCTCCAATGTGCACTTTGTCAGGTTGCCATGCCCTGCCATGCTAAGGTGAGCACCCCCACTGTAATGGATGATGGACAGTCATTGCATGAATAAGTGATGAAGGAGTGAGTCAGCATGCAGGCAATACCTGTGACCCCTGCTTCAGGGACTGAGTGGCACTTTTTGCAGAAGGAAGAAAAAGTCACAGATCTTTGAAGCATCAACGGAAGACAGAGAGACTGCATGTGGCCTATGAGGCTTCAAGTGGTGAGAAAGGTGAGGGGGCCGAGCCCCTCAAGGTGCCCATCTGGGCGCCCCAGGACTGGCAGCAGCAGCTGGCTAACATCCGTACCATGAGGAGCAAGAAGGATGCACCTGTAGACCAGCTGGGCGCTGAGCACTGCTATGACCCCAGTGCCCCTCCGAAGGTAGGCAGGAGCTTCGTCTACCTGGGGGACCCTACCCCACCCCTCCAAGCAAGGAAGATGCTTGCTTCCTGACAACCTGAGACCCTTGCAGGTAGCACTCTGAAAGGACACACCTCCGGCCCCCAGAGCACTGGGCAGCATTGCCTTGCTTCTTTGTGGCCACTCTGCAGGTCATGTACCTGTGACTTGGGTATTTGTGTCTTCAAGCCTGTTTGCTTGTCTGTAAAATGAGAAGCAGAATCATTGACAAGACATTAACAGTGACAGTAGGCAATAGCTATTAAATAGTGACTCTCTGCAGGATATGATTCCAAGTACTTTGAGCTTCATGCTGACCCTGTGAAGCAGGTAGTTAATTGCCCCCATGTTGTAGGTGACAGGCCTCCCACTCACCCCATTGGCCCAGTTGGGTAAGAGCAAAGGTATGTAGGGTAATAAGCAAAGGTATGTAGATCTCCCAAGACCTGCTGCCAGCCTGGCCCTGTCGCTGCATAAACAGGTCCAGAGGTACCAGGTGCTCTTGTCACTGATGCTCTCCAGCCAGACCAAAGACCAAGTGACAGCAGGTGCCATGCAGCGGCTGCTGATCCGTGGCCTGACAGTAGACAGCATCCTGCAGACAGATGACAGCACACTAGGCAAGCTCATCTACCCTGTGGGCTTCTGGAAGGTGAGCCTGCTTATGGCAGTGGGGAGTGGGAGAGAGCTTTGCACTGGCCTGGGGGAGACCCAGAAAGTGAGAAGCAGGTGTCTCCAGCCATGAGCTTCTCATGCCTCTGACCATCCGGGGCCGGCAATGGAGCTGGTACCCTGTCTCTGGAGCTCCTTAGCCTTTCCTGTTTGCCCCACCCCCTTCCTTCCTCCACCTCCCCACCCAGTTGTCAGCCTTTCCCTTCCCTTTTGTTTACTCCAAGGTTCCCTGGAGGACGTCACCCCAAAAAGGTTGCTCCCCCACCCCACAGAGCCTTGTGTGGTGGGTGGACAGATCTGTGGAAAGTGGTGGCTTGGTGGGTGGGGCTGCTTCCCCTTGGCACTGCATGGGACAGGTTTTAAATAGCCTCTCCACTCAAGCACAGAATGGGAACCGTCCGGCTGGCCCAGCAGCTGGTGGGGGAGCCCCAGGCTCCAGCCTTCCTTCCTGAAGGCCCAGGTGCTGCCCAGTCTAGCTTCTGGTAATTACTCACCTGCTCAACCTCGCCCAGCTGAGGGGCCAGAGGGCAGGGAAATGTAACCCAGACTCCATACACATGTCACTGGCCTACATTAGTGGGAAGAAGAGGTCCAGGCCTACCTTGGATCCCTGTCAGGGACTCTCTGGGACCTCCCTGCTGCCTTTGGCTCCTTCCTACCTCCTGGTTTGGGGGAGGGGGGGAAAGCAGGGCCCTCTGCATGAGATCTGGGCAAGTGACCAAAATCTCTGGACATTTGTGGGCTTCCTAGGACCTTGTCCTTCCAGGTCAGAACCGACCCAACTCTGTCTTTCAGAGCAAGGTCAAATTCATCAAACAGACTAGTGCCATCCTGCAGCAGCACTACGATGGGGACATCCCAGCTTCTGTGGCAGAGCTAGTGGCCCTGCCAGGTGTTGGGCCCAAAATGGCACACTTGGCTATGGCTGTGGCCTGGGGCACCGTATCAGGCATAGGTGAGTGGCACGTGCACAAGGAGTGGGAGGGGTTGGCTTCAGGCTTGCAGCTGCTGTTGGGGTTCCCCGCCTGCTTGTGAGGAGCTCTAGCCTCCTCACCCAGGACTCAGCCTAAAGGTTCAGAAAGATGTTTCCAGCACTGCACTAGCCAGCCCCACTTGGAGCTGGGTACTGACGGCAGGGGCTCACATTTGCTGAGTACCTGCTTCGTGCTGGGTGCTGGGCTCTGTGAGGGACCCTGGAGATAGACGTGGTGTTTGCTGCATGCTGGAGAGCGTCAACAAGCAGTGCTTCCCTATGGTTGAAGGGGCGTGTGGCCCTATAGAGGCCGTCCTGGACTTGGGGGTGTCTGTCTTTTTTTCTTGGAGGGGGGGCAGTACTAGTGTTTGAACTCATGGACTTGTGCTTGCTGGGCCAGTAGTTTACCACTTAAACCACACTTTCCAGCCCTTTCTGCTTTCGGTATTTTTCAGATAGAGTTTTGCATTTATGCCTAGGTGGACCTGTACCACAGTCTTCCCTTTTATACCTCCTATGTAGCTGGGGTGACAAGTGCACACCACCATGTCCAGCTTTTATTGGATGAGATGGGGTCTTCCAAACTTTTTTGCCTAGGCTGGCCTAGAATTGTGATCTTCCCAGACTCTACTTCCCAAGTGGCTAGGATGACAGGTGTGAGTCACCGCATCTGGAAAGTCTTTCTGAGGTGGTATTTCAGCTGAGAGCACAGGTTAGGTGGGGTGAGCCAGGCTGAGGAGGAAGCACATTCCAAGCACAGGGAACAGCATCTGCAAAGCTGTGAGGCCAGGAGCAGGAAGCTCTGGAATGAGATGGATGAGTGGAGAGATCTGGAGAGCAGGGAAGAGCGGAGGAAGGGCTGTCTGCTGGGATTCCTAGAATCCTTTTCCTGGGTGTCATCTCCTGGCAGCAATGGCTCCTCCGTGTAGCTGGGTGAAGACAGGCTCACTGGGGCAGGTACAGTTCACAGCTCTGCCCAGAAGAGCTATAGCCACATAGTAGCAGGGTCTCGCTAGCCCAGAAACCAGAATTTGGCGCCAACCTCTCTGTGTGCTCCCGACCCACAATCTCTGGGATTCCTACTGGCAGCAGGGAAGGTGGTCTTAGTGGGTCCCTGCTGATAGCACCTTCCAGCTCTCCCTGGCAAACAAGAAGGCAGTTAGGGTCCCAGGACTCTGGTTGGGAGCTGGTGGCCACCTGGTGAGGCTGGAGAACAACAACTCCCAGAGCCAGGCCAGGCCTCCTCCCCACTCAGTTCCCAGTGCTGCCGCCAGCCTCTCAGCAGACACTCGAGCTTATCTGGATGCTGTCCTCAGCCTCCCGTGTCCCAGGAGTGCTGCATTGTGGTTGGGCCACTCCGGGGGAAGGGGAACTGTGCTTTGGGTATAGTGGGCACAACAGACAGGAGTGTCAGAATTCTACCCGCTTTGGTTGTCTGCAAGCCCAACCACCTTCAATGAGACCCCCAGAGCCGACTCCTAGGGGAAATAAGAAGCCCTCCATTAAAAAGCCAGAACTATGGTGTACGGGCATAGTTCAAGTAGTAGAGTCTAGCAAGCACAGGGCCCTGGGTCCCTGAGTTCAAATTCCAATACCACTACCAGAAAAAAAAAAAAAAAAAAAAAAAGAAGAAACTAGAGCCATGGGGTACACATATGTTCCTCAAACACTGCTGAGCAACCTCACATTAGGCTCTTGACCTCTCTGAGTGTCAGCTCAAAGCCAGCGAAATAGTTGTCCTACTTAACTGCACAGATGTATAGGAAGCCCTTCCGGCTAGCACAGCTACGATGTGGCTCTGGACTGAGCCTCTGGGTGACCTGAGGAGCACCATCACCTTCCTGTTACAGAGGAGGAAACTGAGGCTCGGTGTTCCCATGAGGTGGCCCCTTGTCCTTCATCCTCTGCCTGCACCTCCAGGGTGCCTTTTCCCAGGCGGTTAGTAGCAAGATGGGAGCTAGTATAGGAATTACCTTTCTGTTTGGCAAATCCTGGAGAAGGTAGGGGCTTCTGCAGTCCCTGTGGTGGCCAACTGATGGGAGTAGGGACCAAAACCCAGGTGGTATACAGCTGCAGCCAGCCTGGCTGTGTTTCCTACTCTGTCCCTGATGGCTGTAGTGGCAGGTGCTGGCTCTACAGCAGTGACCTCAGGCCAGTGCAATAGGTGAAGCTGCTGCCACCGGTCTGATACCCACAACCAGAGCATGGGCTGGAAGGGGCCTTGGGTTACAGGAGACAGAGCAGAAGAAGCAGGGCAAAGCCCTTGGTCCAGGCCTTGTTCCCAGGGAGGCTGTGGGTGAAGGGTACACACTTTTGCACTAGTGGAGTGTCTTAAGTGGTAGAGCGCCTGCCTGGCAAGCGTGAGGCCCTGAGTTTAAACCCTGGTACCACCAAAAAAACAAAAAGAGGGCTTTTTTGTTTTTGGATTGGTGGAGTTTTTTGGGGGGTGGGATTAGTGGTAGAGATTGAATCCAGGGCTTTACACATAGTGCCACTGGGCTGTACCTCCCAAGGATGCACACTGGAGTGAGAACCCTGCCAGGCCTCAGTTTCTGCATCTGTAGACATCCTGAGCTGAGGCAGTGCAGGGTCTGACTGCAGTAAGTGCTCCACTCAAGTTAGCTGTTACTGTGTTGCAGGAAGCAGAGATACTGCCCCCACACACACCACCCCCTGCCCACCAGAGAAGATACCCACCTATCCACGAAGTTGGCACCCAGATTAGTGAGAATGGGTCAGCCCAGAGCAGAGACCTCCCCAACCAGGGTCCCCCATGATGGGAGGGAGACCCAAAGGAGACTGTCTGCATCCTACATAGAGAGGGTTCCAAGCCCAGCCCAGCAGCACAGATGGAGCAGCTGCTCTCAGACCTGCAGCCTACGCTGTGTGGTTCCTGTCCCTGCTTGGAAGCCCAGGTGGGAGATAGAGACACTGGGCTGAGCCTTCCACCCACATGACCCTCAGGGCTATGGGCAGAGTCAGGAATACAATCTGGGCTGGTAGTGCGCTCGTCTTCACCCCTCCCTATCTCCAAGCAGCAGTGGACACACATGTGCACAGAATCACCAACCGACTGAGGTGGACCAAGAGGGCAACCAAGACCCCAGAGGAGACCCGAACAGCCCTGGAAGAATGGCTACCCAGGTATGGCGGTGCTGGGGAGCCCGGAAATGGGGCCTCCCCTCTCTTCCTCCTTCCACACTGACCGAGCTCCCACACTTACAGGGAGCTGTGGGGCGAAATCAATGGGCTGTTGGTGGGCTTCGGCCAGCAGACCTGTCTGCCCGTCCATCCTCGCTGCCAGGCCTGCCTCAACCAAGCCCTGTGCCCTGCTGCCCAGGGTCTGTGAGGGCCATGGGGTTTTGCCTGAGCAGTGCCTTTACTTGGGGGATTGCTGCCTGTGTAATAAAGCTGGGGGTTGTTTGCAGTTGCAATCTGGGTTACTTGTATCCCTGAGGTATGTATGGGAGCAGGCCAGGAGGCGCGTGCGTGCGTGTGTGCACTGTGCTCACGTTTGCAGCAGGGCTGCCTGGGAGGCAGGGTGGGGAATGTGACAATCTGCTGTGTACTGAGGGAGGGAGGGGAGAGGGGAGTGCACGAACCCAGGAGGAGGAAATGGTGAACCAGCTGCAGCCAGCTGCCAGGAAGCCTGCTGGGAAAGTGTCCCTATGGCCCCTCACTCTGTCCATCTGCAAGCTGGAGGCTCAGCAGCTTCTTAACCCAGAAGCCGCCTCTCCTCCTGAACTTAAGCACTGGAAGAGCCCAGCCTCCACCAGGGCCCCACCTCCCTGTTTACAGAGCCCCCTGCCAGAAAAAGATTCCGGAGACCCAGGCTCAGGCGCCACAGAACACAAGGATTGACCTACATAGCCCTGCTGGAAGTGGAAGGGACTGCACCAGGAAAAGGCTCACCCATGGGGTGTCAGTGGCCCATGTGGTTTCACAGTGGAGCTGAAGATGGGAGGCTGGGCCTTGGCAGGTAGAAGAGATAGGCAGAGGTCCCAGAATGTGCACAGGACAGGTCTAGACCTGGGAGTTCCAGATGGGAGCAGCAGCCCTAACTGCACCCCGCTCCCCAGGGTCCTCTACAATGGCCTCATTCCTCTCTCAGCTGAAGACTCAGAAAAGACACGGGTGCCAGGGTTCAAGGCAAGGCCTGTTTATTCCGAGGGCGCGCATGCGCTATGGCTTACAATGCAGACAGCAGTGCTGATCAGTTGGTTCAGGCGTTTGGGGCTCTGAGGAAAGGGCAGAATTAACAGGATGTCCATGGGGGTGGGCGCCAGGTAGGCGCAAGGCAGAGAGGCCAGGCCCAGAAGCCCAGGGTCCTTCCTGGGGGCAGCTTACACCCCACGATCTCCAGGTCTGGGATCTGTGGTGCAGGATAAGGGGCATATCCAGAGGCCACCTTCTTGGGTGCAGGGGGCCTTTATCCTCCAGCCCCTTGGAGAGCCTAGGTCCCGACCCCAATCCACCAGCAGGATGAGGGCAGCATGGAAGTTGGACAGAGTGCAAATGGGGCCTGGCCCAGGGACGTTCCACACCACAGAATGCAGGAATGGAGTAGAGCAGCAGCTCCTAGAGGCCCATCTGGCCTCCCCAGCCATATCCCTAAGCCCACCTGAGCACAGCCTGGAGGCCTCTAGCTCTCAGTCCCCTGGAAAGCCTGGGCTCCACTCAGGATGGCGCTGCCGGGGGGGTGGGGAGGAAATGGTTTGCAGAGAAAGGTTTGTTTTATTGCAATTATTTAAGAGTGTGTCCCAAGGGGGGGTGGGGGAGGGGTGCTCTCGTATTAAGTGGAAACATGTGTGGAGCTGGAGATCTTTTTGGAAAAAAAGCAAAAACACAAATTCCTTTTACTCAGCAGGCCTGGGACAGAGCACCGAAGGCCCTTGGCCCTGGTCACGCATGCTGCCCCTCCCTCCATCTCTCATATTCTCTGTCTATCTCTCACTTCTCTGGGTCTTTCTCTCTCCCTCCATCTCCCCCAGCACCCAGTGAGTAGGGGCAGGACGTAGGGCTCGCTGGGGCACAGGTTGGTTTCTGGGAGGCAGTAAGACCACCCTACAATCCACTGAGGCTTGGGGAGCTCTGGATGGCCCCAAGGTCCGTGCAGGAGGGGCCAAGGGGCCTGGACAGCGGAAGGGGCTCAGAAGTTGCTGAAGATCTCACGCTTCCGGTTCCAGTCCATCTGAGGCGCCCGCTTGTTGACGCGAGTGGCCCGAGCCTTCTCCTTGGCCTCAGCTGCCGTTGGGCTCAGGTGGAGGCCGCTCTCCTGGAATGGATCTCGTTTCCAGGTGCCACCATCCTAAGGGTGTGCAGGAAGCAGACATGAGTTCTACTCCCATGCCTCAGGAGGGCACCTTCCCAGCGAGGTCACACCAGAAGCCACCTGCAGGGGCTAGGGCAGCTGGCCTAGGAGGGCTTTCTGGAGGTATTGGCCCCACTGTCCAGGCTGACATCTCCATGGACCCCCCCACCACCAAGGCTTCTGGCATCCCATGTGTGAGCACAGCAGCAGTTACCTCAGTATCCTTATCCGGGCCTGGCAGGTCACTTTGGGATGAACACACTGAGCCACCATTGAGCTAGGAAACCAAGGGCAAGTCGTGGCTTCAGAGTCCCCACCAGGGTAGCCCCCAGCGCACCCAGACAAGTGCACGTGTTCATGTATGCACCTGCATGCACACAGGTACACTTCTGTGCGTGCACACGCCACAGCTACATCGTTTTTTATCTGGTAGCAGGCACCACTATCTAGGTCCAGCTGGGCAGGACACAGCACCGTCAGGGACCAGGCAAGTGACTGGCCCAGCTGGTCATGATGTAGGAGGGACAGATGTGTTACAGGGATCAAATACATAAGTGTCACCTGAGGTCAAGCCAGGGCCAGCTTCCGAGAAGGTGGGGACCAAAGGGTGACTCAGTGGCCATGTAGTCCTGGGACTGCCAGAGGACAATGGCCCAGAATGCCAGGCACCCGCACCCACCCTACTTGACAAGATCTACCACAGGCATCGTCAGGCCAAGGGGCCAGACTTGGGTCGTACAACCACACCTCGAGATCTCCCAAAGAAGGGGCCTCACCTGGGCAGGGCTGGTCCCGTTGGTGACCGGTGATGGCAGTGGTCCTGTGGGGACAGCACATCAGTGGGGCTGCCCTGGCCCCATATTGACCCACCCTGTGCCCCCCCGGGGCAGCAGCCCACCTTCCACATGCTCCTCTGTGGGTGTGATCCGCAGCCGCTTGAAGTACTCATCAGCCTCAGGGTCCACCACCAGCAGTCGGGCCTCAGCCTCCTTTGCCTTGATGCTGGCAACAACCTCAGCATGGCGCAGCCCCTCCACGTTCTGCCCATTCACCTACCACCACCAGCACAGGGTCAGCACTCCCTGAGGGCCCCAGCCATCCCCACACCACCCAGCCAGGTATGCCATCAAATATTCATCAAAGCCACCACCAGCCGAGGCAGCAAGAGGAGTGCCAGCTCAAGTTCCCAGCGTCTCCCCTTCTCCTGCAGGGACCCAGGGCCCACACACAGACATATGCAAGGACGCACACACACACAAATGTGCACACACACAAGCCTCAGTGGGCAGGGTACCTCGATGAGCCGGTCCTGGGCACGGAGGCCAGAATGGGAGGCTGGTGAGCCTGGATCCACAGAGCGGATATACTGGCCAGGCCGAGACTTGTCACTGTGCAGGTTAAACCCATAGCCCTGGGGTCCCTTTCGCAGGTGGCAGAGCCGAGGACGCGGCTCTCTTGGGGACCCGTTGACATCCTGCAGGCACACAGGGGTGGGTTCAGGCTCTGGTTCTAGTCTCCAGCCGTAGCAGCCACTTGTCAGGACCCCACCCACTACCCCAGCCCCAAACTAGAGATCATGTCCCTGACTGCGGATCCCAGCTCTACATGTCAAACATTGCATATGCCCCAGAGGTTTGGTAAGTCTGCCTGTGACCGATCTGTTAGGTTTGGAGCAAAGCCTATTTTCAAACATGAAAAGATCCTCTGATGGAACCAGTGACCCCACAGGGGCCCTAGGAGAATTCACTTGTGTGCAATGTGCACAGGTCTGGGACACAGAAAAGGAGCAGGCAGGATGACCTTTCCCCGTCACAGGACCCTAGAAAGGCTGTGCCCCGACCCCAGCTGCCAGCTCCCTCTCTGCCTGTGGGACTGGGCTGCTTTGTTTTCTCCCTGAGGCCTCCATGAGGCAGGCTGGGCAAAGTAGGTGCCTGCTGTGTTTGCTTTCACATTCCAGCACAAAGTAGAGCCACCCCCAACCCACAGGCCCAGAAAGAAGTGCTGGAGACAAGATCCAGGGCACCCACAAGGAATTCCCACCATTTCCCCAAGCCCTGCCTCACTTTACCTCTGGCATCCTGCAGTAGGACTCTGGGACAGGGTTGCACAGGCAGGGGCCAGGCCCAATGACCCCCCACCCGGCTAGGGGCCAGGGCAGTGACTGCAGTGCTGAATGGCCAGTGGCTGTTGGTGCCCAATTACACAGGGCGGGTAGCTGGGGTGAGCAGGCATGTGGCAGCTCGAGTTTCTGAGGGTGTATGCAGGTGAGTATGCTGTCCAGCTGTGCACACAAAGGCCCTTCCCTCACCTACCTCCCCAGGTGTCCTGTGACTAAGGGACCCCAGACCAGGCGGAGACTGAGGCAGCACTAAAGGAAGGTCTCTCATATCAAGGAAGGGCTCTAAGCCTCAAGCACCTGGCCTGTAGCCAAGGTTGCCCCTGACCACTTCAGCTGTTTAGACTTTGCGCTAGTTCCAAATCCCAAATCTGACTGGGAACATCCATGTCCGTGGGCAGCCACCAGTTGTGGAGCACAGGTCTCTGTGCAGGGCTGCTGCCTTGCCCCAAGCCTCTGGGCCTCCCCCTTGGTCTGGAATACCTTCTTTCTGTCCAGGCTGTACTCCTGCTCAGGACGCCTTCCCTGACCCCAAAGCATGTCCTCCTCTGAAAGTTTCTGCTGACCCCTGGACCCTCACAGTATGGCCACCATCTGGCACATTAAGAGTAGGAATTCCAGGAACTGGGCTGACATTCCTCAGCCTCGCAGGGGCTCAGTTGGGCAACATAGGCGAATTCAGGGGTACAAGACACCCAAGATCTCTAAGACCCAACCACATAGACTCATCTCTCCCAGACACACATGGAAGTACAGGTGTGGGGCTTTGGAACAAGGCCTTGACACCTCCTACAGAGGTGCCTCTCAGGGACACACTGTCAGAGCACAGCCTGGGGCAGTGGGTGGCCAGGTCACAAGGAGAGGAGAAGCAGAGCCCGAAGCCAGAGCCAGCACAGAGCATGGAAGAGTGATGTGATCGTGCCTGGGCCACGTCACGTGATCAGGGACAGGCCATTCCAAGCTTACACTTGTAAACATGCTACATGGAAATACACAACCACCCACACATGCAAACTGACAATTCATGGAGCCTGCCCTGTGGTCTCTTCCCACGGCCTCCACAATGACCTGCAGGGCAGGGTTTCTCAAGGCTCCTGAATGGGAAGCAGGATTTGGCGGGGCATCCAAGGTCACGAGGCCAGGCTGAGACCACATCTGTGTTCCCGGTGGACCATTCTGGCCATCCTCCTGCCTTAATGCACAACAGCCACTTCTCGCCACACAGGACAAGTTCCGCCCAATGTTCTATACCCTCCTTACAAGCAGGGTTGTAGGGGTGCCAAGCTTGGCATAAGACCCTCAAGTGTTGAGACTGCAATGCAGGGGCCCCCAGCTGACCAGCCTGTGGGGTGGAGGGGGTGGCAAAAACAAGCAAGTGGCGGGGGGCGGCGGGGGGGATAGGCAAACAGCGGGAGGGGCACATTGCTTGCATTCTTCCTCCCAGGGCTGGCTCAGTGCATATTTCCTGCCACCTCCCGCCAGGCCCTCTGGCTCCCACGGGCTCTCAGCCTAATGGCTGAAACGCTGGGCAAGTCCTATTCCCCCTGCCAAGCCTGTGACCAAAGAGGCTGGAATGGGGGTGCCCTCAGACCCAGGCTGTGCCCCCCCAGAGGGTGACTCACCAGCCTGGCAGAGAAAGGCCCCCATTGTTGCTTGAGGTCCATTCTGCTTGTACAAAGGTCCCAAGTTCTCTCTCCCTCCCTTGAGAGCCTGAGCTAAGGCTGTCATCCTCACAGCCCAACTCCATCCACATCCCAGCTGACCTGTACAAGCCCCTGGTGCAGGCTCTGTGGAGGGGTTCCTGGGGCTGGGGCTAGTGGTGTGGCATTCCCGGAGCGGGCCATCAGAGGCTGGACAGAAGTGGCAGGCAGCGGGCATCCAGCCTGGAGTAGCCTAAGCTCTCTGGCCAGACCAAGTTGCCACCCCACTTATCTACCTCCCGCTATGGTCCAGGTTCCCCGGGGATGGGTGGAGACGTGGGGGCTGAGTCATTTTGGGGAGCAAGGTGGTGACTGAGCCCCCTCCCCTACTGAGACTCCAGCCAGGCACCCCCCCCACCCAGTTGGGTTTCCGTCCTAAGGAAGGAAGGAAGCTGCTGGGAGGCCCTGCCCTGCTCAAGACCCAGGGCTGGAGAGACAGGGAGGCGAGGGAGAGGACCTCCGCTCCAGAAGAGAGGACAGCCCTGCTGGGCCTTGTGGGGGGAGGAAGAAGAATGCAGCAGGAGCCAGAAGAGCCCCAGGGCCCTCTTGTCACCACGTCATGTACCAGGAAGCCACCTGCTGCAGGGCTTCATTACCTCTCAGTCAGTCTCAGCCCAAGCCCTCCAGAAAAGGGGTGGGAAAATGGTGGGAGTGAGGGGGTAGAGGGCCAGGGTCTGTCACTGCCTCCCTGGCCCTGGCACCACTGGCTGCCCATCTCTGTTTGGGGCTGTCCCTGTTGTCACTGCTAGAATCAGCTCACTACAGCTGCAGCCACCCCCTGCCCAGTGTGGCCCAGGCTGAGTCACCACTGACTCGGCCTTCACTGCCCCCAAAGGGAGGGGCAGACCACATCACATCAGCATCCTCCCCTGCCCTACCTCCCCTGTCCCAGTTGAGACAGAGGACACTGACACTGAAAGAGGACAAGAGCAGCCCTTAACTTCCACAGGCACATGGTGACCCCTCACCCTCAAAAAACACACACCCTGCACCAAAGCAGAACACATCACTCCCAGGACTGCCTTTTGGCCACCAATGACCTGGTCAGAACCCTACAGGGTCAGTGTTGCCCTCCCTGGCTTCCTGCCTAGCCCAAGGCAGGCAGTCTCTGAGCCTGGTTTGTGGAGGTCAGCTGAGGCTCCACTCTTCCTTCTATGAGGAAACCCTGCCCCTTGGACCCCCTGCTCTCCTGGAGTCCCTGTCTCTTGCTTAGTCCCATCCACAGAGGGACCTGCCCATCACACCCCCTTTTGTTTCTCTAAAAATACGCCCAGAGGAAGCCCCCTCCTAAGGTTTCCTGCAGCCCCTAGAGCCTGAAATAGCAGAGGGGGAAGGTCCCACCCAAGGACAAGGTACCTCAGCCACCCCACCTCCAGATAAGGCCCCAGGGTGGATTTTTCCACAGGAAGGTGAACTGTTTGTGTCTGAATGAATGGACAGGCTTCCTCCTGGGGAGAAGGGAGGGGTTCCTGGGAAAGAGGGAGGCGCCAACCTTCTGCCAGGGAAAGGGGGGCCTGGGACCTGCCTGCTTCCAGCAGTGCCAGCTGGCTATGAGTGAGGGATCCCCTGAAAGACTCCTGAGCTTCAGCAGCCCCAGCACAGAGTCTAGACTTCAGGGCTTGGCATCTACTCTGGAGTCCTAGAGAAGAAAAAGTATCCCATAGATCCCAGGTCTTTGCCCAGACTGGGATTCCTACTACAAATGCCAGCTCCCTTACCCCAAGACAGGTCCCATGGGCTCAGCTTACCGGCCGGGCCATCTTGAGTAGGAGACATTCGGGAAAGGGAAAAGGCAGATGTCAAGGTCCCTTGCATACCCAGCAACTACAGACCTGACAACTCCACCCCTAGGCCAGCTGTTTGCAAAGTGGGATGCTGGAAACCCCTGGGCTTAAATCCCTTCAAGGAATTTGTTTTTTATAAAAACAGAAAAAAAAAGTAGAAGGCATGAGAAACAGTAACATCGGGGCCTCCAAGAGGCAGCGCAAGCAGCCTCAGGCCTTCCTCCAGGCTTCTGGGTACAGCCTAGGTGGCTACCTGGAAGGATGTGGAACAGATCCTCCCTGTTCTTTCCGGGTCTCCTGGCCTGGAAGGAGGGTAGGTATAGAAGGAGGTATTATGCAGCAGCTAGAGGAGGACCAGCAAATGGGGTTCTGTAGGTGTCTTCTTTTGTCTGGGGGATAGAGGGCTAGAAGCTTCCTGTGAGGCCCCTGGAAGACTCAGGGCCAAGCAAGCCAGCGTACAGAAGTTCACCTAGGCACCAGCTCCACCCTGTTCCCATGCCCATCCCAGCACTACCCATGCTGTACCCCAGTTCAGTATCTCCTCAGCCCTCCCCCCAACTGCCCACAGAAGAGGCCAGCCTCCCATCCACAGATCTTCACAGCACATTGATGCCTCAGACACACAGACAAGAACAGAGCTATGGACAAACTACAATGCAAGCACAGAACTGAACACACTCAGTCAGTCCTCAAATGTCCCAGCAGCTCTTTCCAAGGCTCCTCAACCACTGGGCCTGGTGAGCAGGGGGCTCAGGGTAAAAAGAGTGACCACAAATGGTCTAAAGTGTGGTCACTGTGGGTAGGGAAAGGGTCCCAGGAGGAAGAAGAAATGGAGGCTTGTGGAGGTGGCCAGAGGCAAAGACTGTCATCAAGACACCAAGATGACGGTCCTGGGGAAGGCCAGGGTGGCCCTATGGGCAGAACCCACCATACCTTCTGGCCAGTGTCAGAGTTGAGGCTGCCCACGTGTGCCCAGTCGGGTTTCAGCTCCCAGGGTTCATTTATTGGCGGAAGCCCTCGCTGGGCCATCTCTTCTGTGCAGGTCAGCTGCCGCCGGCGGAGCTCCTCATCTGTCTCCTTGTCCACAACCAACAGCTGAGTCTGCCCCTCCACAGCCTTGATCCTCTGCACCACCTGGGATGGGCGGGTGCAGGACTGGGTCAGCAGCCAACACCCTGGGCCACACATGGACAGTGGCACCACTACGGGCTGGCTCTGGGTCTCAGGCAGCAGGTCCGCCAGGGGTGGGTGGCTGGATGGAGAGGCCCGAAGGCTCCGCCCCCCACCCCCGGGGTCCAGCAGCTCCCTCCCTCTTCTCCCCAGGCTCTTGACACTAGGACCCAGGCTACAAGGACTTCAGGGTCCTCTTGGAGCCTTGTCCTCAGCACAGGATCTTCTCCAGGAAGGTCAGGAAGGAGCTACAGGGTACAGCCAGCTAGAAGAGTGAGTCTGACAGAGAGCATGCTGAGCTTCAGGTTTTCAGTCTGTGATTGTATGCACGTGCATGTATGTGCCTGTGTGTGCACACATATGCTCTCATGCATACATGTTTCAAAGTGTCTTTCCATTTGAGTTTGGAAGAGAAAGGTGTCTCCTTTGGTCCCACTGTGGGTGTGTCTTAGCCTATCTCTGTCTTTCTCAGCAGTGCAGTATGGAAATCTCTGCATGTGTTTGCCTCCAGACTGTGACCACCTACCCATTTCTGCTGGACCTGCAAATAGGTGAAGACCTGAATTTTTGACTCAAACACCCACACACATCCAGTAAAAGCAGGATTTAACTTCAGCAGGCAAGGGGGATGGGCAGGTGCACCTGTAGGACAGGTATAGCTTTACAACCATCCGTATGTCTAGGTCGGTGCCATGAAGTATGTAGAGCACATGGGCAAGGGGAAGCACTCACTGTCACAGAGAGTAGGAACGGTGACAACCCCATCCCCTTCCCACAGTCTGGGGGCAAACAGGGCCCCCACCACTGCTCCACTCAGTAGATGTTATTTACAGATAGGTCCCTCTTCTCTCCCAGTGACCCACAGACCAGCAGGAGGAACCCAGCACTCTGCTGTGCCAGTTACCCACACCTGTGATCATCAGTTTCCTCGTCTGTAAAATGGGGATTATAGCTGCACCTCCTGTCTTCCTGGGCAGTGGGGAGGGTTGAATGTGGTTCTGTGTGTACAGTCCTTAGACACTAGCACTCCAGAGGCTTGGGATAAACAAGTGCACTTGGGGTGAGGGTTGCAGTGACTGCTAAACAGAGGCAGGACACCACCTATACCAGCCAGTCCCTGCCTGTGGGGTAAAACCTCTGACCCAACCCCCACCTTTCTTCAGCAAACTGCCAGATCCTGTAGAAGCTCTGGCTGGGCGACAGGACAGCAGGCAGTTGGATAGACAGGGCCCTTGAGGGAGATAAGAGTTCAGCTTCTGGCCCAGCCAAGAACCAATCTGCTATCTCTAGGCCTCAGGACTGGCCACAGACAGGTCGTGGACTTGCTGGTGCTGTAAGGGACACAGAGGACCCAAAGCAGAAGGGGTGGACCGAGGCTGGACCCCAGCCAAGGTCTGAGATGAGTTTTCCGGCCAGTGGGAGATAGACATCCAGGGGACAGAACCTGCACCATGGAAAGCCCACCCTCTCCACCTTTCTCCAGAGGCAGAGGCAGGGGGCAGGGGGCAGAGGGCTGCAGCAGTAACCCCCGTAAGGCCCAGCAGCCTCCCAGGAAGGGGAGGAGCTTTGGAGCCAAGGAATGTGCTGCCACTAGGGCAGACTCTACCGGACCCGCTGGGAGGCACACACTAGTACACCGTCTGTGGACACCTCGAGTACACAGCCAAGAGTGCAGACACGCACACACATGCCCAGCCCAAAAATGTCAGGCGATCTGATGTGTCCACACAGCCCTAGGCGCATAGTCCAGCAGACACACACAGGTCTGGCCTTACCGTGATCCCTCCCCAGTACACTGGTAGAATGTGCATATGGATGACCCCAGAGGGACCTGGGGTCACACATACCCACATACTCAGAGAAAAGCACTCGCACCGCGCCCGCCCCAGGTGCCTGGGTGCCCCCCGCCCCCCACAAGTAGCCAAACGAGGGACGGCCCTGGCCCTTAAACGCCGCAGTGCGGTCCCTCCCTGCCAGGATGCCCCCCCACCCCCCGCCCCGAGTGTTGGACCGAGCTTCCTTGCCAGGAGGCCGGCCAGCCACGTCCCCTGCCTCCCCGCGGGAGCCCACGCAGGCCCCCGTGTGACCCCTGCCTAGCCCCAGTCGGGTGCTCCGTGGGCCATCCGGCGGGCGCAGCAGGGACGCGCCCCCCAGAGGGGGCTGGGGCGGGGGGCGGGGCGCGGGCACCCACCTGGTGGTGCGTCTCGCCCTCCACGTTGACGCCGTTGACCTCAACCAAGCGGTCCCCGGCGCGCAGCGCGGCCGCCTCGGCGGGAGAGCCGGGCTCCACGCGCCGGATGAACTGCCCGCGGCGGCCCTTCTCGCCGTGCAGGTGGAAGCCGTAGCCCTGCTCGCCGCGCACCAAGCGGCACAGGCGCGGCCGCGGCGGCTCCGGCTCGGCCATGGCGCCCGCTGCCCCCCCGGCCCGCAGCGTTCGTCCACGGCGCTCACTGTCGGCCGGCCGCAGGCGGGCGCGCGGGGGCGGCGGAGGCGCGGGGGGCGGCGCGGGCGGTGGCGCTGGGGACCCAGCGGCGGCCTCGGCTGCTCCAGCTCCGCTCCCGACGCCTCGGGCTCGGGCTCCGGCCCGGCTGCTGCACCGCCCCCGCCCCCGCGCCCGCCCCTTCCCCGCCCCCGCCGCCCGGCTGCCCCCGCCCCGGCCCAAGCCCCGCCGGCTAGGCCCCCGCCTGGGCTCCCCGCCAAACCGGGGGACCACCGGGTGGGACTGCAGAACCAGGGGACCCCGGGACTCCTTTCTCGCTCCACTCTGGGCACCCTCCACGGGGCAGCCCCTTTAACTTTTATTTCAGGAACATTTATTAGACACCTGTGTGTGCCAAACTGAAATGGGGAGCTTAGAGGAAGGGTCCCCAGGCTGAGGGACCCCTCACAGACACCAGAGGGTAAGAATAAGAGCCACATCTCTTCCCATGTTGGTCCAAAAGCCCTCTCTCCACCTCACAGGACCCTCTGCCAGCTCCCCCTCTCTGTTCCTGGATCTAGATTCCCACCTAAAGCCAGAGCTGCCCTGACCCAGTGCAGAGTCCAGGACTGTCCAGAGGCCAAAAAAAAAAGTCATTAAAGTGACAGAGCAGCAAGCTTGATCCTAGATTCTTGCTGCAGTGACTGGGTGACCCCATGCCCTTCCCAGGGAGTGTTTGTGCTCTGAGTTGTGTGTCATTAAACATCCTGCCCATGACAATCCCTGCTTTCTGGGACATGAGTTTGTGTGGCTGAGGCAGGAGGATCTGTGCCTTCTTCCTTCTGAGCTAGGATAAACTTTGCTGAGGACTTTGGCCCCTGAGCTCTGGGCAGTGGTCAGCTGTCCCACATGATGGGAGCCACTGAAAGTCTTCCCTCCTCTGTCCCCAGCCTTCCACTTTCCCCATCCCCAACAGAACAATAACAATCACACAGAGAATCATTTATGCATTCTGCCTCTGAGTGCAGGTCACCTGAACAACTCTAGGGGGCCAGGCCATTTCACAGACCAAGAAACTGAGGTGTGGGGAGGAAGAGACCCACACAAGGTCCCCAGCTCCACTTGGGCCCAAGGCACTTCGCTCCCAAGGCACAGGAAGACAGCTGAGTCCCAGACTCACCCACAGCCTGCCCCTCCCCAGCTCTCAGTCCCTCACATACCTGATTCCCTGGGGTCATGCACAGCCAGCCTAGCCAATTCCCCATGTGGGCAGGAGATGCAGGCTTGGCTCAGTCCTTGTCTCTCTCTCTCTATCTCTCTCTCTCTCTCTTTCCTCTCTCCAGTGCCCTTGGCTGGGCTCCCCACCCAAGCACAGGGTCCGCCTCTGGGCAGCATCCTGGGCTGTGGCCCCTTGGGTGTCCACACCCTACCAGCTGCCCCTAAAAGCCACTTAGGCCAAGGCTGGATGGCTGCTCCCCACCCCCACCCTCTCTGCAATTCCTGACTGATGCTACACAGGCTCCAGGATGGCTGGCCTCTTCCATCTGTCTGCCTGTCCAGAGGTTGCCTATCTGACCTGTGACTGGCTTTGCTGCACCCAGCCTGGAGCTGCTGCCTGTGGAGACTGTGAGGATGGGTGCAGACAATGGGCAGTGTGTCCACCGTATACCCCACAGGCAATACCTGCAAGGGCCTTGGGGGTCATCCTCCAGCATCCAGGACTACCTCCAGACCTTCCGGCTGCAGCTTTGTGGCCACGCCAGTGGACAGAGGTGGTGGGATGGGAAACCTCAGGCCAGGGGGTGAGGAAGGTAGGAGCACCGGGGCCCCTGAGTCAGGGGGCTTGGAGACCTCGTCCCACTCTATAGAGCAGACTCCTAATCAGTCTTTTTTTTTTTTTAATAGTGTATTTAGCTTTTTTTTTTGGCAGTACTGGGGTTTGAATGCAGGGCCTCACACTTGCTAGGCAGGCACTTTTGCAGGCACTTTTCCACTTGAACCACTCTACCAGCCCTTCCTAATCAGTCTTGTACCCTCAAAACTTCTGTCACTTTGGACTCAGCAGCATTCTCCTACCTGTGACCGAAGATGGGATAGGGACAAGATCAGTCTGGGGGAAAAAGTAACTAGAGACATGTGGTAACAACCAGGAGCCAGGAACAAAAGATGTGGCACAGGACACTGCAGTCAGAGTAATAGCAAAGGACTTCCCAAAGCAAAAAGGGAGCTGAAAAGTACCAAGAAAGTTCACAAGGAAATATCTTAAGAGTAACAAATGGCCTGGGTAACAAAGGAAGCAGTGCAGCACAGAGTGGGTAACAGCAACAGAACAAAGAAAGGCAGACAGAGAAGACAGAGGTGACCATTTCTCATAGGGTAGCAGAATTAAGTAAGAACCCGGGCACTGGTGTAATCCTAGCTGCTCAGAAGGCATAGATCAGGAGGACTGCAGTTCGAAGCCAGCCTGGGCAAATAGTTCCATGAAACCCTATCTCGAAAAAACCCATCACATAAAGAGCTGGCAGAGTGGCTCAAGGTGTAAGCTCTGAGTTCAAACCCCAGTACTGCAAAAAGAAAAAAAAAGTAGGAAGCACAGAAGTGTGGGGAGCCTAGAGCAGGACAGGTGGGGAAGGATGACATCACAGCCCCCAGCCAGCCTGAGACCCCAGATTGATGGGGCACTGACAGGTAGTGAGAGCCAGGGAGAAGGGCAAAAGATGCCAGCGAACCCCTGGAGGTGGGAACTGGAAAGGGGCTGGGGCTCCAAGTATGGAACAGGAAAGGTAAGAAGGGTGCCCTTTATTTTGCTAGTTCTTTGAGGAGTGGGGTGGCCTGGCCCCCAGGCCAGCAGCAGGTAGGAAGCTCAACACATGGGTAGGTCCCCCGCTTCACCCCACCTCTGCCAATTTGCTACCCAGTCAGGCTTCCTCTGCAACAGAAAGGCGGGACATACTAGTCCCACCTTTTCCTGGACTGTCTGAGGGCCCCCTAGGATGAAGGATTTTTTTCCCTTGTGTTCCTCTTGGGGCAAGGGGCTTTCCTCTGAGCATTGGACCTACATACCTCCTGCAAGCCCCCTCTCCTCACCCTGTAGAGGCTGAGGACCTTGTCTGGGGGCCAAGCCATTAGTCTGATGCGGGCAATGGCCCACAGCGTCCCGAGCGCTGCCTCCCTAATGGGCATTAATGGTCCAGCAGGTATCACCAGGTATAGATTAGGACCTCCTCTTTAGACTACACCACGCCTCCCTTTGGGTCACAAAATTGGAGCAGGAGGAACCAGCCCAACAGGAGAGAGATCAGAGACCCAGATGAGAGAGGGAGAGAGGAGAGAAAAGGCAAGGACCTGAAAGCGAGGAGGGGCAGAAAGGAGAGGCAGGAAATTCGCCTTCCCGGAGGATGGGCGGCCCGGCTCCGTCCTCCCCGTCCTTGGCCCCGCCCTCGCCCCCGCCCCGTCGGAGGTGCGCGTCAGTGGCTGTACACTGCAACAGCTGCAGTGCAGCGCCACCTGGCGGGAATGGGTGGGATTGCGTCGTCCCACACATTAAGGGTTTAGACGATCCTAAACCCAATGTCTCTGCTTTGGATTTGAACCAGTTCTGCATGGTGGGATTGGGATGGAGCTGATTCCCTGGGTCTGGTTACGCTGCGGGAGCATAGGGATGCGTGCCCTAGGGAGGGCAAAGAAGCCCTGCCTCTGTCTAGCACCTAATCAGCCTTGCCCTTTCAACCTTGGACCTGGCATCCATCTCTCTGGTTGAGGTACTTCCTGGCAACCTCATAAGTGTCCCCAGCACTTTTGACCAAACATTTGCGGACCACTTATCTCCAAGCGCTGGCAAGAACTGGGTAAACATTGCTGAGACCCAGGGAAACTGGGGTTTGTGTACCTGAGCAAGGGAGCCCAGGGTTAGGGCAGTCCCTGGAGGAACATTTAATCAGCCTAGGGCCCTGGAGCCCTCCTGCAGGGTGGGAGCTCTAAACTCTTCCTGCAGGTTGGAGTCCAGGACTCATGCAGGATGGAGCAGGGGGTAGGGAAGGGGAGAGAGCAATGACCCTTTGATACAGGTCCAACCCTGTGATCATGGAGCTTGTCCTGTAGGCAGTATGAAATCCTGGAGGTGTTGTGCATTTGGGTGACAAGCTCAGGACACCAATGTTTTGAAAGGTCAGGTTTGTTGAGGTCATAAGTGGGGGAGTGGGTTTGGAGAGAGGAAAGTGGATCCACGTGAAGGGTCTATGACATCTTCCCCCAGTAGAAAACCCTGGTTGGGCTGTGGAATTGAGGTCAATAAATTGAGGGTCCATAAAAATTGGGGGCCAGTCATCAGTGCCCCACACTTGTAATCCTAGCTACTTATGAGGCAGAGACCAGAAGGATCACAAATCAAAGCCAGCCCAGGCAAACAGTTTGAGAGATCCTATGTCGAAAATACCCAATACAGGGCTGGAGAAGTGGCTCAAGTGGTAAGAGCACCTGCCTAGCAAGCATGAGGCCATGAGTTCAAACCCCAGTACAACAACAAAAATACAAAACTGGGCTGACGGAGTGGCTCAAGTGATAAGAGTAGCTCAAGTGGTACAGCACCTGCCTAGCAAGTGTGAGGCCCTGAGTTCCAACCCCAGTGTTGCTAAAGAAAAAAAGAATTGGGGGTAGGATAAAAAGGACCACTTACAACTAGGGAGGAGTACACACCCAGGAGAACAGAAGAAACTGCCAGAGTGAGGCCACAAACCTGGGGCCACTGTCCTCTGACCTTGCTGAGTGGTCCTACAGGAAACCTTAAAACATGGCCAAATGAGGGCTCCAAGGGTAGATGGCCATAAGGCATGGTGACAGGGTAGTTGGAGGTCCATGGCCATTGTGACAGTCCATGGCCAGACTAGGGCAGCTTGAAGAGGAAGCAGAGCAGAGGGGCCCAGACATTTGTGGAAAAAACTGGAAGGGCCCCTGGTGGAGGGAGATCCCTGTTATTCAAAGTGGCAAGGTATGCATTTATGTGGGGGCTGAAAACAACGACTAGGAATGCAGAGGGGGATAAAAGGTGGCGGGTCCTTGAGGCGACATCAGGGGGCCAAGGTTTGTGGGGGGGGAGGGAGGGGGGGTCTTTCCTCCCTAAAAGGGGAGTGGAAGCCTTTAGTCCAGGGGAGGGAGGGTGTTCAAGGTGATCCAGGCTTGAAATTAATGCTGGGAGTCAGGCATAGTGGTAAACGCCACCTCCAGGCTGGAGTAGAAAGGTTACCAGTTTGACAAAACAAAACAAAAATGATGGGAGATGGGTGAAAGTCTGGGTGGGCTGCCTGGACTGGAGGCAGGGCTCCCAATGAAGGGAACATTTGCCATAGCCTGGACAGAGGGCCAAGTGAGGGCACCTGGTGGGGCTGCTGCTCAGCAGGTTCTCCCTCCTGATACAGAGGTCTGCCTTGCCTCTCCTGGCAGGAGTCCATGGGGTGAGTCTCTGGGGTCTGGTCTGATGATCTCATCCAGAATAGGAGGTGGTGTCCTAGTGGAGAAAGGACCCAGACCCTAGCAGAGCCTCTGCTGTGCTCCACCCATTCTGCCCCCAAGGACAAAGACTGCTGCAGCTGGTGAGGGTACCCCCCCTTCTTCTGATCAGGGAGGGGTCTCTTGACATTTGCCAGGGCGTGGGTGCAGCTATGTGCGCCCTGAAGCTAGACGCAAAGTACACAGAACGGAGGAAAAGGGTCACACGCGGGGGCGCAGGAATCAAGGTGGTTTTATTGACCACACGGCCAGGCCTGACAAGAGCTGCAATCTGCGCCACCTGTAAGCAGCAGCGACTGCTCCTGAGTCAGGCACCAGGGCGCGGCGGATCGGGGACGCTCTCAGGGTAGTACAGGAGCCTGACGAGGGCCAGCGAAGGCGGTTTGCGCAGGGGCCATAGCTGGGCTAGAGACGTCTCTCCGAAGGCTCTAGAAAGAACAGAACAGTACTCTGAGGAGGGGGCCGAGAGCCCTCCCCTACCATTTCCAGGCTGCAAGGGTAAAAACTTCCCGGGAGAAAGCAAGCCTTTCTCGAGTCGCAGTTGGGGATACAAGGGCTGAGCAGGATCCCCTGTGCGCGCGGACGGGCTCAAGGACTGAGAGCTCCCGAGACCCCCCCTTGCCCACTGCCATCCAGGCCTCCCTGCCCACTACCACGGCTTACCTGGCCGACCCCGTTAAGGTCCAGGAACTGGAACCCAGCCGCGACTCGGGTACGGGCGCCGGCTCGGAGGCGCGCGGTCTCCGGGGCGCACGGACGGGGAGCCCTGCCCACGAGCTCCTGCGTCGCGCCTCCCACAGCTCCTGCACCCGCGATGGAAGCAGAAGGAGAGAGTTGGAGGCCGCGGGCCGTGGGGTGAGGGTATCCGAGGCGAGAGGCCCCGCGGCTGCGCGCAAGGTGCGGCGCCACAGGTAGGGCGAGCGGCGCAGCCCCATGAGCAGGCCGGCGGCGCGGCCCACCGTGTGGTAGCGGGGACTCGCCACGTGCTTGTACCAGGCGCCGGCAGGCAGCGGCAGTAAGAGCAGAAGCAGCAGCAACGCCAGCAGAGGCCGGCTCGTAGAAGCCCCCGGCCCCGGGCCCCGCACTCCCGGGATTCGCGCCAGCGCGCTCACGTCGAGGGCCCCCCTCCCCGGCGAGGCGGGCCAGGAACCGGGTCTGCTGGGTCTGTGAGCGCGGCAGAATCGGGGCGTTTGGGAGTCAGAGTGCTGGGGCTAGAGGCGAGTCGTTGGCCCCAGGCGGGTCCTACTATAACCGTTCGGTAGCCCCGCCCCGGCCCGCCCCCTTGGTACTTGCTGGGCTCCCCAAAGACAGGAGGAGGAGTGCAGAAAGCAGCGGGAATCCAGGCTGCTGGGAGCATCTCACTGAGTGGGCCGCTGGCTAGAACTGCTCTTGAGGCTCCTTTGGGAGCGCCCCTGCTGACTCCACTCGTTGTAGTGTTCTTTCTCTTCCCCGAGGAGTGGAAATGCCGAGGAGGAACTCATGGTACCAAGATCTCAGGGCACAAGGATGGGGCAGAGCTCCTGAAGTGGAGTACTCCCAGAGTAAGAGGAGGCTGGCAGGGTTCCAATGCGGTAACACAGGAGAGTTAAGTGGGCCACACTGAGGGCTGTCCCTTGTCCTGCCTAACACAGCCCTCAAATTGTTTCACCATCCCATTCCCCACTGCAGGATGGATGCTCAGAAGCCCCACCTTTGGCCACATGGAGCCATCCCTGAGATGGTTTGTGGTTCCCCAAATCCTCCAGAATAAAGAGGGAGCCCCTCCTGACACTCTCAGCTCTAGCTTGGCAGGATGGACCTACTAATCTCTAGTACCTTCTCTGTCTGTGGTCATCAACCCCCCTCCCTCAGACCACTTTCTCCAGCCAATCTCAATTTTGGGGGGCTCTTAACTGACAGCTGTCATTTGCCTACCTCTGTACTATGAACATTCTTCCCTTTCCTTTATACATGACAAACTCCTACCCATCTTTTAGGACACCAAGGAAATGGCCTGGTCTGGTCAGTGCCCCAGAGCGTCCTTCCATGTCTGGCTGTAACAGTACCCTCCACAGGGCAGGGCTTGATGCAGTACTTTTTTTTTTTTTTTCTTTTTAATTTCACCTCATGATGTTATTGTCTTCGTAACAAAACAAAAGATGGAGCTTAAAGCTGGGTCACTTGCCCCCTTCTCTTTTATCTCCTCCCAGTTCAAAATGTTTGCATCCCTTCCTAGCCAGTGTTCTCTTAGGTCTGCAGTGAGCTCAGCACAACCTTCTTGGTAGGTTTAGCACTTCAGTTCTTAGAAAGGCAGGGCACATCCCTTTGGTTTTGCCTTTCTTCCCCCAGACAGTTGGCTTAGTCTGCCCACCATAGCCATTCTGCCTCCTGTCATAATGCCATGATCCCTGGGCCTACAGAGAATCCTTGTCCTTCTCGTCCTGTGTCACTTTATGAGGCCAGTGCTTACCACACTTTTTACAGAAAGTCCCCTGAGGTTTAGTAATGTTAACCGTGATTACAGGAGGGCTATCAGCACTGAAAGAAGAGACAAATTCTTTTGTGATTCCCCAACCTAGGGTGAATCTGGCCATAAGAATAACTAGATCCCTGCATCCCCAGCAACCAGGCCATTGTGGGGTCCCCACTAGGTCCCAGACACTAGGGATCTTGTTTGTTTGGGATCATCATGAAATGTCTTATTTTGATCTTAAAAGAAAAAAAAGTGCCATGAGGGCTGAGGTGGGCAGAGGAAGTCACCCTCTCCTGAGGCAGGAAGGCCCTGAAGATTCTGGCAACCCCCTCAATAGGACTGGAACCAGCAGCAGCACTCCCCTCAAAGGCCCCACCCAGAACCCAGGAGAAGCTGACCCTGGAGCCTGGTAGCTCTCAAATCTGACTCCTAGCTTGATGGTGGTGGTTGTAGGGGGAGGCAGCAAGCCCACAACCTTGCCTTCCTCGATTTCCTCCTTTGAAACTGGGGATAGTAATAGCGGTCACTTTATCGTCTTGTGGCATTAACAATCCCGTGGTGGTGCCTGGCACCCAGGAGGCGCTGAGTACTTGTGGCTAGGATCCACTGCCAATGTTGCGGAGGCTGACCAACCCCCAGCCTGTAGGGGAGAACACTTGGATGGGGTGGGTAGCGGATGCAGAGGGAGGACCGCGGGGGCCAGGCGAGCGGCGCGCGCTGAGATCCGCCCCCGCCGCGCTCCCTCGGGGCCCCTTGGCCTCGAGAGCCGCCTGGAGTGGGCGGTGGGCGGGCGACGCGGCACGACGCGGGGCACAGCGGGCCGCCGGGTCCCCTGGCGCTGGCTGCCCACTCTGGCTCAGGGACTCTCCAGCACTCCAGAGAGTGGGGCGCCCCCTGGAGGTGGCCCGGGGAACGCAAAGCCGTGTGAAAACAGATCGATTGTGGTTCATGCTGGGAGGAGGTCCTTTGGCACTCAGAAAATTGAAGTAGAGCGTGGATAAAACTAAAAAATGCAATGCTGCACAACAAAAGAAGCCCGAGAAAGCATGGCTGCCTCGAACACCATCAAACGGGTCCTCTGTCCTTGTAGTTACAGCAGGGGAGTGAAACTATTAGGGTGCAGGGGAAGGAAGGATAGAGGCACAAGCAGAGAGGGAGGGGTGCCCACTAACTCGCAAAGGCTGACAGTGGGAGCCCAGGGTTGGGTTAGGGGAGCGAGCACAGGATTACCCCCAGATCAGCCCAAATCAGGCTGCAGAGGAAGGGCTCTGTGCCCTGGGCCTAGCAGCCCATGGCAGCAGACCTCCTTGCTAGGGCATGCCTCTCACTTCCTCCACAGAGTAGGCCCTCTTAGAAAACGTCTGATCCCGCCTGTGGTGTGTCTCATAATATGTGTGTGTGTACACATACATACCAGAAGCAGGGCTCAGTTATCCTTGACAGTTTCCAGTTCTACACCTCAAGGCTGTCCATCAGGTCCATTCTGGTCTGCCTTATACAGCTGCTCCCAGGTGACCTCTCCCCCTGTGGATATGACCAGCTTGTCTGGCTCTGCTGATCCTCCTACCTTCATGAACAGTACAGAAATGCCACAGTGAGGGCTGAGAATGTGGCTCAAGTAGTAGAGTGCCTGCCTAGCAAACACAAGGTCCTGAGTTCAAACTCATACTGCACCACCCCAAATGCTGATCAGCTGACCTTAATATAAACAGCTGGGTGCCGGTGGCTCATGCCTGTAATCCTAGCTACTCAGGAGGCAGAAATCAGCAGGATCAAGGTTTGAAGCTAGTCCCAGCAAGAGCTGACAGAGTGGCTCAAGGTGCACGCCTTGAGTTCAAACCCCAGTATAGCAAAAAAAAAGAAAAAAAAAAGAATATAAATAGAATCTACAGAATTACCCAGGCAGGCAGGCCCAAAGTGGTCATGAGGGCTCTTAAGTGGGGCCACAAGTGCAGAATTAGGGGAGCCTCAAGCAGCTGAAAAGGGAAGAGGCTCTCCTGGGAACCAGTAGAGGGAATGCAATGCTCTTGACTTTGACTTTGGCTCATTCTGAGCATTCTGGACTCATGAACTTCAGAACTGTAAGATAATAAGCCTATGCTGTTTTGAGCTTGTGGTTTCCTTCTACTACCACAGCCACAAGGAATTAGTGTGCTATTAGATGCCACTAACTCCCGCCTCATGTGAAAACCAAAAAAATGCCTCCAGACATAATCTCTGGGGGGAAGGGGAAAATTGCCCCCAGTTGAGAACCAGTGACTTATAAGCTATTCTTTTTTTTTTTTTTTTGAGGTACTGGGGTTTAAACTCAGGGTCTACACTTTGAGTCACTCCACCAGCCCTTTTTTGTTAAGGGTTTTTCCAAGATAGGGTCTCGTGAACTATTTGCCTGGGCTGGTTTCAAACAAAGATCCTCCTGATCTCTGCTTCCTGAGTAGCTAGGATTGCAGACACAAGCCACTGGCACTGGGCATGGTATTTTTGATTTACTCATTTTAGGCATCAAATGGCTTTCTACTTAGTACAGCTTTGGCTCTCTTGCAGCCCAATCACTCAACGTTTCTTCCCTCCCTCTTCCTAATATGATTTTATCACAATTTTTGCTTAAATCATTAGCCAGTGTCTACTTAGTAAGTACTATGTAAATATCCTCAGCTGAACCAGTGTCCTCTTTACATTCCTTTCTCTTAGAGAGCTACCTTATTTTTCTTTGCTTGCTTTTCTATATACCAAATTTTCTATTTTTCCTAAATGTACCAAGAGATGTTAGAATTCCTAATGATAACATTTCTAGGTCTCCAAGAATATAAGGTAACCCCATCAGTTCCACATTTATAGGGGAGTTCTCCCACTGAGAGCCAACAGACTTCTGCCACAGTGCCACAATCTGGGCCTCCACTCTCTCAGCATCTGCAGAGGCATCACCTGCTAGTTCCTTTCGACTTCCACCTGTGTTGAAGTCCATTTCCTGGATCCCAGGGCTTCCTCCAGTGTGTGCTCCCTAAGTTTGGAGAAGAAAACGCTCTGGTAGTTCCAGCTTCCAGTATTTCAGGATTATAAATCCACTGTCATTATGATTTTCTTGGTGGTACTAGAGATTGAACCCAGAGTTTGTAGCATGCTAGGCAAGTGCTCTACCACTGAGCTATGTCCCTAGCCTCATAATTCTCTCTTTTTTTTTTTTTCTTTTTTTGCGGTACTGAGGCTTGGACTCAGGGTCTTCACCTTGAGGCACTCCACGAGCCCTTTTTGTGATGGGTATTTTCAAAACAGAGTCTCTATTTGCCCAGGCTGGCTTCAAATCGAGATCCTACTGATCTCTCCTCCCAAGTAGCTAGGATTATAGGCGTGAGCCACCAGCGCCTGGCTACAATTCTGATATTTGATCCTTCTTGTAGGTTTTTTCAGGGCTTTACACTTGCAAAGCAGGCGCTCTGCTGCTTGAGCCACACCCCAGTTCATTTTGCTCTGGCTGTTTTGGAGATGGGATCTTGTGAACTATTTTCCCCAGGTGGCCTTGAACTGCAATCCTCTCGATCTCAGACTCCCAAGTAGGATTACAAGCCTGAGCCAACAGTGCCCAGCAGTTTTTCTCCCTCCTTACTCTTCTTTACTCTCTGCCCCTGACACTTTTGAGCTTTCCTGATCTTTTTTCTTTTCTTTTTTTTTGGTGTGGTTCTGGAGTTTGAACTCAGGGCCTTATGCTTTTTTTCAGATAAGTCTCACCCTTTCTGCCCAGGCTGACTGGCAATCCTACCTATGCCTCCTGTAGTTGGAATGACAAGTGTGACACCTGGCTTGTTGGTTGAGATGGGGGGGCTCACTTTTTGCCCTAACTGGCTTTGAACCATGATCCTCTCAATCTCTGTCTACTGAGTAGCTGGGATTACAGGCATGAGCCATCA